GTATATACGCATAAGCCGAATGTTATAATAATAATAATAAAAAAATATATAGGTATAAGAATCGAGCGCATAGACCATTGTTCGAAGCGTCGGAAACCCGTGGTTTTTATAATTTTTCGAGGGCCGTAAATTTCGACCGTGGTGTCGATGGTACTCCCCAATTTTTTTCTTCATTTTAGTTTATCAATTTGTAGAAGAGAGTTAAAAGTAGAACGTTAATTAAATGATGAGTTAATGAAAATAAACTAACAATAATTACTCTTCTTAGTTACATTTTTTTGTACCACACCTGTAGATAGAACAACGCACTCGTATATCAACCATTGTTCTGTATAGATCGAATAAGCCAATAATAAAAAAATCAACATCGCCAGGTAATAGATACCTTGTCGTTTTTAATAGATACCTAATAATATTTTTTCCATATAAAATATACCCGAATGACACCCACCTACCTCCATGAAACACAAAGTCGAAACGAATGGGTCCCGTCGAAATTAAGTTGTAAACTATTATAAAAGTTTTGTATGGGATATGGAGGTTGTAATAAAGTCATTATTAACGATAAATTTCGTCGACTATGAGAAATTAGTAGGGATGATACAAGAGTATAAAATGTATACGCAATAAAATATTACAAGACTGAATGCGTTCGATATTTAATTCCATCAAGATCGTATGGATATCGCATCGGGTGAAATCAGATATATATAATCCATATATGGATAAATAAGAAGGCGAATATGGAAAGTGGGTCATAAATGGCGTCCGTTCTCCGACTCCAAAAATGATTTCTTACTTTGGTAGATTAACGATTTACATATTCATTATTTTTGTGTTTAATACAAACTAGCAATCTATTTCGTCATGTTAAATTAGATACAATTTAATCTAAATAAACTTAGATTTTGTTATATTGAACGGGGAAGATTCCTAATCACGCAAATTTATGTTAATTCTCGATCGTAATCTCGACTGAACGTCGATGAATCGAAGGAAGTGAAGCATTATAATTTCGTAAGTATTAAAAACAATGCGTAGGATAGTCAAAGGTAGTATTTTACATGTTTTTCTACTGTCAACGAATGTAAAGGCTCAAACCTTGACTCAAATAATCGAAACGCATTCACTAGAAAGGTAACATCGTTAATGGGTTAATTGTTTGTTTGTTTATTTATACTTAAATAATGTTTATTAGCTGATTAACATAGAGGCAACCTTCGAGGACCTTTCCACACTCGACGAAATCGAATTCCTTCCGGCATGCACATGCAATCCGATTTCCAACGCGCATGTAAAGCGATTTATCGCTCGCATCGATTCGCCGATTAAATATTAACGGTCGATATAAATAAAATTAATTCCCCTGTTAGATCGATTCCGAAGATAAACGCCGAAATCTCCGCGGATTGCTCGATAAACCGTCAAAACGTAAATTATTGGTTCGATATCTCGATGCGATATCGCGATATCTAAATCAGTCACGCGAGATAATGCCCGGTGTCGTTTAGGCTTCGTAAGCGATATAGGCGCAAATGCGATGATTAGTAAAGAGGGTTTCCACAAGAATGTTTCCTAATTATTTTAGTTTCTTAATGTCATAGTGGGTTTCTATAAATATAAGCTTAATTGATGTATGTTATATTTATGAATGTTGGTATTCAATATATTTGTTTTTCTTTCCATTAGAAATGATTCTCTGTACAAGATATTTCTTGATGAATATGTTAGTTTTTAAATAGTATCTGAAATTTACTGGAAGATTAAAGCATCAAGCTAATCATGCACCTTTTTAGCTCTCCGGTATTATTAAAAATAAGTAAAATTTGCATCCGAAATTCCAATCATTATCATATTTTTTATAGAAAATGAGTCAATAATTTCTCTTTGAAAACTACAGTTTATTTAGCAACTTCATCTATTGTAATTATTTATAAACCTAACAATTTTCTATTTATTCCAATCTCTTCAAATACAGGGTGTTCTCGAACTTATGGCAATAAATTCTATAGGGGTTGTAATTTGTATAATTTGAGATTATTATATTTTTTTTTAAATGAAATCTGCGAATCGTTCTCAAATTATGCAAACTACCACCACTAGAATTTAGTGCCATAAGTTCGAGAACACCCTGTATACTTTGGTCTACTAATAAGCGATCCTTTCGTGCATTATGCTTGTAATATATCCCATTTCCCATCCATTTAATCTGCCCTTTAAAAATTTTCTATATTGAAGTTTCTTCATCGACTCTCACGGATCCATTGGATTTCTCTTCGACCTTCCACATGCCATCGAGCGCCCCGCCAAACACCCGAAATGCGTACCTACCTCTTTCACTAAACGCCCGAACGCACCAATGGAAATTAATTCGATGAAATATCGCATCGCATGTTAATTGCACATTGTCATGTACGACAATTTAAATCGCACTATGCAGATTAATCGGAGAGGACGAATAAATTTTTTAGAGGTGGACGCGGCCGATCGTTAGTCACTCGCTTGATGTGCGTGCATCAAAAACGTTAACTGACACGCAACGGGCCGAAAAGTTATATTCTAGGACGCCAATCTGCCGATATTAGTGCGGTAGAAATAGCCCTTTATATTCCATCATTCGGCACCTTTTTAATGGGGTGTATTGTTTTAATTAAAAATACTTACATGGAAGGTTTTTTAGTATACAATTTAGGTACTTAATTTCGTAGGGATATTGTTAATTATACTTAGAGTGGATTGAATTTTGTACCGGACTATAAATATCCACCTGAATTGAGTTACGCATTTCTTCTATATGTACTTATACATTTTTTTTTCTTTTTGGTAACGGCGTAAAATACGTACTTAACACGACATTCGGCACTTTTTAAGCCGTTTAGTGGACTTTAATGAGCTTATTAGGATGCTTAATCGAGTTTTTCAATCATCTCGCTCTTCGATTTCGACTGGAAATTTCCCTAAGGATCGAATTAGAATGGTATAAGTTAACGCGATTTGTGATAGAGGAGTAGAAATTCGTTTCCATCGATCCGCGGTCGTACCAAAAAAAAAAAATAATATGATTGAATTTGCCGTTCAAAGAACCGCAATTATTTCAAATATGGCGAAACCACATCTAGATGCCGTAAAGATACCGTTTGTACTAGTCTTATTTAATTAAATAAACACAAATTACTCACTTAGCGGCCGTTCGTGTCGAATCAATACCAAAACCAACCATAAATTAGATTTTTGAGTCATGGTCGAGCATATTAAGTACGTTCTTGTAAATTACTGCGCTTTACACGACACTTTTACCCGTCAATTGTCAATATTAATTTTAGATTATCGATGATGGAGCCATCACAAGCGGGTCTAGAATTCCAGAACCAGCATAGGGGAATCCGCATAATAATAATAATAAGATTAGACACATCAGTTTTTTTTGCTATTACGTTTTATCTACAACTAGTATCTGATGTCAGAGCCCCGCTGACATTTTTATACGATACATACGAGCATACTGTACGTGCTCTTTACGATCTCAATCTCAATCAGCTTAGAAAATAACATCGACAAGGTACACACATAATATCATCAACGATTGCCGGCCGAAAGCTCATGAAGCTCCATAATTCAATATGAAAGTTTATCAGATAAAAAAGGCCGAATAACAAACCACTAAACAACGTGACCTCTTTTTCCGTCCAATTTGCTCGCAGTGGCAGCGCGATTTATTCAGTAAAATTGTAGTTATTGTAGAGTTTGTAATAGTGGTGGGTGCGCCACTGGATCCGGTTACGGGCTCTACAGGATTGAGGCACGTTCCAAATTCAAATTACATTAACACCTCGAGTAGTTTGTACACAAAACGAGGCGCATTTGTTGGTGATTGCCTTCGATGTGAATCCGGCGATTTGATTTGGTTTGATTATGATTGGTGTCCGAAAGAATCGTTATTATCGAGGCATCCGCACGTGTTCGTATAACTAGACTGGTTGCGATGGAAAAGAAAATACTTTCATACGTGTTTCTATTCAAGTTGAAATTAACAATTAAAATTTACAAGGCGATTATTACACCTGTGTATCTATTATTTGTGGAATGAGGTTCGCAAGGTGGGTATATGTTTGTGTTGCGTTCGATGATCGGTTTTTCCAAATGTGTATGTAGAAAAATAAAGCGATTCAACCCACTTGGTGTATATTTATGCGAATGGAAAATTATAAAAAACAAATCCCATTCGATAATGAGTCAGTTTCTAAAACCGGGCAATAATATAATCCTGTCCCACGCGAGTTGAAATATCCAAAATCGGCGGGATCGTCGACATCCAGACGGCTGTTTTTTCACCCAAACTTCACGGAATACGAATTAATCGAAATATATTAGCACCAAAAAAACCTACAATAGTTTCACCTATAGGCAGCAAACAACAAATCGCCCCATTGGCGTACGAAATTTTTACTCGATTATCCAATCAAACAATAAACATTTTTACCGACCAACACATATTTAAAGACAAGTGTGCATGTAAGTACATAAAACACCGAGTATCCACAGTACACAGCGTCTCTTTAAGATAGAAGATACAGGCTAGAGTGATTTAGTCGAGGCGGTGGCCCCTTTGTCGTGTCCCACGCGTCGCCCCTGTCCGAGATAATAACCGCGATATGGCGTTTCGCAAGAGGGTGTGTAGGAAGTGGCTATTTGACGCAGATACGATAATTCGTCCTACGCCGCTTTCGCCGGCGAAACGTGCACGTAACGAAAATTCGACCGAGACCGTTCGGTTTTCGCCCAAGGATGAGGACAAAGATCGGTATCTGGTCGATCGGATTCGATCGATAGATACGAATTAAGATCGACATAAATCAATAGCTGTTGGAGACAAATGGTTGCAGTCGTATAAATAAGTTTGGAATGCAAGTAACACCGGATAATTGTAAATAGTATCGACTCCTTACAAGCTAGCTAGTTAGCTATAAAAAGTAGTTATTTATTTCATAAATACAATGTACCAAATTAGTACTTTTAATTTTATACCAAAATCAACAAAAATGTACACGGTTCAATATTAATATCATTCATAGTATATCGCTTATGTTGGTCCTTCTTTGCTACAAAAACTACACAACTCCCTTTCTTCTATTCTCGACTAAATTAATCTACATTTATGGTAGTTTCATTTCCTCAATTTCAACATTTCCTCCATAAACAAGTCTCTATTGATATCCTCGATGATGACAACGTTCGGAACGTTTTTCTTCAAATGATCCAACACCACTTGGCCTCTGGTGCTTTCGCCGTGCAATTCGACGGTGGCGTGATGGGAACTGGATTTGGTTATGTGTCGCTGGGGCGCCGCGAAGCAAAAGGCCAGGAAAGCGTCGCAGGGTAGCCAATGCTCTAGATTGTGCTTTGTGGCCAAGGTTTTTTCGGCTGCCGTTAGCACGTCTAATTCTGGCGTGCAGTTACCTAAAGTTTCGAACCGCCAGTTCTGATGGGGAAAAATTATTTATTGGTACGACTTGTTGGGTATTAACTGTTGACTTACTATTGGTATTTCTGGAACGAGGCAAGCTTCCCATGGGAAAATGTAAATTGGGCATTTTAAGTTTTCCAATACTATGTAAGCAGCTTCTGGATCATAGTGGAAGTTAAATTCCGCCGCGCAAGATACATTACCCACTCCTAAAACGGAGTATAATAATAAAAGAAGAAGATGTTGTTAATACTATTACCTGTATAATTTCCTCCCATGAGCCACACCTCTTTGATTGTACTGTTCAATTCATGGTACAATTTCAAAGCCAAAGCTAAATTGGTAAGAGGTCCTAAACACACCATCGTTACCTCATTAGGTGCTAGTTTCACGATATCATGGATACCAATTGCAGCCGGTACATCTTTAATAATCGATAAATCCGGGCTTCTATCGTACTCCAAATCGCCTAAACCGTCTTCACCGTGATACCTCAACGTGGTGTCTTTGTGAAGGATGATCTGATTTTTGCAACCTTTATAAACCGGTATCTAAAACAAGTGGCTACCAATCATTTGAAACACTACAAATTTACACACTTACATCGGTCCTTCCGAGGGTTTCCAGCAATCTAACCACGTTAACCGCGACGTAATCCAACGCGGCGTTGCCTCCGGTGCAAATGATCCCCAATATCTCCAAATCGCCTCGCTTTTCCACGTCCAGGAGATACAGCAGGGCCAAGTAGTCGTCGGTGCCGACGTCCACGTCGACGACGATTTTCCTCTTCATGACGAAATTGCAGTCGAACTGGCGAATTTCCGTCGGCTTTTTCCAGCGGATGCACTTCGATCGAATTGACCGTGAATCGCGAATGGAATAAACGGGCTTTAAGAGCGAGCAATTTGTTAGCAAAAATTGGCGAGCACGCGTTATTCGCTTATCTTTTTTAATGTTTATATGGTTTATTATTCCGCGTGCGGCTTGGTTCAGTAATTAACTATTGTTTTTTTTTCGCAATTAAACGTTATTTGATCGGTGTTGATAAGTGTGTTTGTTATGTCAGCACGTGTAAAACATGCTTGTACAAACGTGCATAGTGTAATTAAATTAACGAATTGAAAGTTGCTATATTTCTTAATTTTATGGATACTTAATAATAGAGTAAAAGTACTTACTGATTCCACCTATTTTTATGCGAATTTACTACTCTACTACTACTAGTATTTTACTTTATTTGTAATATTTAAGTATCTTTATTATTACTTTCTTAATCACATTGTTCTTGAATAATTTCGAAATATTAATAAACATAGATTAATCTTATGAACAACACAAAAATTATACAACAAGCAACGTCAGAGAAAACCAAATAACACGAATTGCTTAAACAAATTTAAAAAATTTTTCGTAATTACTCGTAGATTATATTATTTTTATTGTCAGTGCAAAACAATACGTCCGCTGTTTAGAAACGTGAAACAGGTACCCCTAATTTTCAATTTGTTCTTGTCATTTTCTTCTTTTGACGTGCATTGATATTTGTTTTGCACCGACTGTACTTTTTACTATTTACAATTTTTAAATGTTGGACAAAATATACTGCTCCACAAAAGTTAAGGAAGTTCACAAATATTGAGATTAATTTAAAAGTTGCAGGTTTTTTGATCGCCAAATTTAGTATGAGTTGTAGAGGCAGTGGCAAAAAATCCACTCAGATGTGAGAACTTCCTTAACTTTTGTGGAGCAGTTTATTTGGCAAATATGACGATAATGAATTTTATTTTGGACAAACATGTATCGTAATATAACGCATTAATTTGTAACTTGCTCGAACGCATGTCAAACAAGGCCGAGGAGTTTCGAATGTTAACACGTTAAGTGCCAAAATAATTTAAACGAGGCAAGGATTTGTACGGGACAAATTGAGTTTATGGAAGATTCCAAACGACAAGTTTATGCGCAAATGCGCTTGTTTTCGCTTATCTAAAGATCATAATTTCGATCTTTATGTTAACGTTGAATTCATATATCCATTGTAGCGAGGAGTTAACACGATTATGAATGAGAGACTACTATTAATTGAATATACATCTTTATCAGTTCGAAATTATCTCGAATTAATCTACACTGAGAATTTGGTGTTTATTAGGGTTAATCGAAAATGTCATGGGAATTGAATAATATTATGGTTTATGTAAGTTAAAATATATCAAGTAAATTTGTTAAAAAAATTGTTTGAAAAATATACCTAGAAGACTTTTATTATTTTGAATGAGTACGTTAATTTCTAGTAGATACCTGCATAAAATTAATGATCGCGCACATAATGTAATATGTAATTGCTAATAGTTATAATAATTAATTAATCGAAAGTTACAATCACTTTCTCTCAGTGTGCGCTTTATCAGTACAGCATTATCTTAAAGAGCGCCAATTTATGCGTGTATCCTCGTACCGAATCCAATTCTCGTAAATTAACTAGTTGAACAGTTACCTTGTCACACATACTGATGTCTTTCTTCGTACTTTTTTTATCCTTTTTTTTATAATCGTTTACCTAACTAAAATCTACATCAGAGAGCGAGAGTTAATTAGTATGCGTAATGTATCAATCCGTATATCAAAAAAGGGTTGAATAGTGTTATACTCCGTTCGACATCAGGCGAGTTTTAGCATGCAAAATTAGGTTTTATTACTATCTCTTGATGGAGTATAATTGCACAATAAATTTACTGTCTTTTATATACAAAATTATAATCTCTTGATGGCGAACGGAGTATATGAATATACGAGGTGCGTTTGGAAAGTCGCCGAGATGGGTTCCGTTGTATTTTTTTTTTTTTTTTTTTTTTTTTTTTTTTTTTTTTTTTTTTTTTTTTTTTTTTTTTTTTTTTTTTTTTTTTTTTTTTTTTTTTTTTTTTTTTTTGCACACGACTCGGGAAAAGACGAAGCTTATAACGCCTGTTCAGGCGCCCCGAGGCGTTTTTAGTAGGTAATTGTTAATGTTGGTCTTAAACCTCTGAAGGTCGTAACCAACTGGGAACACTTCTGATGGTAGTGTGTTCCATAGTGTCGCGGTTCTGTACAGAAAAGATTTCTGATACATAGAGGTCCTAGCTGTTGAAATGTGTACGGCAAACTGGTGTGTGCTCTCCGCTAGCCTTGTAGAACGTCCAAAGTGAGCACCAGGTGGAATAATGGAAGCAATGGCTGCAGAACACCTTCCGTGGTAATATCTGTAAAAGAGACTTAAGTCGCTAACCCTTCTACGATGGTCTAGTGTATGAAGGTTAGAGGTTAATGAGGGGTCATCAACTAGGTGCACTGCTCTTTTTTGAATGGAGTCTAGTAGGTGCAAGGAGTGCTTAGGAGCAGAACTCCAAGCATGAGAGCAATATTCCAATGCTGGACGAACTTGAGCCTTATAGAGTAACAGAAGCTGCTTTGGTGTGAACATTTTTCTGGCACGAAATAAGTAACTAAGCTTCTGGGCGGCTGATTTAGCTATGGTGGAAACATGTTCATGCCAGGTTGCATTTGAATTAATGCTGACCCCTAAAAGATGTAATTTATTAGTTGTTTTAATTGTTTGGTTATTCAATGCTAGTTGGGGTATGACGGAGGACGTCTTTCTTGTAAACATGGTTGCCTGGGTCTTGGAGGCGTTGAATTCAACCAGATTATCGGATCCCCACTTCAAAATAATTTGAAGGTCGTTGTTGATGGACTCAGCTTGCAAGAGCCTTTGGCGACTTGATTTAGATGCACTGACAGGTCTCTTGTTTGTAGTGGATGCTATGAGAGTGCTATCATCTGCGAAGCTGAGAATTTTGTTTTTGGTTGAATTTAAAAGATCATTTATGTGAATTAAGAATAGAGTTGGTGATAAAATCGATCCTTGAGGTACACCAGCGTTCAAAGAGTAAGGATCTGAAGTTGCACCGTCAACCACAACTTGAATTTGTCTCCTATGCAGAAAGCTCTCTATAAGTCCGCATAGTTTTTGGGGCAGACCGTAGGATGCCAGCTTAGATAGCAGTGCTTTGTGCCAAACCCGGTCGAAGGCCTTAGATATATCTAAAGCGACCGCTATTGATTCTCCGTGGTTCTCGATAACACTTGTCCAAATGTGTGTAACATAGGTGAGCAGGTCACCTGTTGAGCGACTGTGTCGGAAGCCGTACTGGTTGTCACTTATGAGACCATTCTGTTCTAGATATTTAACAACCTGCAAGTTAATGGCAGATTCCATTACTTTGGATAATATGGGTAGAAGGGCTATCGGGCGGTAATTTTGCGGAAGGCACTTTTTCCCTTTTTTTGGTATTGGTTGAACTCTTGCAACCTTCCATACAGATGGAAATGTCCTCTGCTCATAGCACAGCTTAAAAAGCCGACAGAGCAAAGGTGCGAGTTCGGGTGCACAGTGCTTTAATACAATCAAAGTATACAAGCAATTTAAACGTTATTAATTTTCATTCCGGCTGAAGGTAAAGGATTTCTCACGCCGGGTTTCTATACAATCGATATTTTTAACGGTCGTGTTTTCACACCCGCTTGGCGCTAAAATTAATGTCAATTAGTGTTGACGAAATAATCGTTCTTGTGGTTTTATTCGTTTTGTTAACAATGACCGCGATATCTTGGTCGAGACGTCGAGAGAGAACAAAGAATTAAATCGTACAAAAACGCGACAATAGTATAATATCGTGTATATAAAATACCGGATGAATCTGATGAATTCTGAGAATGTCATCAAAGGCTAATTCTTGCGTAGTAATCGAGTGTAAAAGAAGAAAAACAAGTAAAAAAGGCCGATGGAAAGGTCGAGTTGGGGGCGCCAGCGTGACCACGAATTGACCACACCTTTCTTGGTTTACATCTTCTATTTATCTTTCCTTTGCGGTCTCCTGTCCACTATATCTTCTATTGAAAATGCTGTCATGACCGCGCGTTGTAATTCTTCAATAACCGTATGCAAATTTATTATGAGAGACTTTGTTGTCGAAATAAAAAACTCATTTCGCCGGCTCGGCCGTCGCGAGATGAGCGGAAATTTTCGAAAAAAAACTCGGCGAAATTTCCAGTGCCCAGTCAGTGGAGCAAGTGAGAAAACTAAAATGGCATTGTCGGGCCGATAGCCGATCGAATGCTCGATCGAACGACGACATGAAGCGTGGGAATGTTGGCGAAGTTAAACCAGAAAGAGTGCCTACCATCCCGGCAGCTATTGAATTATGGATGGTATTTTGATATACCGGGTAATGTGGAACGTACTATTATGTCACCGTGATCGATGGGACTGTGTACGCATCTTAATGCCGCTAAACGCTCTGTACTTCCATAATAAATTAGCCACCGGAGGAGAGTAGCTATGAGGAAAATCGATCCAAACGGAGCTTCTTGTAATGCAATTATATCGCATAAAAAATTACGCTAGTACTATAATATCCGCAGTGTTAAGGCAATGAAATTTGGTTACTGATTTTTAGGATACTTTATGAACAAAAAACTTAACTAATTTTCGAAAATTGTAACACCATATAGCTCGAAAACTAAGAGGTTTAGGACATACATTGATATAAAATTTTCTTCTTAAAATCATCCAAATATTCACATCCTGAAGTATCGGCACTCAATTAATGAATACCCTGTACAGAACCATTTACTTTGCAACTAAAAAGTATCATATCCATGGACCTTCTCTCGCGTTTAATCTCGAGAATATTTAGCCGAACCTCTCGCACAAATCGTGGCAAAAATTCCCGGCATTCCCATCAAAAAAACCGATCCGTTTCCGCTAAAGTTTAAACGAGCCTCGGCGCTCGAACGGCCAATTAGATAATCGTCGAGATTTCGCCATTGAAATTCGTACATTAACTTCTAATTAGGCTTCTCATTAACCTCCTCGATCGACGCGAGTTCGTGGTCCATGATCCAGTAATATACCAACGTCGTTTTTTGCCCTCGCTTTCCTCGTTTCTTTTTTTTATTTTTTTCGTCCCAGCGAATTAGTGCGTGTTGCTTAATTACCACGGTGCAATTAACCGATCCTAATGGCGCTAAAAGGAATCCTCCGCGGGGGCCTGTTGAAATGTATTTTTTTTTATTTAACATATACCTACGTGCGTTATGAATATCTACGTTGAAATTGGAAAAATAATGCGATAGCACCTGAGTTTTGATAAGTGATTTTTATACGTGCTCGGTAATAAATCTTCGACGGTAATTGTAGTGTATTCAAATTGATCATCATTATGTCAAGAAAACACTACTTGAAATCATTAAGAATAATCATTATACTGGCTCGCGTGTTTACACGAATCAAAAATGCACAGGGGTGGGTTAAATTTAGCTTACAAACCAATCATTTTCTTTATTTAAACTGCATCATTATAAATAATATCGATGTGATGGTGCACCCGTATAGTTCATTAGTTGTAATGTTAAATATAATGAGGTAATATTAATTTGTTTCACGTTGCGTTTGGGTATAAATCGATAAATAATCCGTAATCCGACCCTGGGTAATAAATATCGAATGTAACGAGATGCGGACGGATAATTGAAATGAAAATTATTTCGAAATCCAGAGCGCCCCATACTGAGATTTTTATCGTAACCTTTCGAAAATCGAATCAAATATTATACGAAACGACGAGGGGGGGCGCCGTAATCAATCATCACAATTTCGTATTTTACATTCCCCGGGCTAATAGGTACAGGTGATGGTTTTTCGGTTTTATTTTCACATTCCGACGGGAATTATGCCTTATTAAAATCCGAATTGGTATACGGTAAAATAATCACCATTTCTAATTATTCGTTTTTTTTATTATCTATAATTCTTCATGCGAGTTATCGATGCATCTATAAAAAATTATTGACATTCGAAGGTAATGGCCTCTTACACGTCAAATTTTGCGTTACTTGATTAAATTTATTTAACCGAACCCGGACTATTTAAGTCGCTTAATAACTTTTAATATATACTTACCGTAATTTATATTTTATTATAAAATGGCCACCCATGTGGGCGCAGATAAAAATTAACGTGGCCCACGGAAATAATTACTACTTTCGCGTCGATTTCGAACGCCCGGAATATATATTTTTCAACGTTTATTGCGAAATTATTTTCGAAATTTACGGAATGCGTATTAAATTAACCGCGCGTACGGAATTAATTCAATATATCTCCCACCGAGAGCGGAGATCCGATATATCGCTTAAATAACGAGATAAAAACCGACTATAGTTCTTAATTATTATAACTAGATATCATCCCGGTAGGCCGATACACGTCCACGTGATACGTCAGTTTCTGTCTCCATTATTTAATCTAATAACTTATTATTTTCTAAATTAGCTTTATAATAGGCCCAGATAAGCATCTAGCCGATCTCATTTTATAATACACGTTATAAATTATATTGTAACAAAAGAATATTAATACCGGAGGTAAGTATGATTTTTTTTACGCAATACTTTGCTATGTAAATGTGGGAGTTTGAAAGTTTTCATAAATATTGTTAATAAGTTTGTTCCAGTAGCATTTATGTTTCTAAAAACTGTATAATTTTATTTCCAGAAGTGCTCGTATTTATAAATTTATATTGGTGAATTTTTGATTGATTTTGTGCGGCGTTTTTTTAGAATATTTTATTAGATTACTCGATTTTTCAAAAGTAAATTTGTCGTTGTTCTATATACGCTAATTGTAGTTAATAAATTGTAGAGAGAACACTTTTTACAAGTTCAAAACTAAAGGATTAAAAAACCAAATAAAATACCAAGTTCTATCGATTTTTCACGATATTTTAGAATGAAATAAACTATCTATAGATGATGAATTATCTACTACACGGATATTTTCTTGCGGAACGAACTTCTTAGTATTCACTTGATAATTCTACTTAACGTTTTAAATAATGACATTGTGAATGCCCACATGAATTCTTTGCAATGCTCAATTTTACTATCGAATTACCTGCCTATCGACAGTAGCGTAGCCATCTTGTATGTACAGGGTGTAAACGAAAAAAATACGTTCCATTTAATCAAAAAATATTCAATACCTCGTTCAAAAATATTAATTATATTTAGAGTAGGTATAAATAAAGAGAATACCCATTGCTAGGTGGGGTACTAATAAGTAAAAGGGTCCAGTGAGGATATTTCTTAAATATTAATTTTTATTCTACAACACTGGCTATTTTTATGCATAATATCAATAACAAATTACATCCCATCCGTGGGCGTTTACTGTGTTATGTGGTCTAATGTTAAATGCCTACAACACTCACACGAATTCACTATCATAATCTTTAATTAAAAATCGTAAACGTTTCTATTTCATTGCCATTTTTTTAATTATAATTTAAATATCGCGAGAAATCGTGTATACAAAAGGGCGTCATAACGGCACCCAATTAGAAGTGAAAACATCCAAGAGAATAATCTCCGAAGGACTTTCGAGTCGATTATATTATACATCCACATTCATCAATCCGTATTACATCACGCGTATCTCTATTGTGGAGCCTCCGAGGATGGCCGGTGAAACACCACCGGAGGGTAAACGAGCGCGGGATCGTCGGCGCGTTACGCCGCAAACGGGGATGCCCTTTTAGGGCAAGAGGTTTACCTACAAGACCGTCTGAGCGCCGGCGGCGGTTCGCTTTTTTCGTCCGGATTTTTCGGAGGCCGCTTTTCACCGGGCCGGCGCAAATTTAATTTATAGAAAGTTATGTTGTACTTTTTCTTTCAAACGGAACATCGATCGGACTAATTGGACGCGCAGCAGCGTCTCGGGGGGGTTTTCGTTGAAGGGTTGTACGCGGGAAACTTCGAATGGGATGAAAACAGTTCGACAAAATTAACTAGAGACTTAGAATTTTGAGCAGGAATTGAGCAGGGAGTTTGAGCACCCTTTTGAATGATACAATGTACAAAATTAGGGAAAGGATATACAATTTTTTGATCCCATAAAAGCAGTTTATTGCACCTAAAATATAGGACTACTCTTTCCTTATAAAATTATCTCTTTAACGCATTATTTTACACTATATTTTTAATAAAACCAATATAAACATGTGTACAGGTTATACCCCTGGTAAGTGAACTATTCACCACCACCCCTGGTCAATAAGCCATCGAATACATACACTACCCCTAAAATAATCTTCAAAATGAAGGCGATGATAAAGAAAACTTCGTCGATATTTCGATAGAAATAATAAGTGTTTATTATCATATCGATCATATCGAAGAAACCGTCGATCAAGCAGAAGATGCCGACGATGATGAGAATCCAGCAATGCCACGGCCAATCTGGTTCCACCAGGATGTTCACCAACAGAATAATCAAACTGATGATAAAAAATTTAAATAGGATTTATCCAGCACTGTTACCATTGTTGAATAAATACTTACGATACTATCAGGCCCACTAGGGCCATATAAATTTTACAACCGAATCCCGAAAAAGTAGATTCCATAATAGCTATAATCGATATGGCAAGGAGTATTTCGACTATCTTCATTATACCCCCTTTTTCTCCGAAATACCCAGCGTTCGCCATTTTTTGCAGGTCGGTATTATTATGTATTATCTATACAAAAAAAGTAATAAAAAAACCTTTTGACGTAAATGTATCAAATAAAATCTACATGACGTTATGTTCTCTTTCGGATTCGTGTTAACTGCCTCCACTTGTTCGGCATCCGGCCAGCCGGAGATGCGCCTAATATCGAAATTAATAAAGTTTAGATAAGTCCGAAGACCGGTCAGAGGTTACGCTAATCCCAAGGCGGTTCGTGTACTCGGTATCTTCCCAGGAAATCTCGTCGACGAGAGGGTTATGTCGCCTATCTGACGCCGCCGCCGGGCGGCTATCTCGCTATTTTTATTACGGCCCCCGGCCGAAATCGTTATCTCGGAATGGTAAAATGTTGCACAAAGGTAATTACGGGTTTTATTTCGTAAATTATGGGCGTTCGTTCGCTCGGCCGGCTACTCGAAGATTTAGAAGATTAAAGTTTTGTTTGTTTACGAAAATATTTCCAGCTCAAACGAACCACACTGTATAATAAGTTAGCTCTAGAGGAAGCTGAAGAAGTTAGCTAGAAAATTTACCGTTTATTTGTGTTAAGTTTTAAAATGAGAATGACGAGTATAGGATCTTCAAAAGTTCTTTGAGACAAATTCAAAAACATTCTCGAATAATCCGTTACACCTCTGCATCGAATGCTGCCGCTTAATAAACTCGCAAGCGAATATTATCCGCGCGATGTGCAGGACAAAAATTTTCGCGTATTTTTTTGTTATTGGACTTTTTTTTATTCCCGTCTCGGCGCAGCGCTGGTTTAATGGAGAAATTGAATCGGCCCATAAATAACGTTGCGTTTCTTAATTTGAGCGTTCATATATCACGCGTGTACGTTGCCCACACACTTCGCGGAACCCTTCCCGGGGTACGATCAATTAAATTTATATGAAAGCCGAAAAAAATATTTCATTTTCATTTTGGAAAGTTTCGCGCGCGACTCGAACGAATTTATTCGTTCTTCTGTCGGAATACGGGATTCGGGCGGAGCGGAACGAAATGAACGCTTTATTAACAACTGAAATTATGTTATTTTTACATTTTATCCCACTTCTGAATTGGTTATCTTGTAGTATCGTCTCTGTGGCCGGATTCGTTGTAATTAAATATGTTTTAATATAGAACGAACTTTATTAATGGTTTAAATAACGAAAACAAAACTTACTACTCGTCAATGTAGTCTACAGTTCTTTGTCGGAATATGGGATTCGGGTGGAACAAAATAAATGCTTTATTAACAACTGAAATTATATTATTATTACATTTTATCTACTTTTTGCCGATACTGGTGTTGTTGTTGTTGTTTTAGTAGAGTCTGTTTGTTTTGTTGGATTATGTTTATACGTTTTAACCATTGGTCCTCGACCAGCTCTTTGGAAATACAACTCATCCAATTTCCTTCGTTCTTCCAACTCTTTCGCGATTTTCATATTTTCCCAAGCTGAAATAAATTAGTTTTAACGAATAAAAATTTCCCCCCTTCTACTTACAGTCTTTCAATCCTTGCTTGAATCCTTTGGGCTTCACCGGCAACTCTTGCGGATCGATTTTACGCGACGCTTCTATGTTAAAGTACCTCCTCACTTTGGGCAATTTCAAAATGCCTACTTGAGCTAGAGATATGAAATTAGTGGAGACCCAATAGCACAAAATAGCGCCCGGAAAATTAACGGTGAACGGTAAAATGACAACGGGCAAAGCCCTCAGGACGTATTTCATCATTTGCATGTTCTGCGCCGATAATTTAGCACTATCTGCTCCCAGCTAAAAATTATTTAATAAATATCCTAAACGCATCGATTATTAAAAGTACCTCGATGGTAGCATATAAAGTAACACTGGTTATTATAGGTAGAATGAAATACTGATCGGGTAAGGTAAGATCGGTAAACCACCACATTCCTCCTGTTCTTAAACTATCCACCGGGAGATTCGCCATTCTTCGTAGTCCTACGAAAAACGAAACAAACACCGGCATCTACAAAACATTCCATTTAATATACACTCCTATATCGTAATACTTCAACTCAAACCTGAGCTAAAGGAACGATCATATTCTTCAAAGGATTCAGCCCTTTTTCCTTCATAAACGTCATCATTTCCTGCGAATAACGAGCCGCCTCGAACTGATTACCACACTGCCTGGCCTCGGTCATTTTCAATTGCAGAATCTGCACCTGCGGAAGGTAATTGTTCATCTTCGCAGCGTTCCGTTGCGCTATCACCACCAAAGGGAACATCAAGATCCTCGCTACTAACGTACCTGCAACACAAATCTCACTTAATCTAGAGATTTGTTGTATTTAAATAATATACCTAGTGCAATCGCAGCCCACCATTCCATCCCTAAATCGCAATGCAGATACTGCAAACAATTCTGTATCATTCCTACTGGGGTGTAGCCCCCCATTCCTAGCGAGGCGAGGGTGGGTTCCCCGTTAGCGCTCAACTGGGTGACGAGATCCTCGAAGCCTTCGGGAAGCGTCGGAACGCTCGGAGGTTCCGGGATGGGTTCTACAGGAAGCGGAGAAGCGGCTTCTGGAGGAGCTACTGGCTCGGTTTTCGCCTCGATTGCAGGTTCAACTTTTGCGTCAGATGCCGTTAGAGTACTAGATACATCTGTATTTGTGGGGATGCTTTCAGATACTGATACAGCGGCTGCCGATGACCATAGAAGAGTCTTCTTTTTCGAGAACGTCGTTTGTGCATTTGTGTATAGTTTTAATAATTCTTTACTTAATTCTGTTTTAATCTGAAACGGGTATATTTGTATTAACGGAGGGTACTGAATCCTTTAAATTGTGATTTACCTTCTGGTTTTTTGGTTCGTTTGTGTCAATGGAAGTTGTTTCTGTTTCATTGGGGCGATATTGCGAAATGTTTCTCTGAAATAATTAAGAAAAAACAACTATTATTGTTAGACACAATAGTTTCGAGTATCGAATTAAACTTACGATTAATTTTGTCCAAAGCCTAGGACTTTTATTTAGCAAACACTGTTCAACCACTCCATCGTATTTGGGATTTTTTGTTTGTTCCTAAAAGTATTTATCGGTAATTAACTAATTATAGCTGCGTTAAAGTACGCAGAAAGGTAATGTTATTGTATTGCATATACGGGAAAAAAGGTCTTCTAACTTACTGAGATTGTTTTTAAAGCTCGAGAGAAATGCTGACAGGTAGAAGTTGAACAATATCGAAACATATTTGTTTATTTCATTGAATTTAAAATGAAATTTCCATCAGCTACTTAGAGGTTAAGTAAGAATGACCTAACCTTACTTATTCTTCTTCTTTTTTAAATGACATTCTACTTATTCTTAATTTCGATGCCTTAGCTGCTAAGGATATTCGGTGTAATTAATATTAATTTAAATTCATGCGGGTAGTTCATTTTGTATTTACGTAAATAAATAACGACAATCTAACTATTTTATTCACCTTTAATAACTCATAACTTTTATTTGGAGCGTTTTAATCACAATATCGATACTATCAAAAATAATAAATAGGTTCCGTTAATAAGGGGATATATAAATTGTATATTAAAATTTGTTCATAAATATGTATAAGAAAGAAATGCAACAAAATCACAGTATATCTGCAGAATCTAAATCATGAATATTTCGTTCTGATGCACTAGCAGGAATTGCGTGAACGTATTAATGGGTCCTATAGCGGCTAAAGACATAGATACGACTTCCGACCAAACCAAATTCGGACCGAATACTACTGCTAAATTTTGTGCATTCATTTTATTCAAATCGGACCTCTCCATTACCTGAAAACAGCCACTTTTATTCAACGAATTCCAACCCATTTAATCGCACCACGGTCCTATATTTCTAAGGCCTATATGTTTCCAGACCTTAGAAATATACTACCGAAAAATCGCACTTACCCTCGACAGGAACCTAACGATGTATTTCAAAACTTTATAGTTATCTTCCGGAAGCTTCTCCATGACGAGAATCGACACCAACCTTAGTCTTTCGTTGCTGTTCCAACCTAAAACGAGACCAATTAGAAACTAGTTAATAATAATCGATTAATTCACGAGTACTTTGAAATTGCACGATCTCATCGTACAAATCGAACGTCAACAGAGGCTCTTTCAACTCCCTCAGAAACTTCTTCAACAGCACCGCCGCCTCGTGGGGATCTTCGAACGTCAATTTCTGCCCGCTATTCGCGATATCCTTCAATATTCGAACTCTAGTAGCGTTCGCGGACCTTCTGAATATCCCTTCGATCTCCAATGCTAGAACATACAAACGTCATGATGTACCGGGAAGAATTTAATCGTTTAACAAACTCACAATCGGGTTGGTCCAGGTACTCTACGCACTGTTTTACTACAGGCGGGATAATTACATTATACTGGTCTCTAATGTATTGGAGCGGGACGCCGAATTGTTGCGTCGGTGATATCGGTTCGAACTGGACCTCCGGGTTCGCGTGAAACGGCAATTCACCGCCCAATTTCTTATCGTACCTGTTTGAATATAAAACTCAAACGAAAATTCGCTCGATAACGATCCTACTTACTCGACGATTTCGCTCGGTACGTCCAACTTCTCCACGGGAACGAACTGATTCAACTCCTTGAGCCTGTGAATGTAGTTCAATTTCTTCCCGAACTTGGCACTGATGAGAGGTTTGAACAGTTGCGAGATGATCTTCAAGAAGCTCGTCGGATGGACTAGATAAAGCGCTTTTAAATTCTTCTTGTAGTTTCTATCGAAAGCTTTGTAAGCTTGCACTAACCAACCTAACGATGGTTTATTCTTACTGGTTAAACCGTAATGGAAATATATTAGACTGTAGTCCTGTTTCACGTAACTTTCTAACGTATATTTTAGGTAACTAAAATTTAAGTAAATCAGAGCTGTTATAAACGAGTAATTTCATAAACTTACTTTAATAATAACGTATGATCTATTTCTTTAATTTGAGGTAATTTACAAGCGTACACGACGATGATCTTCCTTCCGTCCGAATCGTCGCCTTTCACATCGACGATACCGTGTCTGGATATCTCCTGGAACTTATCCGGAGGCGCATCTCCCACCTCCGGATAGGACGTCGAACAATACATCAAGCTATCCAGATTTTCTTCGCAAGCTTCGGCCAATTCCTCTTCGAAATTGTCGTCCGTAAAATCGGATATCGGGGAATTCATGTTGTTCGATTCGACCTGGAGCATCCCTACTGCAAAAACCGATAAATATATTAATTATAACTACGGTAAATAGGAACGAATCGCGTTAATACTGTTTACAAGAGTCAGGTGAAAACTTCTCGGTCTGACAATGGAAGGTTCTAAAAGATTCTGGAGAGTTCTAAATAGTTCTAAATGATTTTGGAGCTTCCTAAATGGTTCTAAATGATTCTGAAGCGTTCCAAACGATTCTAAACAGTTCTTAGAGAACTTTTCGCCCTATCTTTGTATCTGATACCTGGCTTTAATAACGCCAATTTTCCTTGCACAAGTGCACACAAACAGCCCGGCCTATTATTATAAATAAATACTGTATACTCTGTTACAATTCGCTACATACTACCTACAAATAATTATTCAAGTATTAGGATAGTGGCGTTCATTACCTATTATCTCTTTCATACAGCTTATCGCGTTTAAATTACAGTTATAATACAGTAAACTTAAAATCAATAACTTGTGTAGGTACTAATGTAAACAGGATGTAAATTAAAAAAGAAGTAAATGAAATCATTTATCGTTCGATTAATTAGATTAGATAAATCATGTCCGGAGTAACGTAATAATTTGATAAGTGGAATATACAAATCGAAATAAAGAACTTACGAATCTTCAAATAGATTGTAAAACAACCACATGGGTAATTTTCAAATAAAGTATCCATAGGTTTAACTCAACGATGTGTCTAGTTAGAGATTGCAGTTTAATAAAGTATGTTTTTGGAAAAAAAATACACTAGTACATTTTCCCTCGTTACATGATTCACTGTGCAACAAATAAAGCGGCCAACACGATGTCGAGCCATAGCTAAAAGATGAGTAAATAATGACAAAGCCACGAAGGAGAGGGATTTAATCAAATGCAAGAATTTTCCTGTAATGTTTTTCGGAATTGTTTAGATAGCAGAATAGTTGGTTTCGTTCGAATTCAAATTTCTACGTTTCAACTGCATACAAGGGTAGGGTGAATAGTTCTTCGACTATTTAGAACTGTCTAGAATCATTTTGAACCATTAAGAACACTCCAGAATGATTTATAACTGTTTAGAACCATTTAGAACGCTGCAGAATCAGATAGAACTGTTTAGTACCATTTTGAACGCTCTAGAACCATTCAGAACTGTTTAGAACCGTCTATAAATAAAGATTTCGACTTAATGAAAAGAACAATGTAATTTTTCAACTGAAAATCGCGGTATTTTATTGTCAGGCCGACAACTTTTCGCCTTACCCCCCTAATTAAGGATGCACTCCTGTAAACAAAGGTTTATTCACCCGGTCCCGGTAATAAATTCGAATATAATATTTCAAGTTATCGTAAGAAAGTATAAAATTACGCAAATTCCTCAAACAAAATCGCAAATAAATCGTTAATAACCTCTTTTTAATAAAACAAACAAGGTAAAAGTAAACAATAATTCTAATATTAAAAATATTACACACAAAGCATTCTATTGCGAACCTCAAAGTGCAAATACCTATGTTAATTTTATGATTAGATATGTTAATATGGAAAAATAAAAGGAGTGGTCTTGTGAATGGTAGAAAATACTGCAAAGAAATATTGAATGAATGACCCTAGCGCCTACATTATTGCTTTCTAATTAAATTCAACGCACGTAAAAGATGTTTGCAATGTACTCAAGTAAATATCGTTAAAATGTAAAATTGCTTTTAATAAGCACAGAAAACCGAATAGAAACTTTGTTTATTTTCATACGCTTGAATGGGCATCCTAAAAGTAAAACCACATGTCGCGATAAAACGCAAACGAAGGCGATGATTTACATATTAGATATTAATGAAAATTTGTTTACCTGTATGCGCTAAGGCGTTGGGAGACTGTTGCAATTCGGAGTCGTCGAATTCGAGATTGGGCTCGTAATCGTGGTAATCGGATAGACTTGGATAAGGCTCATCGTGGTCACCGGAAAAATTGTTAGCTGTAACACGAAGAAAATTTATAAATAAAGGAAATCGCTCGATTAATGGAACCTTACCAGTAACGATTTTTGCGGGGCTTTGTTTACTGTCATCCATGCTTGTGTTCTTAGAGCATATTTAGACGAATTATACCTTAAATACCTGCGTTTTATGTTTCTTATCGGCCAACAATCTTTCGTATTATTAAAAACACTAAATATTACTAAGGCTTCATTATCATTACAATCACTTCCGTCACCGAACGCTGTAAACGCAAGTATTCACTCGCTAACGATTGGTTTACATTTTAATTTCTTTTCTTCGATTGGCCAGCCACAATCCAATTATATTTCGACAGTTGACAGGTGTCATGTTAAATGTCATCGATTTTATTTCAACACTTCTAAAAGCTAATACTTACGTATATGCCAATAGCATGCGACCAATCAAAACATTTGACAATAAACGCAGTGTATCTATTATCTACTTTATTGACTTATTTTCTGACTAAAACAATACATTACACTGTTAATTAACTATATACTCAAAATTAGTTAAGATTCAAATACATTTTGACACAAGTGTTAGCTATTTGAATGGAACTATCGGTCACCGGGCGGCGACGTGACAATGACAATTATAATTGTCAAAACACCTTCGTCTGTGTCAAAAATTTAAAGTAACACTATTAAATAATAACTGCGTTATGTGCGTACTTCTGTAATTTAAATGGTTGTAATTAGTTTAATGTACATGTGCGATGCTATTAGAAATGCAAGTGTTTACAGCGTTTATGGTAAACAGCCGTCATAACCTACATTCGACGTACCTAATTTTACATTTATTTTTCTTGTAGGATGTTGAAAGTACCAGGTCTTATATCGATGACTTGTACTCCAAAGACCCGTCTAAATGCCTTCAATCGATAGTTTGTATAAAGAACTCGGTAATAGGATCAAATCGGCAAAAAGAATCTGTAATAGCACAAGGCATTGTCCCTAGGCTTTTGTTTCTTCTCAAAGACAAAAATACCAAGGTAAACGTACGCGTTGAAGCCGCGGTAACCATAGGATCGCTAGCCAAAGGCAAAGAAGAGCATGTCGAATTGTTAATGAACTCCGGAACGAGCCAAATACTTTTGGACGTTCTGGAAGAAAACGAACCGAGATTAATAGACTCGTGCTTATGCTGTTTGCGCACGTTATCCCAACACGCCAGCTCATTCGACGTTAAATACGACACGAAAAGCCTACAGAAATTGCTGAGTTACGCCGGGCCGAAAGACAGCCTGCAGCGTCAATCGTGCGTAGCCAATATCATCACATCGGCCTGCAAGGGCCCCACGGAACAAAACATATTATGCTCGATAGGAGCGCCGGCCGCTTTGGCTTCTCTGCTGTCAGTTCAAAACTACTCGGTAACCATACCGATCGTGACTTGCCTCGCCACGATGTGCTGGAACAATTCCATCGTGGCCGGCGTGATAGTAAACACAAGCTGCAAAGGCATACGGATTCCCGATTACCTGGAGATACTCATTTCGAGAGACAGGCCGATCGATATGCAATTAGGCGCCGCTAGGTGCCTGACGAATTTGTATCGAGCCGGTGCTATATCGGCCTACGATCCAGTTATCACCTATCGTACCCTTCCGTGTCTCGTCAGGTTATGTCAGGTAATATAGAGATTATTTCGTTGTAATTAGTAATTAATACTCTTCGATTATCAGGTGGAACGCGATCGAGAAGACACCCACAGGGCTGTAGCGGCCGATACATTGGCTTATCTAACGGAAGTCGATAGTAACCTACAACAAGTGGCAGCTATTAGTAATCAACTCGTCGGTGCTTTGGTAGATCTTTTGAAGAGTCCCAATGCGGCTGATCGAGGAGCAGCGTTTAGGTATTTAAAAGAAACGTAGTAAGAGAGGTAAATTAACGATCGTATCGTAGGGCTTTCGCTTCGTTGGGCGCGAACGACGAGGACATACGAAAACGAATAATAGACACGAAATGCTTGATGGATCGCGTGGTGGACGGTCTGGGCGACGAGAACAAAGAAATACGATTGGCGGCCGTGCGATGTTTGCATTCGTTGAGCCGATCGGTGCAACAATTACGCACGACGTTCCAGGACCACTCGGTGTGGAGGCCGCTGATGACACTGTTGACAGGTAAAATGATACATTGGACGTATTCGATAGGTACGAAACTGTTTTACGTGTAAATGGCGTCCGTCCCGCGACGATTTAACGTCGATTTATTGTTCGTTTTTGTTTCGATTGCAGATAACCCTTCGACAGAGTTATTGACGGCGGCGTCTTCCGCTTTATGTAATTTACTGTTGGAATTCAGTCCGGCGAAGGAGCCGATGATCCAGCAAGGCGTCGTCCAATTGCTGGCTACTATCACGTCCCAATCGGATCCCAGTCTTCGTTTGAACGGCGTTTGGGCCCTGATGAATCTCGCCTTCCAAGCCGAACAGCGATTGAAATCGCAAATTCTCACTACCCTCGGCACGGATCAAATATTCAGGCTGCTAGCCGATCAAGATACTAAAGTAATACACCCAATATACTACCGAATAAACTCGCATTAACGCAGCTTTTAACGCAGGTTCTAATGAAAACGTTGGGGCTACTGAGGAATTTGGTGTCCCCTCGCACGCACACCGACATGATGATGGCCCTGCACGGGGCGCAGATCATGCAGGGCGTCGTTTTGGTGCTGGAAGGGCCCCACCAGCCCGACATCAAGGAGCAGGCGTTGTGTATATTGGGCAACATCGCCGACGGGGAGCGCGCCCGCGAGCACATCATGTCCAATGAAGACGTGCTGAAGAAGCTGATCGACTACATGAACCATCCGGCGGCCTGTTTGCAGGAATCGGCGGTGTTTTGCGTCAACAATCTGACGAGGCGCGGCGAGCCGGGCGCCGCCGAAAGGCAGACGCGATTGAAGGAGTTGGGAGTGGTGAAGATCTTGCAGCAGTTGTTGAGCACTACGGAATCGAATTTATTTGATAGGTGAGGCTCTCGAATGGGAATTTGATGAAGGTGAAGGATGAAAGATGGTGAATCCTTTTTGTGAAGGATGAAAAAATTGAAGGAATTGCTTTAAAGAAGTGAAGGAAGAAGGGTTTCGCTTCGAGGGCCTTAATTGCAAAAGGTTTTATGGTTTTAAAAAGTTTTGTTTAGGGTTTTAAAAGTAAATCCTTCACTTTTATAAATATGGACTATTATCGTGCCTATAACAATTTGTTTTTTGTTGCAGAGTTAAGTCCGCTTTGACCCAGTTCGCAGAGGTGTGATTTCGTTTGAATTCTTTCGGTTTTTTTTTTAAATTTTGCACATAAGAAACAACACGTTACGTAATTTATTGTGATTTTAATGTAGACTGACCGAGTATGTATTTAAATAAAATTGTATATGTACTTTAAGTTCTACAGTATATGATACGTTCTGTTGCGTCTCTTTATTTTTGTTGTATTTTTCTTACATCGGGAAGATTAAGCCCGGATATGGATTAAAGGCGGAATTTCGAAATAAAAAATGTAAATTTATGCGTATATGTAATATTTTTAGAAGACCTTATGTTTAATCTTCGTTCATAAAATAGTATTTGTCCTCTATTGGAATGCTCAAATAAACAAAATCGCGTATGATTGATAAAAAATAAAAATAGTGAGATTATAAAGAAGTACGTTATACTCTAACGCATAAATGAAGCTCGGAGGAGCTTCGATTTCACACATTAGAGTAAGATCCACCATCTTAGGCTCTGTCTGTACCATCCGCAGGACTATTATCAATCGCTGCGTTCGATAACGGATCCAATTCGGCGAACAAACTCAACCAAGAGACCTGCTTGCCGTTTTCCCGCGCATTTCCCGCGGACTGACTAGAATTCTGTTGACTATCGTTCGTGGAATCCGCAACGTTGAAGAATCCATCGTTTAAGAGATTCGAAGGCATAAAATCCCCGGCCAGAAACTCCGAATTGGAGTTCCAGTTCAAATCGAGCAACTCCGAGCTCGGTTTCAATGAACCATCCTCGCTTATCGGTTGCTCAGGTAAAGGTAACTCGGATAGATCGGTGTTTAGTAGATCTCCCACATCGCTCGATTGAGACTCTTTGGTGCTAAAAACGATCAAATATCAACCATATTACTATATAAGTATGTCTGAAAAAGTTGGCAATATATGGGAAGCAATCGGTGTTGGTATATCGAATAAAAATAGTTTAAGTACCTTTCGGTTGGTTTCTTTGCTGCGTCTTCCTTTCGATCGGTATACTCGGAATTGAAGAAGGTTTTTTTCGTCTTGTCCGCCTCGAGCGGCGAGAACAGTTCGAGTACAGTGGAACTATCCGAAGGTTCCAACGTGGCCAATTTGGCGGCGGCCGTGCTGAGAGTGTCCGCCGATTTGGTAGAAAAATTCTTAATGGCACTTTGGTAGGGAACTAAACTGTGCGAAAACATGTTGCAACGCGCCGCCGCCAGCAAATCCACTTTCTGCAAACAAGCCAAAGTCAACCGGTCGAATTTCGTTTTGGACTTTTTCACGTATGATTGGGCCTTCCGGAACTTCTCCAAACCGTGGCCCGTGTCCGGATCGAGCTCGCTCGACACCGATTTCATCCAATTCAATGCGGCTCTACAATAATTTTTATTAAAATTAAGCGTGTGTAATTAAATAGAATTTACCTGTATTCCGTTCGTGCTTTTTCCATTTCGGATATAGTAGCTCGAGTGTCCGTTATAGCTCTATTTCTGAACGTTTCCAGTTCGTGGTGTAATCTAACTAAAGACGGTCTTACGGTTAATCTTTGGTGACCGGTGTACGCCAGCGCTTTGCCCGATATGGACATGATTTGTCCCGCCGAGGCGTTCTTTTCATTTTTACCGCAGTCCCTCAAGTACCGTCCCAGGACGTTCTCTTCTTGAGCCAAATAGCACAACCTCTCTTGGTACAGATCGATGACTCGCTGTAGGTGATTGCAGCTGTCGTTGATCGATTTGAATAGCTCCAATTTGGCGTCCAATTCGGCGTCGGAGGATATTATGCATTCGTCCTCTTTGCCACCCAATTTCCTCAAAACGCTGGTTTTCGTTACCCAATATTGGTGCTGCATGGTTACTTCTAATCGGGATTGGATCGATGCATTGGAAAATCAGATAAAACCGTCCGTTGATAAATATTAACAGGTTTTTCTCGTATTTTATCAGAACGAAAATACACATACACAAACGAAATTGGTTATTTACAAATGACGTATAACTGACGTGTGACAGATGACAGCCAGTGTTGCTCGGTTGTTTCTAGGGATTTTCTAGTTGCGCTAAATTCAAAAATGTCGGGCGCGTTTATTTTGATGAATTTAAAACCTATTATTGACACATTCGGTAAAATAAATAATATTTTTTTGAACTCTTATCGCTATCGAAGAACTTTGCTAAAAACTCGACAGTTTAATGTCAATAATTGATTACAATTTTTTAAATAAACAATTCGAATGAACGTGTGTTTATTTTGCGGATAATCACCAATCTAGATTGAGTCATACACATAAAGTTTCGAATTTGAGAAATTGGAAGTTCAAAAATCCCGACTTTTGTGAGAAAAATAAAAAAGAAGAATTTTTGTTCTCTATAATACAGAGCCGGCTTGGCTCATTTTAAATGTACGAAGTCTCAAATATCACACAGTAATGCATAATTTTTAATATTTTTTTAGTTCCTTTTGCCCTCGATTTCCCTTTACTTTTAATCTCGACAAAACAGTAATCGCCTACTAGTTGCTATATGCATTTCGTTACATGTACTTGAATTTAAAATTAAAAAAAAACACGAATTCTAGGTCGCTCGAGTATCAAACCTTATACCTAAATACCTAATTTTAACAAGTGCTGATAACGCGATAACCAAGTTTACCTGGCTTGTTGAAAATATATATTTGCCGTATAGTTGCGACACAATTCTATTAATTTGTTTTCGTGTATCGGCTTCCTCGAAATGAATAAATTTGAAAAAATCATATACAGCACGTCCCGAAATATTTTCAAACCAATTATTAACAACACAATTGTTTTAAATCGATCGATGTACATTTTGTATTTCTGGAAAATTAACAGGGTACATTTGTACCAATTTTTATTAAAAAAAATAGAGGCTCATTATAACTTGTAAGTAGGGGCTATATCTTACCAAAATTATTATCTTGAGGATTTTGTTTTGCCGCTAAACCAATAACATACATACAAACATGATTTCCTGAAATCGCGAAAAGCGCCAAAAAAAATGTAATCTCCACCGAAACTTACGTAAAACGTGTGTGACGTGGAAATTGAAAAGTAATTGGTCGTCGATATTATTTCCTTATCAATAAGGGATCGGTCTGGGCTGAGTATAAATATCTGGTGATCTAATTATTTTATCACTCAAGAAGGTGATTTTTGGTGATTAACCAACCGGCTTTCTTCGGCGATCTTGCAGGTATTTATCGAGTTTATTGAAATTCACCATTTATTAAGTTAGCTTTGTTTAAATTATTTGAGTAGATCGGGTGGTGACTATTGAACAATTATTATACAACAAAAACTAGATGTAAGTTTGGAAGATAGATTGAAAATTTAGAGACTTGAATATACCGCAGAAATATTGCGTTTCTAACTTGTATTTTCCCAGTTCCCTGGTGAATTCATTTAATTTGTTTTTTTTTGACATGATCTATAAAACGTCGCGTTTTCTAGTATTTGATGACAGGGATTTCAACAGGTAATATAAAGATAAGATAAACCTATCGTTCACCTCTCGTCTCATTGTTTGTACAATTCCCATATCTACACCATATTCAGACATATACGTGTGTGCAGCGGCTGTTGTAAATCATCAAACTGCATTAAAAATTTCGATTATGTAAGTCTCGTTTGCATTTAGATTTGCGCTTTGCAATTAATTAATCGTTTGATTTTTTTTCATAAATCTATCTGACTCGTTTTTATTATGCGTTGAATATTAGATAAGAACTTCGTAATTTGCTAAAAAAAGCATTTTCCTAAACGCGTCTTATCAACAATCTAGGAAAAAAACGAATTCTTCCAAAAAAAGATTGAATAATTCAGGAATTTCGAGTCATTAATTCGATAGGCATTCCTCGAGTGCGTTTAAATTATTGTATCGAAGCGAGGCTCGTCTAATTTTCACGCCGAGAAGCTACAGGAAATACGTTGGGTGATCCTTAGGTGGAAGGTGTAGGTCTTAGCAGATTGTAAGGCTTTGCCAGATCTAACTCTTCCATGCATGGAGAACTTGCGCCACAACATACCATCGTCCGAATATCAGTTCCACGATTCTTCGGTATAATTTTTGAGTTCCGTAGAGTAAGTGGAGAAGTGGTCTCTTCACTTTGTTATGAATAGTGAGATTCAACTCCTCCGACTTAGTTTTTGGACTCGCCTCAACGAATTTACCGCAATAGACGAGCGTAAGTTGCAAAAAAATGAAGAATACAAAACATACATTTCACTTATTTATTTACACTTTACTTTTAAACAATTCATTTGGTAGTAACAAGTGTTCAATTTTGATTTTTATTCACGCGCTTGTTGCGGTTTTCGAAACTCCAACCAGCTCCAACTAAAAAAAACACACACACAAACAATTAATTAATGATTTTCTTGTAACTTTGTAATACTTACGGGCACCAGCGACGTAGCCTTTCAAACCTCTAGATGCCGATTGAGTATCTTCTCCATCTAAAACATATGTATGTGATAAAATTGCAATCCGATTTGTTTACCATGATGTTCCCTACCTGAAGGCGCTTCAGCGGCTGCACTACGAGAACCTTTAATTTTAGAAGGGGCTTGAGGGGCCGGAGGGGCCGGAGGGGCTGCAGTGGCTGCAGTGGCTGCAGTGGCTGCAGTGGCGGCACGGTCTCCAACCGCTTCCGACGATGTGTTACTCGTATCAGAAGCTTCAGTACTCGACGAAGAAGCATCGCCGGTACTACCATTTGTACTTTCAGAAGCCGCTTCGGTGCTATTAGCTCCACCAATAGACGCCGAAGCAGATCCGGTAGCATTAGCAGTACCATTACCATTATCATTGCCAGACGCCGAAGCAGATCCGGTAGCATTAGCAGTACCATTTCCATTACCATTGCCATTACCATTACCAACACCTAATAAACTTCCGATTCCATTCTGTATGCTCGAAACAACTCCGCTGAAACCGGTCCCGTTGGGCGCAAGGGCTGCTTGAATGTCGTGCCCGAAGTGCTGGAATTGACCCGTGAGATTGGCGCCTTGACTCGCGATCTGACCTATGAAAGGTATTTGCGATAAGTTTCCGCTACCGTTGGACAACAGCTGGGTGATGTTTTGACCGGGCCACAAGTTGGCCCATTGGGAGGCGTTCAGGCCGAACTCTTTGCCGGCCTCGCTGACGAAACGCGTGAACGCCTCGAGGCCCTTTTGGGGCGAGCAAATCGTCAGCACCTTCAGCGCGGTGGCGTACCGGTCGAGGGGATTGGGCGAGAAGAACAGTTTCCCTATATCGTATATGTTAACGTTGCTCAGGAAGAGATTGTTGTCCGATAGGGATTTGAGGACGGCGATGGGGCGATCGAAGGCGTCGGTGTGGTACATGCTTTGCTGGTGCTTCATCAATTCGAGTCCTTGGTCTATTACTTGGGAGAAAGTCGGCTCGTCCAAGCCGGTACCGTTGAATTTTAAGATGGATGTAGTTACGCCGTTGAAGGATCCTTGGCCTGTTAGTAGCTTGGCTATTTCGACCCAAATGGTTACGACTCCGTCGATGCCGTGGTTTGAGCCTCCGCTGGCGTCGGAGAGGAATTTAATGGCTTTGTCTCTGGATGATATCGCGTTTGTCGCTAATTTCGACAAATTCATATTTTGGCCTATTTGAGTGAATAATTTAATGAGGCTTTCTACACCGCTTCCGCCCGAAAATACGGTGGCTGGATTGACGTTTACCTTAGACAAATCTATGCCGCTGTTAGCGGGGTTCAACAGGCTGCCTAAGAATAGATTTATCTTCAAAAACCAGGTGAAGCTGTGTTGGACGCCGAACGAGCCGCTTCCTTTGTAAATAGCTTGCAGAAAGTCCTTTAGATACGAACCGAACGTCGATAGTCCTCGCAAAGCCTCTGCGTTAGTTAAAGGTAAACCGAGATCCCTTAAATCTTCATTGATTTCTTTGGAAAGCTCGTCTGATAGATTCGAAAAGTTGCTTTTCTGGCCGTATTTTAGGCCGACTTCCAGAACGCTCGGTACGGACAAATTTACGAGGTACTCATCGAAACTCGTTTTCGAGGAATCCCATAAAGTGTTGCCGGTTTGCGACGACTGCTGCACCCTCAGGACCTTATCAGATGCTATGTCAATGATGATAGTCACTCCGGTTTTACCGTTGATTAACAGGATGGTATTTGACGTGTAATTCAACACTAGACCTAACTTTGCTGCTATATTTTCGAAGGCAATCAATGATGTGGATGTGTTGTATATCACTTTAAGGCCGAATTCGGAGATGGAATTGTTCCCTAAAATACATCTTTTGTCAAATTTGTAAGGAACGGTTGTATTGTAACGCAAATTACGACATCTCTATGTTCGAAAATTTGTTCCCACCTCTATACTATACGTCAATTGATGACTTTTTTGACAGTATTTGAATATGATTAATCAACCAAATTTAGTGGTGTATTCTCGCCCAAAATACGTAAGCAAAAATCAAATAGTTTTTACCAAAATGTAATGAAAAAATCACTTGATTAAACAGCAAATTAAATAGAGTAATTGCAAAAAGTAAATAAAGTTGGGTAACTAATAAATTCATTGGAATTCTATCGGTAAAAATTGTGATATCATTTGTAAATAGAGATAAAGGAACGAATCCATCACACGAATGAATCGAAATAAAAATATTTGACTTTTTAAAAGAACTGTTCTACCTACTTTAGGCACCTATCAAGATACGAAATTCACGATTCAAGTGAAAGTTAAATAAACAATTTTCGTTAGAGCAAATAAAGATAACTAAATTGGTGTCAATAAATAAGTGAATTTCGATATACAAAATCCACTTGTTTATATAAAATTACTAAAAACTTATTAATTATAGAAAAATTTACTAACCAGAATCTGCATCGCACACCCAACGGCAATTCTTATTATCATGATCCCTCACGCTTTGATGAAAACCGTGATGGCTTCGATGATGAATCGAGTCATGATGATTATCATGATGCCTTTCGTGAGCTTCATGATGGGCTTTATCGGTGCGTTTTTGATGAGATTTCTCATTTAATTCATGATGAGATTTCTCATTTAATCCGTGATGAGATTTCTCATTTAATCCATGATGAGATTTCTCATTTAAACCATGATGAGATTTCTCATTTAAACTGTGATGAGATTTCTCATTTAATCCATGATGGGAATTTTCCTGCAATTGGTGATGAGACTTTTCATTCGCATGATGATGGTGCGATTTTTCCTTCAAGTCGTGATGATGGTGTTCACGGGATTTCTCGTTTAATCCTTCATGATGATTGTTTTCATCGGCTAAAATTTCGTTCCTGTGGATTTTTATACTAAAAGAGGCTGGTACTTACTCTGTTGGATTGAATTTGTTGCAATAATGAAACCGAAGATAACGATAATGAATGCAAACTTGTGCATATTGATTTATGGTTGTTTTTCTAGAATGTCGGGGGTTTTATTTATACTTTTTTTTAGGTATTCGAAGGATTTTCGTTATTTGTATGATACTAAGAATTATAGTAGGTAATTGCCTTTACATACCAAGTAAATTAGATACTAATTGTTAAATGAACCTACGTAAATGCAAATATAAAAAACATTTTTTAAATAACACAAGTAAATATCCAATAATTAAAGTTACCCTTTATTGTTATTCGTTGTTGTTCACATTCCAATTATACTTTAGTAAGGCCAAACAAAGTATTAACTTAGGATTATTTAAAACGCACAAAACGTTCAGCCATTGCGAATTTGAAATTCGTTTTCGCATTTATCCGCTATCATCTTAGCAATGGCAAGGGAACTGGTAGCACCAGGACTCGGAGCATTCCTGCAATGAAGCACCCTATTCTTCACGACACCTCCTGTTTCATACGATTTAGTATCGAAGTAGAAATCATCCACCAAATTCCCTGCAATCGAATAGGCTTTAGTTTAACCAGCACATCGAAATCGAACCTCAAATAACTACCGTCAATATCCAACGCTTGCGCTCTAACACCAGCCGCCTTCTGCCCCGGTAGAATATCCTCGCGTCTCAACGAAGGCACGAACTTCCTTAAATCATTGAGCATCAAATTCAAAGCGAACGATTTGACCATCTCCTCGCCCCCTTTCCTCATGTACTTCACGGCCAGCTTCAAGAACCCCGGATAGGTGACGTTCTCCGCGAACTCCCTCAAATTGAAATCGCTCCATCTGCAACGAATCAATCGATGCACAACAACAACCCCGCGCCCCGCCGACCGCCTTACTTGTAACCCTCCTTTTTGAACGCGAAGACAGCGTTGGGGCCGATCCACACGCTGCCGTCCATGCGAGGCGTGAAGTGCACGCCCAAGAAGGGAAACCTCGGATCCGGCACCGGGTAGATGTTCGCTTTGATTTGGCGCGCCTTCTCCGGCGCCAGCACCAGGTACTCGCCCCTGAACGGCACGATCTTCGGCGACTTGGAGCACCCCGACAGCTCGGCCAGGCGGTCCGAGTGCAAGCCCCCGCAGGTGAGCACGAACTTCGACCTGAACGCCACACCTCCGGCGGATCGCACCTCTATGGGGTAGTCGACGTTGTCGGGGGATTCCTCCTCCACGCGGAAGTCGTTTACCTCGAATAATCGGTTGCAAATTAGATGCTTTAGACTAGCACCAGGACTCGGGTAAATACCTCAAAATTTAAGTAAATTTCGCCGCCGTCTTGTTTGAAGTCCTCGGCGTAGTGGTTGGTGACGAGCTTCCAGTCGACGATGCCGGTGTGAGGGGACCAGAGGGCCTCCAGGCCGGTGCAGAGGGGTTCGATTTTTCGGATTTCCTCGGGACCGGTGAGCTTGGTCAGTTCCGGCACGTCGTTTTTGATGCCTCTGTCGTGGAGGACGTGCAATCGTTGGACTTCTTCGGGGTCGGTGGCGACGATTAGTTTGCCTACTTTTTTGTAGGGGATGCCCTTTTCGTCGCAGTATCGATAGGCCAGGCGGAGGCCTTCGACGCAAAGTTTGGCTTTCAAGGAACCTGCGATTGGTGTTTGTTGTTAGTTTTGTGTTTAGATTAAAGTGGCGTGTATTTTTATTACCCGGCGTGTAGTATATTCCTGCGTGGATGACGCCGCTGTTGTGGCCGCTTTGATGGAACGCTAGTTCTTTTTCTTTTTCAACCAAGGCGATTTTTAAGTGCCTTTGTCTTTTTTTTAGTTCTCTGGCTGTGGCGCATCCTACAATACCGCCTCCTACTACTATGATATCGTATTTTTTGCTGGAAAAAAAGTGCCTTAGTAAAAAACTTTTGTTACGCCATTGGTAATAGGAGATAAAATGTTACGTTTAGCTGCGTTGCCGGATGAACGATTGTTTTGTCAGTATGAAGTACAAAGAATTGTTTTTTGCTGTGATTCTAGACATTTTTGTGAGCTAAGGATTTCGTAAGATTCAATATTAATTCTACACACTAGTTACATAATTTACTAAAGGTTTTTTTATAAAGAAACTTTTGTGTAGATCTGGCAAGGCAACAATGAAAATTTTTAATTTGACATATAGACAAATTGACAGTGACAATTATGACAATATTATAACCCTATTTTGTATTATTTTAATTTTTATAAAGTAAATCTACTATAATTGATTTTAAAATAATTATGGGAATAGAATTAGATATTAAAAAACTCAAATCTGCGCCTTATTCTAAACTCACCTGTCTAATGATGAAAAAGTCCGCATGGGATAAACGACATTTTTCCATGGATTTATAGCTAGTTTATGTAATTTAATCATTGTTAATTTTCCTGATAGTATAATCTTAAAAAGCTCTATTCAATTCAATAATTCTAACTAAAATGCAGGTTTATTTGATATCACATTTTGCATTAATTTATTCATTAAAATCGTGAACTTGAAATCACACATGGGCGGCGTCAAATTTGAATTATTAGGAAATATAAGGACAAATTTAATCTCGATTTTATACGTATCGTTTATTTATAGACTTAGTTCACAAAACAAATTACAAAAGATAAAAATTGTATAAAAAAATGGACGGTACTAATTACATAAGTTTCAGATCTATAAAAATGTCATGATTATTTAGTTAATAAAAATTATAATTAGTTAAAAAAATTATTAACACCAACACATTTGCGATAGTTTAAACAAAAAATAACTGCCATAATTAAACACAACAATTTGTTCAACAAATTCATAATAAAAAATTCAAATAGCGTCTTAATCTAATAAAATGCGTAATAGTATCAAAATACTATGTAGAAAAATTACTTTCATTGTAAAAAAATTACAAATTTTTTAAATATTCAAAAATACACTTATGTTCTATGAGGCACTTCAACTTCTACTACATTTAAATCAGTTCTAATCGGAGAGTTAATTTGAAATGTACACATTCAAATGTACAATTTTGTTCATTTGTGTGTTCATAGTGCATTTTTCAAACAGTTCACACAAGCAAATAAACGAATGTGATAATCAAACCGAAGCAGGACGATTTGATTAGACTCGCATCGGAGCGGAAATAATCGAAGAAATCGAATATCTGTCTTTCTGTATCGGTGTCCAACCAAGGATTCGAACCGTCATCGAAGTACATCGGACACTGATCACCTAAAAATAAAATAACACCTCATAAAACACGAAATATTATTCGCGAAATTCCTTACGTTCTCTTTCATATTCCTGCATTTCTATAGCAACCGAAGCTCCTTCGGTGTAATTCCACGAGTAAACGTTCTGGTTCAGATCACAGAACGGTCCGATAGCTACAAAATACTAATTAAATATCGACGCATATTTTTTTTCGCGTTATTTTCTACCTTGAGACATCAAAACTCGGTTCAAATCGGCCCTTTGGTACACCCAGCAGCGATATTTCGACAACGGGTCCAGCTCATCGTATGTTATCAAATAGGATTTGAGATTCTCCTTCCAAAAACCGATGCACTTCATTATGTAATCAGGATCGCCTTAAAAACAAACATTACAACACGAAAAGTAGATACAAATAAACACTTACTGTATATATCCGTAGGTCTACCCAAATGGTCCACGGAAAGGCAATAGTTTTCATCGATTGAAATTTCCTTTTGCTCGCTATCGCACACAGAGAAATCAGAGATGTTTTGTTTGCAATAGATGTTCGGGCGAGGGCTCAAAGTTACTCCACCGAGGATCCTTAAAATACACATCGAATAAGTCTCGTATAACTTCAATGGAGAGGAGGATTTTTTATAAAAAGTAGGTTAGTAAAAAAGTTAAAAATCGTATATCTCCCATCGTATTTCTCTCCATTTACAACGAAACTTACCTAGTTACGAATGGCACGTCTCCTTTCTGCGTAAAATTAAACTTCCCCGCTACCGGACACTTAATCGCAATGGGATTCTTCTTCAAATACAAATCGTACTTCCACTTGTTGTTGTTCTTGAACTGCACCCAAGAACACACCGTACTGAAATCGTCTTTAATCACAGCAATGCCTCGTCTGTAACGAATAATGTTGTGATGTTGCGGTACGAAATCGAAGCAAGTGAAATCCTTTTGACTGTAAAATAAGATATAAATTAATCGATGTTTCGTTGGACATAAAGCGATTTTCGTACCATCCGTCTACCGTCAATCTAGCCATCATTACTCGGCTATCTCTTTGTTCTCTACACACGTAAATCGTTCTTCTGTATCTACCTTCATCTGGGTACCAGGTCTCGATGATGTGCGTTTCATTGATGAATATATCAGCGTCTATATTAGCCGTGTTAATCCATTCGCCGGTAAAGTTTTGCGGTAACCGACAACCCGGCTGTACGATCTCGGATTTCACTGAAACATCGAATTGTATACAGCCACCCCGTCGATCGAGCGAGTCGATTTTACTTACCAGGAGTAATGTGCAACCTTTCCGGACTCTTTTCTACGGTTTTTAGAGTGTTACATTCCGCCGTAATGGACACACCGATGTACAAATCGTCGTCTCTGTTCTTCAGGAAACATCTGTATTTCTCGTCTTTTCTGGATTCCTTCGTGTTGGCCACGGCGAAGTAGTGGTTTTTTCCAACGAACCAATCGCCCAGGCAGCTGTACTCGACGACTGCAAATAATCGTAATAATACTTCTTTATACAACCATCGAATAAACTCTCACCTCCGTCGAACGTCCCGGTCATTCCTTCGCACTTTTTGTAAGTAATATTAAATTTCTGATTGGTTATTAAGAACTGGGACCCGGCCGTTTGGCAGGATCGAATCTGCGCGTCGGGATTGTTGCATTCTCCGGTGAATTTGAAACGGTTCTGATAGGCGAAGTTCCAGACGCCCTCGAGCGACGATCTGCAGTTGATCGGAATGTAGTTTTCGGAAAATAGCGTGGCCAGTTGCTGGTAGGGATCGAGGCCTCTGCAAACCGTTTCTACGGAAGCGTATTCCGGAGGGACGTTTATGCAAGCGGCTGGAATGTAAATGTGTTTGAAACGTTTCGTTATCGCGCGATTCGAGCGAAGGATTACTTTCGATTTTTTCGAGAACGTTGACTGTCCTGACAAGTAGCTTAACGCATCTAAAACACGTCTCTTTTTGGAAAACTATAGTGAAATTAACGTGGTGTTCGTTCTGGATATCAATGCAAGTTCCTCTGTTAGTCATGGTCGTTGCGTCCAATGTAGTTAGAGTATTTCTTCCTTGTTCCCATGAAAACCATGCTCCTCTCAGGATATGAGGAATCGAACAATTAAAGCACGAACTTTCCCTTATCACTGAAAACATTAAAGACCCCATTAATTACCAGCAAAGTAATACTGTAATGTAAAAACTTACCTAAAAGAGCAACTAGAGTAGATAATATAAATTTTGTACTGCCCATTGTGAATTATATTAGATTAAACAATATTTTATGGGTGTAAACACACATTACTCACTAATTGTTTTGTTCGTAAAATAAACTGACAGGTGAGGTGAAGAAAAAATTGACAGGTGTCAAACGATCCGTTACGCCTACAAAAATAGACACACCTTTGAACCGAATAATTGTTGTAGTAAAGACCAACTTGCAATAAATAAGAAGAAGAAGAATACTGACGTGTAAATTATTTATAGGTTAATTAATTGTTATTACCAAAAAAACATTAATTTATTTACGAACTGCATTTATCAACAATGGATTCGAGTGATTTTTTTATAGATACAATTAGACGAGAAATAACGGAAAATAGCCTGCAACTGAAAGCCCTAATACAAGATATCGACGAGTGTGTGGGACCCATAGTGGAATTACAGGCGTTAAATAACGCTGGTCGTTCGAAAATAAGCTCGCTAAGGAAACTAATAGGTAAATTAGGCGATGTGGCGAAAGAGAACAAAAGCGCCGCCTTGGAAAAGGAGGTCCTGCTGCAACGAGAGCAATTGATCAGCAGCATGGATTCGTTCAAGCAGGCGAATTTAAAGTCGATGCTAGCCATAGAAAAGGGCGCCAAGGAGGAGCTCCTCAAGCCGAAGCACCCCGACAAAGAAGTGCGGCAACGCCAGAAAAGGGACAAGGAAAATATGGCTACGATGAGTTCAAACGTGACCGATCAATTGCTCTCTATTAGCAGACAGTTGGCGCAGACTACGCAGAGAAGCGCCGCCACCCTAGAAACGCTGGTGTTCTCCTCGGAAACCGTCACGGGCACGAAAGAAGAACTGAAAGTTACTTCGGGCGTCATCGGACAGTCCGGAAAACTGCTAGCCAAATACGGCCGAAGGGAGTTTACGGATAAAATTTTAATGTGCTTTGCGTTCGCGTTTTTTATTTGTTGTGTTCTATATATTGTACAAAAAAGGCTGTTTTGAATTATGTTGTGATAATAAAGTATTTAAATTTGTTCTTCTTTTTTGTTTAAGTGACTGGTGTGCTTATTATGGTGGAGGATAGTAACTATTTTTTTTGATACTAGAGGTCGCTGGTTTATTTGGATTGGATTATTAGGAAGTAATAATTTGTAATTATAGGGGATATTTTTGTAATAAATAATACAAATTTATGATAAACGAGTGTTTTATGTTTTGAGATTAATAAATTAGTAGTAATCGAAAGGGTAAAAGAGAATTAAGTTGAAATTATTGACAATTAAAATAAGATGGTGGTCGAATTAATTGTTGTCAATTAACGAACGTGTTTAGTCACGAGGAAGAGCGTGAAGAACAACGAACAAACAAGCACACGAAGCACAGTTCGTTATTCGGTATTCCTAAAATAAATAAAGTCGCTTTTCCTTTTCTACTTTTGTAATTGGCCGCCAGTTTCCCGCGCCTGTAGACTTTCTACACGTCGATAAGCGGATAGAGCATCGACCGCCGTTTGCTGGTAAGGGAGTGGTAGCGACTGGAACCAATACGTACCGTGTTCTTGTGTAGTGCGTCGCGACCATTGGTCTACAATTCGTCGACCAATCATTGGGAAAGTGCACACTAAAATATCCAATGTAAGTTCACAAATTACCAAACATACTCTACGTTACAATTGGGGGTTGAAGCGCCAGTTTCAACTAACTATTTGTTGTTAATTTCGATGGTTTTTCGAACGTTCATGGCCATTTCTCGCCGTCTCGGTGTTGTGTACAATGGCGACAGTGTAGAACAAAGACCTTCATGCAATACTAAAAACTACCACATTTACTTGTACACTTTCAAAATTGTTATCCAATAACTCGTTTTATACACGAAATATCGCAAATAATACGCAAGTATTTTGTGAACATTACGAACATGTCACTCCATATATTAGGTTAGAATATTCGCAATTCGCTTTAATCCAAAAATGATTGTTTCGTAAGTAACTTGTTGATTGTTCCTCACCGCAATTAATCTCGTTTAACTACTAATTATTAATCAAAGCTCGCTTGTAGATTAAACTCAGATGGAAAGCCAGATAGCCACGACCGCGGACGGTCAGGTGGTGACCCTCCCCATCCAAGGGGTGGCCCCCGGCCAGGTCCAGATGATGCAAGTCAACGCCGGCCAGATAATCCAAGGGGCCAACGGGCAGCAAATAATGGTGCACGCCGTACCTTCCGGCGGACAAATCCAAGTAGCAACGACCGGCGGTACGCAGGGACTACAACAGATTCAGGTTTGGCCTTTTGCTATGAACTTAACCGATCACCGGTCGCTTCTAACTGTTGTACATTCAAGGTGGTGCCTGTGAGCAGCCTGCAATCCGGACAAGTGCTGGTGCAACAGCAACAACAACCTCAATTAGTGCAAACTTCGGACGGGCAAACGTTTCTATACCATCCCATGACGATCGAAGGGAGCAGCTTACAACAAGCCAGTCCTACGGGTGAGCTTCGATCGCTCTCGTAACGAAATCGGAACGTTAATCGATGTGTTTTTATTCGCAGTGTTGAACATAAACGGGAATCTAGTACAAATAGCGGGTACTGCTCAAGCGGCCACGACCAACGGAGTGGCCCAGACCACTGTGGCTTCGCCTACTTCGCAAGTGGTGCCCCAAACGTTAACCACGGCGCCGCCCGGACAACTGGCTATGGCTAACGGAAATTTAGTCATGGTGAGAAACAGCGCAGATGTACGTTAAGTTAAAACAATCCTATTCATTAGCGGCGTAACAAAATAACATTTTATCCGTTCATATCGACCATCGATTGTGTGTAATTGGTTTCGTGTTTGTAGATGGTGCCCGGTACGAGCAATCAACAGTTTCAGAGAGTGCAAATTCCTACCACGGAATTTTTGGAAGAGGAACCGCTGTATGTTAATGCTAAGCAATATAGGAGGATACTGAAACGACGACAGGCCAGGGCGAAGCTCGAAGCCGAAGGGAAAATACCGAAAGAACGACCGGTAAGTAGCGCGCTTCACGTGCAGGTAAAGGCCAAATTGTTTGCGTACAGGCTAGTCTCTTATAAGGGGAGAAGAAAGTGCTGTAGGATTGTAATTTTCACACTATAATCTCTGAAGAATAGTACTATTCTGGTACTAGTGTACATTGTGTAATTATTCTATCTTTTGTAGAAATACCTACACGAATCTCGCCACAGGCATGCCATGAACAGGATAAGAGGTGAAGGTGGTCGGTTTCATTCCGGATCAGTTAAAAAACAAAGGTAAAATAATATATAATCTAGCTTTTAATTAATTTATGAGCCTTGTGAGGCAATTAACAAGCGATTTATTAATGTATAGTCTCTCCAAAGTCAGTTGAATGCTATAAAAACCCCAATTTTGTTGTACTTACGCTAAGAAATATTTTTTTTATAAAGGGAAGCGATGGAGAGGCAACAACAGCAACAACAACAACAACAACAGCAACAACAGACGCATCACGAAGTTCAAGGGACAATTGGCGTTTCGTATGGGAATTTAGACATGGGTACTCCGATTATAATCGAGAGTGTGATGTCTAATATTATAAAACCGGATCCTTGTTCCATAGAAGGGAATTAGTACTGGTAGAAAGTACTGTTAAAACAATTTATTTATTATTTTGTAAATTTTGTGAATAGCGATAACTTTTTATGTATTTCTATATGAATATCCAGTGCATTTACGATTCTTTCTTTAATCCTTATCTAACAGTAGGAACGATTGGTTTGGTCCTTTTTTTATTGTATAGAAATTATAGTAAATGCGCGAGATTTGTATTTCCATCGACGATGTTTTGTTTATGTTTAATTTTGCGGTTAAACGATACTTCCCTTTTGTACATTTGTTAACAATTTTTTGACTGATCGATAGCTGTAATTTAGTTGTACTTTGAATACGCATTCAGTTATATAAACTAATTGAATTTTTAAAATTGTCTTTTTGTTTCCCTAACATCCCTCGTATCAGATAAAAGTACAATTCGGATACGCAATCGTTATCAAATTGCACTATTCTTAGTACTAAATTTCGATATGCACTAGATAACTTGGTTGCCTACCTAGTAGTGTTCATAAATCGATTTTTCGGTCGATAAATGCAATTCTGGTTGCCTATTTAGAAAATATAAAGGGGTAATAAGTATCAGGAGTAAACCTCCTCGCACATTCTGCTCTCCTAATACGAAATTTCAAATTCTCGTTTTAACGTTGAATTTGTTTCAGTCGAAACGAAATCTCGCAAGTTTTGTCTCGAAATTTTATTATTAGGAAATTAGAAGAGATATTTACAAGGAAGCAGAACTAGTCCAGGATTAATAAAGATTGTTTATCCGTATTGTTTTCTTTATTTTTATATCAAATGCATGTTTATCAATAATGATTTGTTCTTATGGGATTTTGATATACACTAGATAAATTGGTTGCCTAGCTAGTAGTGTTCATAAATCGAATTTTCGATCGATGAATGCAATTCTGGTTGCCTATTTAGGAAATATAAAGGGGTAATAAGTATCAGGAGTAAACCTCCTCGCACATTCTGCTCTCCTAATACGAAATTTCAAATTCTCGTTTTAACGTTGAATTTGTTTCAGTCGAAACGAAATCTCGCAAGTTTTGTCTCGAAATTTTATTATTAGGAAATTAGAAGAGATATTTACAAGGAATCAGAATTAGTCCAGGATTAATAAAGATTGTTTATCCGTATTGTTTTCTTTATTTTTATATCAAATGCATGTTTATCAATAATGATTTGTTCTTATGGGATTTTGATATACACTAGATAAATTGGTTGCCTAGCTAGTAGTGTTCATAAATCGAATTTTCGATCGATGAATGCAATTCTGGTTGCCTATTTAGGAAATATAAAGGGGTAATAAGTATCAGGAGTAAACCTCCTCGCACATTCTGCTCTCCTAATACGAAATTTCAAATTCTCGTTTTAACGTTGAATTTGTTTCAGTCGAAACGAAATCTCGCAAGTTTTGTCTCGAAATTTTATGTTTGCGTAATTCGCCTTTGTGAGGATATACCAATTCAATTGTGTATGAAGTAATACAGGGTGTCCCGTTTAAGAACCGACACAGAGCAGGGGCCTTTAGGGGAACCTCAGGAACCTGAAATATGTTATTCGACCAAAATTAATTTAATACAAAGTGTACATTCCTGAGAAGTTTGGATGATTTAAATTAGTTCATTTCATTTTAAAACTTTCTTTATTCTTTTCGTTTTGATGAAAAATGCTAAAAAATAGTCAATACTTAACTCTGTATATTAAAAACCTTTGGCATCAGATAATATAGGAAAAAATAAAACCAAAAACATCGACTTTTAAATATATTTTAAAAATGGTCCCCAAAAGATAACATTCCACTGACTAAGATTTAAAAAAACACATTTCTTAAATACTTAAATATAGAAATTAGACTACTTAAAATTAGTTGAAATAATTTTTTTGTATACAACAAAATTACAACTTATACAAAAACTAACTAACGCACGACTAAACCGAAATAAAAAAAATAATAAATAAAATATAAGTGTTTGTTTTACACACGATTAATACAAAACTATTGTTTGTGTTTCGTAATGCGATTACATTACCACCCTGCAACTTTTCATCTATAAAAAAACATTTAATAAACACAACAGAAACATCTATATTTTCATCTAAAAAATACAAAAAAAACCAATCACAACGACTATGTACAATATACATACAATATACAGGGCGTTATAATTACAATGAAATGCCAAGGAATCGAAAATTAAGAGCGCAAAAAATACGTTTTCGATTAGCTTCGCATCCGTCGTATTGGAATTAGGTTTTTCAAGTGACTAATTATTACCCTACACACAATCTATATCTATACCATCTTAAAAAAATACAAATTCACCAAATGCGGTCGAAAAATGTTTTTATTGGAACCCTAGAAGCTTGCCTTTTGCCTTACATTAAAAAGGGTGGTGTTTTCAGTCTTGGACTAAAAAGTGAAAAAAAAATTGCGAGTTTACTATAAAAAAAAGAACAATCAACCGAATGGAAGACTCAAAAAACGCTTTTATCAAGTCCATTTATCGCAAAAATATATTCTTAAAAATACGCCAGCTACATAAGGCCTTACATTTTTTTTTAATTTTCATCGAATCTATTTTTTTTACACAAATCGATTTTCTTTTACCGTGCTGCATTGGAAACTCGCCGAAGAAAAAGAAAAAGGATTGGAGATCACTAACGAATATTAAAATTAGCAGAATAAACAAACGATTCACGTTAATCTAGCAATATGGATATTGTAAATATCTCGTGACGTCATCACCGGATTAACTTGAACGTACTATATGCCCTTATTGGCACCGATACAAATTCAAATTCAAGCGCAAATTAGAACATATTCGGTCCCAATTCGATACATAAAAATATGTTACACTAAAAGAACGAAATTAAAAATGCACACACTGATAAAACACAAGAAATTACATAATTTTTTTTTGTTTTGCGACAAGCAGGCGAATTTTAATGCTTTCTTTTTTTGGCACACGTTCTACACGCTATTTTTAAAAACTTAACCTAAATATGTTACGGGCTTTTTACGCCATGGAATGTTCCAATTATGACACTAGCTAGCTTCGAAATATGTCCGCGATTTGATAATCGTTTCATTTTTAAACCTAATAAAAGTTATATTTTTCACCACAATAAGCTCTTCGACATGTCAAATTACAACGCTATACACGATATAGGCTAGATTCGCTAACGTTAAACTTACACTTAAAATTAAAAAAATACATCTGAAACTTAACTTTCCTAGCATTGACCACCCCTCGTATATTATTTTTTTTGTATTTTTCGAAATTTTCAATTCGACCGATTAATCCGTTTTGACTAGGTTGTTTAATTTCTAGCACACCTTCTGAAGAATGCTCGTTTATCAGTAATCGATTGATCGATTAATCGGTTATTATCACAAAAACGAAGTTACATAAAACAACAACGACGAAAAAAAATTGTGCTTATTACAATCTCGTTGTTCTCTTATGTAACGAGATAATCGTTTTTTGTATTTTATTTTTTCGAGGGGCTATCAACGGTTAAGTCTTTATTGTTTTTTTTTGTATTTGGGTAGAAAGACTTCAATCTTGCTTTCCTCACGATTATTACCACATATACTTAGATTTATCTATTTCTAATTATCCCTGCGTGCTTTCTTCTTATTGGTTTTCTTCGATGCCTTCGATTCCGTCCATATATCTACAAAAAATAAACAATTAAATGTAATTGTGGTTGCATAACTTGCTGCTACATTGGCTGTATAACTCACCTCCCAGTTCATCAAAGGCCGGAGCGACGTTCTTGACGGGCTCCTCTTGTTTCTGGTTCTTGTTATCGGTTTGCGGTGGAACGGTTTCTTTAATAACCTCCACCTTCGGTTCTTCCTCTTTGGGTTCTTCATTGGGTTTGTCGTCCTTCTTCGGTTTCTTTTCCTTCTTCTTTTTGTCCTTCTTCTCCTCTACTTGCTCGATTTTGATGGGCTCTTCTTTGGGTTTCTCCTTTTCTTTTTCCTTTTCCTTTTCTTTCCTCTCGCGCAGTTCCTTGTTGACGACTTCCTTCACGAGTTTGTCCATCTCCGCTTTGGATTCTTTGTCTTTTTTGGTGAGTTTCTTGGCGTCCTTCTTAGCGGGAGATTGTTCCTTCTTCTTCTTGTCGGATTTGAGGGGGACGGTCTCCCAGTTGCCGTCGTCATCGAAATCGTTCAGTTTGTCCTGGTTTTTGTTCTTGGCGTTTTTCACGTCGTCTTTCGCTTTGTTCTCCTGTCGTTTGGGCCTCTCAGTCGGCTTGTCTTTCTTCGCCTCCTTCTTGGGCTCGGGTTTCTCCTTTTGCGGGGATTTTTTCGATTCTTTCGCGGGCGATTTGTCGCCTTTCGTTTCCGCGTTCGGTACGTGTCCGTTGGCCGTGGTTTTCTGGAAGAATAATGGGATTAAAATTGGCTGGAAGCCTTATCGAAACGGGTCCCGATCACTAACCGATCGTATAAATATTAATAATTCTAAACTTTTAAACGAGGTTAATCCGTTTTAGAGTGAATACGAGCGGTAATTTGCGAGTAATCTTCGATAATCCGCGTTATTCCAGGCATGAATGAATTGGTGAAAAATAAACATATGTTCTGATTGATTAGAGTGAATGTATGAAATAAATGAGTAAAATAACGATTCGTAAACGATATCGAGACGAATAATCTACCTTTTCCTTGATTTTTCGCTTCTTTCCTGCCGATTTTCTATCTTCTTGGGATATTTTTTCGAAGGGTGGTTGTTCGGCGGATTTGAAACCGAACGTAAACAATAAAATCGCCCCGACGAATACTAACGCTACGGGGATGTACATAACGTACGCACTGGTTAATTCGGTTACTAATTCCATGATTTCTTTTCTTTAACACTGGCTGCAACTATACACCGACCAAACAGGATTTTTAACTAATTTTTTTGGTGACGCGTCCGTGACGTAAACATAAGTTTTGATATTTCGGCGACACGTTAACTATTCGATATGTCAAACAATCGATGGCTGACTTCACGTCGATTCGATCATTTCGAATCGATTCGTCGATTTAATTTTCTAATTTTCGTTAATTCATCGACTTTTAGTAGGTAATAGTGCATTGTTCATATTCGTTTTTTATAATCTTATCATTGTCGTAAGAATAATTAATAAAATCGTGCGTATTGTTGGTAGTAAATTAATTCGAGATATCGAACTGTCATTGAGAATCGTGGGCTTGGATGTTGCGGTTAAACAGCCAATTAGTTTTTCCGTTTTGTCGACTTTAGTTTACGAAAATTGTGTTTTTTTTGTTTTTCGTTCAATGACGTTGGATTAATTATGATTTTAATTAATTATAATGGAAGGAAGATCGTGCTAAAAAAATGTCAATGCCATATGATTGTCACTGTCAGTTTTGGCCGAATAGCCAAGTAGCTGAGGGCTATAAACGAGCTGTCATTACCTCATTATCATATTGTTTACATTTTAAAAATGATTAAACAATAATTATTGAGTTAAATTAATTGAAAACTCAGTTTCTCGATGGATATTACTTCGGTTTTTAAGTAAACGCCGCACCAAAGACTATGTTGAAGGCTGTCATACCATATTTAAATCTAGTCGCTAGTCTAAAAATACCCAATAATGGTCGGATATACAAAAAAATACGAAAATTTCACCACGTTAGATTACGCCTTAGCCGGAGGAGGATCAGGCTTCGTGACTAGAGCCCTTTGCCAACCGCTAGACGTGTTAAAAATCAGACTACAATTACAAGTAGAACCCGTAAGTCACCGATACCCAGCTAAATACCAATCCTTATACCAAACGCTGAGAGTTATTTTACACGAGGAAGGCATAAAAGCCCTTTGGAAAGGCCACGTACCCGCCCAATGGCTCTCTATCGTCTACGGCATGGCTCAATTCAGTACTTACGAATACCTCGATCGAAGACTAGTACTCCTAAACGCAAGCACTAAATATACCTATATGTTCAACTTCTTATCTGGTACTATTGCTGGTACGATTCGAATAACGAATAGATTGGCGCTTGTATACTTACGTGACTTTTGTTTTGTAGGTTGTACAGCCACAGTGGTGTCGTTTCCATTCGACGTAGCCAGAACTCGACTAGTCGGACAAAGCGAACGAAAGATGATATACAAAGGCACCGTGCATTCCTGGAGGAGAATGGTGAAGTCCGAGAGCTATTCGACGTTATTCAGGGGCCTTCTGCCTACATTTATACAAGTCGGTCCGCACGCCGGCATCCAATTCGTTTCATATAAACTGTTCAACGATATACAACGCTTAATGTTCAAATATAAAGATACCAGTATGTCGGCTAGTATGGTGTCGGGCAGTCTGGCCGGTTTGGTGGCCAAAACGGCCATTTATCCGTTCGATTTGCTGAAGAAACGCATGCAAGTGCAGGGTTTCGACGAGGGCAGGCGGTTATTCGGTAAACTGTTCCATTGTAACGGCTTGCTGGACGCCTTTCGGAAGGTGTACATCGGCGAAGGCGTTGCGGGATTCTTTAAGGGCTACTTACCCAGCATGGTGAAGGCCGTCGTGACAGGAGGATTGTATTTTAGTACATACGAAATGTGTTGCAAATTTATTTGCTACTACAAATGACGCCTGTATGATATTTTTTAGATGCTCGAATAAGATGATAGACGATTGTTGTTTTTGTTATTGTTATATTATAGAAGCTCGCGTGGCAATAAAACTAGTCATTGAACAGTAAGGTGTTTTAATCAAATGGTATAGAACTACCAGAGATATAACAGAATTTTAAATCCTACGCTGTAATTCTCAATATATTGAAAATGCATAGTATAGAGTTTATAAACTCATTAGGGTTCATTAAATTTTTGTTTTTTACTATTTTGAATCTGTTTGGCGTATTAATGTGCAACAATAGATATCCTAACACACCATTTAGAACTGTTTAAGTCTAGAACCATTCAGAATGCTCCAGAAAGATTTAGCACTGTCTAGAACCATTCAGAATGCTCCAGAAAGATTTAGCACTGTCTAGAACCATTTTAGAACGCTACAGGATCATTTAGAACAGCCTAGAACAATCTAGAACGTTCCAGAAACATTTAAAATTGTCCAGAAGCATTTATATCGCTCCAGAAACATTTAGAACGCATCAGAACCATTTAGAACTGTATAGAACCATGCTTACCATTAAAAAGCCTTCTCACACAAACATCTCTGGTACTTGTATACAATCTATTGCGGGATTTTGAGTATCAACGAATCGGTATTGACGATATGCTTGTGCGATTCGACGATGTGCCGCTTGACGTTCTCCTTTCTGTTGGACTTGTACGCGCAACCGGCGACGTTGCACACGAACGACCTGGCGTTGCCGCAATCGAACCTCCAATGCTTGTAGAAGGAGTTCGTCTTGCTGTAGGCCTTGGAGCATTTGGGGCACACGCGCACCTTGCCACCTAAAAACCACATACAATCGATGAGAAATCGACGGTACCGAAGATAAGGAGGAGAACAACGCGAGACAGGGCGAATTGAAACGAGATGATGGAAAACGAGCGATTTTATTTAACAACGCCGTGCTTGTCTTTGAGGTGGCGCTTCAACGTCGACTCGTAGCTGGTGGTGGTGCGGCACACCGGACAACGGTACGTTTTTTTATCAGCGCATGCGAACTTCTTGTGGTACCACAACGTCGAATTGTGATTGAACGATTTGCCGCACGTCGTACACCGATGTTTGCGACCTAAAACACAACGCGCATCTACAAAACCGACTCAACCACCATCACGAAAGAAGGTTAATTATATCTCTATCACTACAATCATTCACGCCATTCAACTCTCGTCCGATCGGCTTCACACACCGTCTGCTTGCTCGAAGCGAATCAGAAGGCGAAATCGCCGTGCTTCGTGACCAAGTGCTTCTTCAGCGAGACCTTCTGGAAGGCCCTGTACTGGCAGCCGTCGATCGAGCACCGGAACTTCGGCTCCTGGTTGCACTGGTAGCGCAAGTGCCGCTGCAACGACCTGATGTGCCGGTAGCGGTTCAAGCAAGTCGGGCATTGGAAGTAATCTGCAATAAAACCCCGTTTTAGCACGGATTTCCTTCTGCGTTTACTTATACAAATGTTACAGCTCGTCGGATGTAATTAAAACGAAATAACGGCGGTGTAAACGTTTTATTTTGTTGAAATTAGTTAGCCGAATTCGTGCAGGTGCTGGTCGTCGCGCCGGAACAGCTCCGGGTGGTTTTTGATGAGGTGTTTCTTGAGGGTGATGTTCTGCGTGTAGGCCTTGTTGGGGCAGAGGACGCAGACGAATTGGGGCGTTTTGCCGCATTCGTATTTCACGTGCCTGCTCAACGTGTACGAGTATTTGTAGCCCTTGTCGCAATTGGGGCACCTGTATTGCGGCGGGCCTGAAATTCAAAGTTCCCTGGTTACATTCTTTCGAGTTATCAAATATTTCGAAATTAGCAACGCTCATTTTTACGCACAAACAACTCCTTAAATTTTGCCGTAGGTTTCGTTTAATATAAAAAACAATACGTTACAAGTTAGGGAATTCCCCTAGTTTGTATGCACAGTAATCTCCCGGAGATTGTTAAGTATCGATTATTGCAAGATCCTTATGTATTGAGCCGGATCGGCGATGCCGTGCAAGGCCTTCAAATGGTCCTTGAGGCAATGCTTTCTCTTCGCTTTGTACGGACAGAACGAGCAGAAAAACTTCGGCTCTAAGCCGCACTCGAAGGTCACGTGGTTGTAGAGCGACGTCGAGTACCGGTACATTTTCGGGCATTTTTTGCATCTGTACAGGTTAGCGTTCGCTAAAACAAAATTACAATGTAGGCAGAAGAGGTTTTTAATCACGTTTGTAGAGCAAAAAGTGGAAAGAGGCAAATCGTGCGAATATGGCTACAAACAGCTGATTATCAACCAATAAGAGGCAATATCTTACAAATATGGCTACAAGCAGCTGATTATCAACCAATAAGGGGCAATATCTTACAAATATGGCTACAAACAGCTGATTATCAACCAATAAGAGGCAATATCTTGTAAATATGGCTACAAACAGCTGATTATCAACCAATAAGGGGCAATATCTTGTAAATATGGCTACAAACAGCTGATTATCAACCAATAAGGGGCAACATCTTACAAATATGGCTACAAACAGCTGATTAGGACTCAATAAAATGGCCACCAACAGCTGATTAATGCTATAATCAACACTAGACAGAAGTTATAAGAGAAAATACTGTTGTGGATGATCTGCGGTGAGTTGTCGATGGACGCTCCTGTAGTGCCTTTGAAGGTTCGAGCGCCTGCTGGACGAGTAAGGGCAATGCTCCACGGTGCATTTGAAGGGTAATTTTTTCCCGCAATCATCCCGCATGTGCGAGGCGAAGCTCTTTTTGTTGTTGTAGCCTTTCCCGCACTCCGGACATTTGTAAGCGAACACTGGAAAAATTACGAATAAGCTACTAATTTGCCTACTAATTGCTAAGGGGTGCGCTTCAGGATTTTAATAACAAATATACCGAGAGAATAAAATTTTAATGCGATAACCATTTCTCGTTAATTTTCGAAGGCGACGTCTTGTTTGTGCCTGTTGAACATGTGACATTGCAATTCCTGCTTGTAGTAGAAACGCCGGTCGCAGAACATGCACAACATGTTCTTGGTTTTGCCGCATTCGACGCGCACGTGCCGCCTCAAACTGGTAGCAGCCTTGTAGGATTTCCCGCAGGTCCTGCACAAGTACGGCGCACCTGGAAAAACAACAATTATTGTACACTTCGAAAACCTATCGAAACAATTTAATCAACAATTCAAATGATTCGGGTGCGCGTTAATTCAAATCAGTAGTACTATTTATCGCTTTTATTAATACTAAAGCAGCCATGTTGGATTTATCGTTTTTCGACAACTTTGACAGCTCGACAGGGCGGCCAACTTTATTTCCTAAAACCGAAATACAGCCGGTACTCTTCGTCGAATTCGACGGCTTTGTGCGGGTGTATGTTGCGCACGTGCACTTTGACGTCGTACCGCTGCCTGAACATCTTTCGACAGTACTTGCACATGAAGCTCTTAGGTTGGCAGCACTCGTGCTTTTTGTGCCGCCACAACGACGGGTAGCTCTTGTACGATTTGCCGCACACCTCGCATTTGAACGCTGCTGAAAACGATACGATTTATGAATGAACCATAGGGGGGTTTACAGAAAGTTACTATAAATTATAGCGATTTAGGGATTGCCAACTGTAGAAAAACTCGCTTTGTTCCACACGAATTTATTCTAAATTGTGCAGTGGTGCTTCTCGATGAAGCAGACGGAACAAAACGCGGGCTGTTTGGCGCAATCGGCGCAGTAAGTGTACACGGTTTTCGATTTGACGGCCGCCATTTTGGAATCCCTGTAAGTTTCGTACAGTTTTCTGTAGCAGCCGGTGCACCTTCTTCGTTTCTTCTTCGCGTGCAACAGCTTCCTGGCGTCTACGAGCACGTGCGACGGCAAATTCTCGCAGTAAGCTAAAATCGATTCGCATTAATCTAATCGATAAATACAAAATCCGTTTGCTTAATTTTAAATCGCCTTTATTCGCAATAACACACTACTTCTGTTTGACTATATTACGTATTAACATTACAGAACATCGACTATCTTTGTTACTCTTCCCCCACTACGAGCCACACGCGCCTACTAGGTATTTACAAATCGTTTTTTAGTAAATGTTGAATTTTTGCATGACCTCGTCGGCGTATTTGCACTTGTGGCGCTGCAGGTGGTGCTTGTAGAAGTACGAGGCGGTGCAGAAGTTGCAGTAAAAGGACTTTTTGCGCTCGCAGGAGAATTTGAAGTGATTGCGCATGCCCTTCTTGGTCCTGTAGAGCTTACCGCATCGGATGCACGGGACTTTACCGCCTAAACAAGCCAAAGAAAACATCCACGTTAATCAATAACTTCAAACGTTCGTGTAGTAACAGATACTACTTACAATTTAGAAATTCGGTACACAAAAATAACTAAAAAAGAAAAATTAAAAAAAAATCACTATTTACGGGGACAATTTCGGTTCGTTAAAAAACTTTGTAGCATTCATCAGTTTTATTCACGTATTATATTATGTTTGTTGTACAAATGCGTGAGGAAATTAACCTTCTGTTTGGCCTTGTACGAGCACAATTGGCAACTGAACTTCGGCTCTTTCTGGCACTCGTACTTCCTGTGCCGCCACAACGAGCAATTCTGCTTGTACACTTTGCCGCAGGTCGTGCAACTGTAACCTAAAACCGCATGAATTAAATGCACTTAGTGGTTGAGCAATTGACGAAACTAAATCGGACCATGGTCCCTCTAGACTCTAGAGTGTCAGAATTGGGCTGTCCTACGCAGGCGAATCTTTGGAATCCCTGTTATGACCCCTTCATGGATGCATAAGCAGCAGGAATGGTACAATAGGCCTGCTAGAGGCCTCAATGCCTGAACCTTGGCTCGAGTTGTCTCGATCAAGGTTCGCCTGCGAACTAGTAGTATGTAAATCGAACCAATCGGAAACGATTTCTCTACAATGTGGCTACCAACAGCTGATTATAGACCGATAGAAAGAGTAATAGCAAGGAATTTCTTGCAAAGATGCACTAATTTATTCGAAAACAACGTCGTCGTCATGGTTGTGCTTTAGCCTCATGTGATCCCTGCGGGTTTGGTTCCTTTTGAATTTCGATGTGCAGTAGAAGCAAGCGAAATCCTTTCCTCTTCCGCAATCCAAACGCACGTGGACGCTGTAGGATTTTTTCTTGCTGTAAGATTTCCCGCAAGTCTGGCAGGTAAATTCCTTTTTGGCTAAAATGCAAAACGACATTAAAGAAACACCTTTCGATTTTAACTAAACGATAAGTATCTAATCAAGTCGACGTATCACAAGTTTGTGATGATTAACAGCAATTAATACAGCAGGATGTACATATGAGGTGCATGTTTTGTACGGGCTCTCCAGTTTTATTTCCTGTTGTATGTGGAGTCACTTACTAGGCTACTAACACCTGATTATAAACCAATAAGAGCCAATATCTTGTAAATATGGCTACAAACAGTTGATTATCAACCGATAAGAGGCAATATCTTGCAAATATGGCTACAAATAGCTGATTTATTAACCAATAAAAGGCAATATAACTTGCAAATATGGCTACAAACACCTGATTATCAACCAATAGGGTTGATTTTTTTACGCGGGCTCTCCAGTTTTGTTTCCTGTTGAATGTGGAGCCACTGACTAAGAATGCATATATTGGAAATACAAAGTACAGGAATGTTTTGACTGGAATACTGCAAGGTTAAGAAGAGACTCGTGATGAAAACAAACTCGACGATGTCATTCCTTTATTAACTGAATGTCGTATAACAGCAGGAGTATTAGCAGGTAAACAGATCCGATTTCTCCTTGAAACTTTTCATAATCTCGCCCCGCGAGAGGGTGATGTTGTGCCTGCTGAAAGCGTGCTGCTGCAGGCTGTGCGCGTACTTGGAACTGAACGCGCAGTGGCCGCAGTCGAACTGCGAGGCGTTCTCCTTGCAGGTGAAGTTCCTGTGGTTCCACAGCGTCGCCTGGTGCTTGTACGATTTGCCGCATTTGTCGCACCTGTGCGCGTTCGATTTCCCTACAAAAAACAGTCCCGTTTCGTTATCGTTACCGAACACCCGGACTACTCCCATCTCTACTAATCGAGCATACGGAGCGTCCTGATCACAAACGTATAGATTCTAGTTTAAATGAATGGTGCGGTGCAAATTATCGCCTCCACCTCTAGTAAGCTGGTGTGTACAGCGCGTCCCAATAAAAAAATAAACTTTCATCGTTACGAATTATCTGACAGTCTCTTTAACCTCTACTGAAGGTGTCTGATCCTCCTGAGCTACTTTTACCTCTAATAATTGAGTATGTAATAGATGTATTAATAGATAAAGATTGTCTACTGGACTTTTCACCAACATTAGCCCAAAAATAATATAATCTTCGATTTCTTGAACACATTTATTCGAGTCAAAAAATTAGAAATTAAACCGTTCCTTCAACATCCAAAAATCCGGGTGCCTGGTGGTAATGTGCGAGACGACCGTCGACTTTTGCTTGGCCTTGTAGGGACAAACGGGGCACACGAACTTGGGATATTGCTGGCACTCGAATTTCGTGTGTCTCCACAACGATCTCTTCACCTTGTAGCCCCTGCCGCATTTGGGACACCGGTGTACAGCCAGCGCATCTGAAAAACACGCCTGTACTGTTACGAAATAACGGTTATTTTATAACTGTTAAGGTGGTAATGTGGATCTGTCATTTCCACTCGTTGCCCGCCATTTTTGCTAGGTTGAAATGTCGGATTTTGCAGTATAGAAGTGAATTAACTATTAAAAAATAGTATAACATTTAACTGTTTGTTTATTATTATCTACTTATATAAATATATCTAATTCTAAATACTCTGCACATGTTAAAAACAAGTACTCACATCCGCCATGTTGTTTAACCTACTACTGTCACTCCTCAATTATCAAACAAAATGGCGGATACTAATACCCAAACGTAAATCTAGCAGGTGTCGATTTTCTAATCCGAATAGTTGGCGTACAGTTGATGTTTGAGCCTCATGTGCTGCTTGAGCATGTACCTCCTTGTCGTGCGATAGGCGCACGTCTCGATCAGGCAACTGAACGGCTTCGAAGAGTCGCATTCCTGCTTGACGTGCCTCCACAGGGACCGTTTGGCTTTGTACGTTTTGCCGCACTTGGAGCAGCAGTAATCGCCTGAAAAAATCACAGTCAACGTTGCATCGGATGCGCGCTCCATCGTCGGGACGTGTAGTGTAAAATACAGAGAATGCAAAGTTGTATAGGAAGTAATAAGGTAATCCTGCGATGATGTCAGTATGGATAGGAGTTAAAATATAGAGACATCATGGCTAGATTAACGAGAATTTTAGTTGTAAAATTGTTGATGGTGTCGCAGTGCTTGGTTTCCGATGTTCTACCGCTTGCAATAGCAGAAAAAAGCTCAAGGTGGTTGATTGTAACCGGAAAAACAGAGGAGCAGGTGTAATAATTGGAACGCAAGTTGACCGGATTCGGCACCGATTGATTGTTTTTACCAAACGCTTTTATTTTACCTACAGTCGACAGAACAAATGTGATCAGTATTCGCAGTACAGCCGATCGAATATCTCTAAAAACGCCTCGGACATCTCAGGATGGATCCTGCTGACGTGCTTCTTCATGTCGTACTTGATCTTCGACTTGAGCGGGCAGTAGGGACATTGGAATTTCTTCTCTTTTCCGCACACGTACTTTATGTGCGTGTACAGGCTGCCCTTGTTCCGCAGGATTTTGTAGCAGGACTTACATTGCCCGCCACCCGGCGGCACTACAAACAAACTAATTAACCTATTTTCTTTTAAAAATGTCTATTTGTCACGAATTATGTGGGTAAGCGCGATTTTCTCTGCAATATGGTCAATTCTATGAGTTGAACAAAGAAAGGTTATTAAAATAAGGGTGGTTAGAGTGAGATAGTTGCACTCAATCCACAATATCACTCTTCCTTTTTCCTTTATGTGAGACCATTGAAATATAAACGCTATAACGTGAGTTGATTCTAATTATACACAAACATAAACAACTTTAACCATTTACCGGTAAAAAAGAGTTTCCGCTAAAAAGAGACAACACAGTTTGTTGTTTTGATGGTGACGCAGTGCTTAGTTTCTGATGTTCTACCGCTTGCAATAGCAGAAAAAAGCTCAAGGTGGTCGATTGTAACCAGAAAAACAGAGGAGCAGGTGTAATAATCGCAACGCAAGTTGACCGGATTCGGCACCGATTGATTTTTACCAAACGCTTTTATTTAACCTATAGTCGACAGAACAAATTTGATCAGTATTCGCAGTACAGCCGATCGAACATCTCTAAAAACGTCTCAGTCATCTCGGGATGGATCCTGCTGACGTGCTTCTTCATGTCGTACTTGATCTTCGACTTGAACGGGCAGTAGGGACATTGGAATTTCTTCTCTTTTCCGCACACGTACTTTGTATGCGTGTAAAGGCTGCTCTTGCTCCGCAGGATTTTGTGGCACGTCTTACATTGCCCGCCAATCGGCGGCCCTACAAACAAAACTAATTAACTTATTTAAAAAGTATATTTGTAAGTGCAAATTTGTCTGCAATATAGCCAATTCCATGAGTTGAACAAAGAAAGATTATTAAAATAAGGGTGGTTAGAGCGAGATAGTTGCACACAATCCACAATATCACTTTTTCTTTTTCCTTTATGTGAGACTAATGTAAGTTGTCTTTATTGGACTCTTGGACCATATAACTGACTAACAGTGAAATTGGGTAATGTAATGAATGAAATTAAAGATATATAGAGTTGGTGATGGGAAAAATGGGTTTATTATTGCTTGAAGTACATGTAGGAATCGATGGAATCGCCGTCGATTTTGTGCTTCAGCAGGAGGTGGCTCTTCAGGTTGCCCTTCAAATTGCTGCGGTGAGGGCACAACAAACAGCAGAACTTCCTCTGGTTCTCGCACTGATAGGTCACGTGCCTTTGCAGGTGGTCCTTCCTGCCGTAGGTATTACCGCACTTTTCGCACCGGAACTTAACGTGTACCGCTGAAACGAAAGGGACGTTAATCGGCCGTTAACGATATCGCATTTCGAACCGATAACACAAAAATCCAAAAAAATAAAACACTCCGCTAACGGGTGGAATTGCAAACGATTCGTTTATTCGTCGATACAACAAAATATATACTCTCGCCGACGGCGATATCAGATCAATTCGAACTTGGGCCTGCTGTAGTAGGTGAGCAGGAAATCGTCGAGGTTCTCGGCGTGCTTCATCGACACGTGGCTCAGCAGCGGCGTCTTCTGCTTCGAAGCGTACGCGCAGAACGGGCATTTGAACGTCGCAGGTTTGCCGCACTCCAATCGCAGGTGGCGCAGCAGGCTCGACCTTAATTTGTACGATTTCAGGCACTGCACGCAGATGTAGCCTACGGCAAAAAAAAAGAAAATCGTTCGGTTGGTTTATCTGCTGTTGGTGCAAACGGCGATTCGGACGTACTGCCACCGCAGGATTTTTGTTAGTGGGTTAGCGGGTTTGTTAGACGAGCATCCAGCGAGCTAAAGTTCCTCTTCCGGCGCGTTTTTGGCCTCTTGCTCGTCGGCAAAATGCGCAATGACTGTTCGAAACAATAATCACTGTGCTCCTCGTTTTATACAGTGCATTTCTTTAATGTCCCCCCCCCCCTTTTATTTTTTGAACGGATCAACTTAGAAAATTGAAATTTGGGATAATGAAACTAATGCATGATTACTATATTTTGGAGTAAAATTGACAGACGAAAATTTCAAGATGGCGACTGGGCGCCATCTTGGAAAATAAATTTAAATGGAAAGGGGGGTCTTGTGATACATCATTTTGAAGCTCCTGACAAATACTCTACAACCCTGGAATATAAAGTCAATATCTGCACCTGCTACAAAATGGCGGACATTTAATAATTACCTGAATAAATCGACGTTTAACGTCATAATTTGAGGAAATAAGCTGAGTTCTGTTCAAAAAAAGCTCGAAATGGTTGCCTTGAACTTCTTGATACAAGAACAGGCAATCCGAACATTTTCGAACATAGTAACGTCGATATTTTTACAAATATCTGTAATTATTTCTCGTATATCCAATATTGAAGCAGGTTTAGTTTCGTACACATTTTGCTTCAAATAGACCCATAAAAAAAAGTCTAAAGGTGTCAAATCTGGTCAAATTCTGCTCAAATCCATTCAGTAGGACCTCGACAACCAATCCAACGATCCAACGACTAGGGAAAATAGCATCCAAATAGTTCATTACTTGTCTGGTAATGGGGTGGTGCTCCATCTTCCAATGGACGAGAATTTGCCATTTTAGAGTTAGTTCACGTTCTACCTAACTGCAATGAGAACTAAACAACCGAAAACTAAATGAAAATACTTTGAACACTAGGAAAATCGAAAACTAAAGAGAATATTTTGAACACTAGGAAAACCAAAAACTAAATGAGCATATTTTGACTAAACAATTAATGTTCGTTGTCGTACTTAAATTTTTTGGAATTTTTTTAACCAAAAATAACCTGTCAAACCTTATCGGTTTGCTGGGATTGCTGTTTGCCATAGAAAAACAAATATTTCTAGAAAAATTGATATTATTTTGTTTGTATTCAAGTAATTATTAAATGTTCCGCCATTTTGTAGCAGGTGCAGATATTGACTTTATATTTCAGGGTTGTAGAGTATTTGTCAGGAGCTTCAAAATGATGTATCACAAGACCCCCCTTTCCATTTAAATTTATTTTCCAAGATGGCGCCCAGTCGCCATCTTGAAATTTTCGTCTGTCAATTTTACTCCAAAATATAGTAATCATGCATTAGTTTCATTATCCCAAATTTCAATTTTCTAAGTTGATCCGTTCAAAAAATAAAAGGGGGGGGGGACATTAAAGAAATGGACTGTACAGTAAACTGGACGAAACAAACAAGTTATTGCCCCGTATTCAGCCCTCTTTTATTTAATGTTTAAAGAGTTTAAAGAGTCTCTTCGATTTGATAGTTGTTATGGATATTTTTTACGTGAAAGAGACTTTTTAAACCGTTGATTAGCGTTAAAAAGTTAGTGTTAAAAGATTGTTATTTATATGTATATTGGTTTTTTCATAATTTGGCCACTACCTTAAAAGTACACGGGTTCAATTTAGAATTGCAAAATATGACAAAAATAACGAAATAGTAAGAATCTTCATACTAATTTTATTTATCACAAATACCACAAACGTAACCAAAAAAAATACAAGTCAAACACACAAAATCGCTCTACTTTTTCGAAGTCTATTGGCTCTATTTTAAAATTGCAGGAGGTCCCTGCGGGCCGGGCAGACGTGCTGCTTCAGATGGTGCTTGTGCCTGAAGCCCTTGTAGCAGGACAGGCACACGAACGAAGGCGTTTTGTCGCATTCGAGCCTTTCGTGTCGCCTCAAATTCGTCTTGTGTTTGTACACCTTACAGCACCTGTCGCAGGCGAAGCAACCTGAAACCCAAACGAAACGCCACGTCATTTCCACACACCGAAACCTAACGACAGCTACTTAATAGAGATGGGATTCGACGCGATAAATAACCGATCAAGTGATAGCGTTTATTGTTAAGAGAGAGGCAGGTACAAAGCGAGGGTTCATTCCTGCGGCGAGTAAACGTTGGACCGGTGCCTCAGTTTCAGGTGGTTCTTCAGCAGGTAGTTCCTGGAGGTCTGGAAATGGCAGCCGAACACCGGACAGGAGAATTGCCTGACGTTGATGCATTCGAATTTCTCGTGCCTGCGCAACGAGCCTTTGATCTTGTAGCCTTTGCCGCAATTGCGACACCAGTACGACCACCTCGTGGTATCTACAAGCAAAAAAAATCACGTTCAAACGAGGGGAATTGGCGCTAAAGGCGCGTTCACAGGCAATTACACAGTAAACGGAAATAATATGTAAGTAATTTTCATCGGTTTATTCAGATAAGAGTAGTTACAATAGCAGCAACAAGAGATCAAAATACACCAACATTGATCGTCTGGAAAATTCATTCTTCAATATTTTCATTTTTTACTTCACCTTCGTTCACCAACTCCTATCCTCTTGCACAAGTAACCGACACAACGACTAGCAATGAGTGGTAAACTTATATTTAATCAGGAATAAATAAATAAATTAATAACTTGAAAACACCCGTAATAGAATCGATTCGAATCCTGCTAATAGACGCGAGCCTCCGCCATCGATTCCGGATGGACTTTGAGCACGTGCTGGTTCATCCTGTCGCGTCTTTTGAACTTTTTGTGACAGTAATAGCAAACGAATCGGGCTTCGATGCATTGCTGCAGGAGGTGCGAGGACAACGACTCTTTGGTCTTGTACGTCCTGCGACATCTGGGACACGGATGTCGGAATTCTAAAACAATTTTCACTCGTTAGCCGTCGTATAAAACCCTTCTGAATTGAGCAAAGCTTATCCAGAAGAATTTTCTCCGGAACGCGCTGTTAAATGAAACAATGCTATCTATAACACCGATTATAGTTACTTTAATAGTTAATTAGGAGCGATTACATTTTATCCTAACTCAATATCGATGCTGTGTTTATTAATCAAGTGATATTGATAGACATCTTTGTAGTAGAACCTTTGAGTGCAAAATTGGCATTGAATGTTCTTCACGCATTCTCCTCTTTCGTGCCTTCGCAGGCTCGCCAAGAGCCTGTACCGTTTCGGGCAATTTTTGCAGGAGTATAACCTTTCGAAATCATCTACAAAAGTTTCACTGTAATCACAAAACAACTCTATTTTTATAGGTGAACATCTGCGATTGGTGGAATGAGTCGCATTGTAAATCGAAACTATAATTTCAGTAGGTAAGTTACATATGGAGAGAAATCGAAATCAAAAATGTTGGTATTTGACCATGTGCTGTTTGAGATTGTTGGACCTGGTGGTCGAGTAGCCGCAGACGCGGCAACGTTTGTTCCTCGGCTTGCCGCAATCGGTGATGCGATGGCAACGCAGCGAATTGGCGTTTCTGAAAATTTTCCAGCATTTCTCGCACACGATCGCCTGGTCGGGCGGACCTGAAACAACGCCTCGTTCGATTACTCGATTCGATCTGGCATCAACAAAACCGCCACAGATTTAGACTAACATTACGGGTGAAATCAATCAACTAGCAGTGGGTTAATTGCGAATTTATTGTCACAATCTAATTGGCGAAGCTTCTCGACGAAGGCGCGCACGCATCGAAGTAGCCGTGCCTCATCCTGAGGTGGATCTGCAGCTCCTGCTTGTAGTAGTAGCTCTTGTTGCAGAAACCGCAGAAGAGAGTTTTCTGTTTGCCGCACTCGACCTTTTGGTGGCGCTTCAGGTTCTTTTTCAGCGAGTAGGATTTGCCGCAGGCCGAGCAATAGAACCGCAGATTGTCTAAAATCATGAAACAACCCGTCAGAAAACTATCCCGCAGACAATGGATTCGAAAATGTAACTACTCATTTTTTTGGTCTAATCGATTCTGGTCGTTGGAAATGTGGTAGGAGGAATCTCACAAGAACTGGAACGGAACGAGGGACGAGTGATGGAACAAACACCAGAAACATTCAAACGTTTTTATTAACGGTTAGGGCGCAACAATCAACGCGACTCGTCGCCGACGATTCGGTGCTTCCCCACGAAATGCCTGCGCAGATCGGCCGCCCTGTAGGTCGAGTACAAGCACCGGTAGCACTTGAACGTCTTCTCTTTGCCGCACTCGTACTTTCGGTGAAAGTTCAACGAGGAGGGCTTCGTGTACCGCTTGGGACAACGCTCGCATTGGTACGCTGCAAAAAACGCCCGTGTCAATCTAAATCGAAACCTATCGAGTCGGACCTGGTGGTCCTTGAACATCGAACGGACACCAAACTACTAAAACATGGCATTCAAAAGTGCACTGTATTCTTCCTCTTGTTTAGATTCGAAATAGTTCTTCGACATCAGGTTCTAGTATCTTCTGTTGCTCACCAACAATTGGTGTTTCAACCATCGCACCAATAAATCATATGGAGAAGTGGGATAAGAAACAAACAAAGTGATTCGTTGGAAAGTTTTTATTGGCGCGCCAATTTACAACACCTCTTCACCGGCCGCTTTTGGCGGATCTGCTCCAGCCGCGCCGCAGCTTCTCCACCGTCTCCTTGTGCACGACCGTCACGTGCGTGTAGAGGTTGCTGCGTTGCTTGAACTTCTTCTGGCACACGCGGCACTCGAACGTCGGGTCCTTGTTGCACTCGTACCGCCTGTGCCTGATGACGGCGCCCTTGCCGCGGTACTTCTTGTGGCACACCGGGCAACAGTACAAATAGTCGCCGTTCACGTAATACTCCAGATTCCCTGGAAAAAATTCCCCGTTGACATTACGCATTGTTTGTTGTTTGATTAGCTAACCGGTTTATTTACATGTTAGAGTCGCTTGCGATGCTTTATACCGATGCGGGGTTTATGCGGAATGAAACTCGTTTGGTATGTACATTAGAAAAGCAAAGTTTATTAGGTATTCGTTACATTAAGTGGACGTTCGGCGGGGGTGATGTCGAACGGCGAAGAGTGCGGTGCAATTAATTAAACGACTAATTAAGACATGTGATTAATGCAATAGCAGGCCGTGCCTTCGGATCATGTGGCCTCTGAGGTGCTCTTTGCGCTTGAAGGCCTCGAAGCACACCTCGCATATGTTGTGCTTGGGCCTGCCGCAGTCGCGCGACCGATGGGATATCAACGATTTGCGGTTTTTGTACAGCTTGTGGCACTGCGGACACTTTTCCTTGAAATCTAGAAAGAAACGAATTACGTTAGAACGAACCTAAGGAGAACGGTTAATCTAAGTATATCCGGCTAATCTAAGTAACTTTCTAAGTGATTGATTGGTGTCTGTTGACGGTAATCCGGCGTTGACGTCACCGTTTGAATTATTTGAATGAACTATAATCAAATATGCTAAATAAATGTGATGTCATCGCTGGGTCTGTAACAGTTGCTAATTATCTACTGAATACTTATTGAATTTCACACGGTAATTAATTAGTAATTTAATCTACAAACTAATTACCTGTACTAGTTCCTTTAAACAATCAATTAATATCACAGGGTTAGTGTAGAAAACAATTAAAGTAAACACAAAACGTAAACTTTATTAAACAAACGTATAAATATATTATTACCAAAGTAAATTTTTTCTACAACCCGCTAAGTACAACATCTACAAGTTGATTTGAATTAACTAAAACCACCATTATAATCGTTAGAAACTTTTTAATCAGCGACACCAACTTCGTTTCGAAATATTACACAGTCGGCAATCCTAATCGCAGTTTTTGACACTTTTGACAGTTGTGGCGTTTCCATCCGCTGCAACATTACGAACCACGGCGTGGTTCAACTCCTCCGAATCGAGCACACGGTGCAACTTCCTCAAATGGCGCACCAGGTGGACCTTCTGCTTGGCCTTGTAGGCGCAATAAAGGCACTTGAACCTCGGCTCTTTGCCGCACTCCCACTTCCTGTGGTTGCTCAGCGAGCTCTTCACCTTGTAGGCCTTCCCGCAGTCCGAGCACGAGTACCCGACGCCCGCTTTCGGCGGTTCCTTCAGGTTCTCCTTCAGTATCATCATCGGCAACACCAGGTGCGACGGCCATTTCGACGGCTCTACAAAATTAATCAACGATCGTTCGATTACCGATTGAATGTACGCAACATAGACCAAATGTACACGAGATTATCCTTCTACCCAGCTGATAATAGAGAGAAACTTTTCCACCTACACCAATTGAGGTTATTTTGTATCAAGCGACCTTACTAATGGCGAATTTGTGTAGTCACGGCGCTTATTGCGCTTCAATCAGGCGCAGCTTATGAACTAGAATTGTAATATATACAGGAAGTCCCCTCACCTATAAACCACTGCATATACGATGAAAAAAAAAAATAACATCCCAAATTTAACCAATTTATTCATCAGAAAAACGGTAACTCGAATCGAGTTACCGCAACAGAAAAGGGCAACGCGAACTAGCAGTCGCTGACGGGACAGTCGGGGGTGGTTCCCCTGCAGTTCCTCGACCGCTGGTGGTACTGCAGGTGGGATTTCTGCTTGAACCGGACGTGGCAAATCGAGCAGGCGAAGCGCCTTTCGCCGCCGCACTCCCAGCGCACGTGCCGCCACAGATTGGCCCTGTGCTTGTACAGCGAACAGCAACTCAGGCAACCGTACATGCCGGCCTCGTCGACGTAGTAACCAGCTAGGCACCGACAACAGAAAAACAAGGTGAATTCCCAGATTCCCGCCGTTAACAGATGTCCTGTTGCAGGAATAGAAAGCAAGCTAAACCCCCCGACTATACAAACAAATACACTGAATTAAAAACGCCTTAAGAATTGAGGTTAAAATTTTATTTTGTGGAACAACGAGGGCGCGTCGGGTCGAAGGTGGCGCTTCCGGTGCGCCGTCAGGTTGCCTTTGATTTTGCTGGTGTACAGGCAGCCGGGGAAATCGCACTTGAATTGCGCCGGTTTGCCGCACTCGAATCTGGTGTGCTTGTAGAGCGACTGCTGGTGCTTGTACCGGCGTCCGCAGCTCCTGCAAGCGTGCAGCTGACCTAAAATGTGAGTTTTATGCTTTAAGCGCCCTTACTAAATTAATCGGGGGGCTAATAGGCGATTTTTTATTGACAAGAGTAGGTGTTTGGGAATGAAACAAACGAGTTTGCGCTGGTGTTTATTGAGCTAATGTTGGAAATTGTTGTCGGTTTTCCAGGCGGGCGCGACGTGGATGTTCTGGATGTGTCTTTGTAGGTTGAATTTGTGCTTGAAATTTCTGGAGCAATGAGGGCAAACGTACTTCCCCGGTATGCCGCACTCGTTTCTTAGGTGCCTGTTCAAATTCGTTTGGTGTTGGTACTTTTTTCCACAGTTAACGCACATGTACATTCTCAGAGCTTCTACAATAAAACGTCTCATTATAGAGGGTGGCAATTAATTGAGTGCCGATACTTTAGGATGTGAATATTTGGATTATTTTAAGAAGAAAAGTTTATATCAATGTATGTCCTAAACCTCTTAGTTTTCGAGCTACAGGGTGTTACAGTTTTAGAAAAAAATTACATTTCTATTTCTATCATAATTTTCTTATTATACCAGATATTTTCATGAAATAAAAAAAATATTTTGCCTCAAAAAATGCCCTTTAAAAATTAAAAAGTGTGTACAAAATTTCATAAAAATATCTGGAGTAATAAAAAAATTATATATTTTTTTTCTAAAAACTAAAAAACTTTTTTCTTAAAATCATCCAAATATTAACATCCTGAAGTATCGGCACTCAATTAACTAACACCCTGTATACCAATTATTCAGTAGATTCAGCACTCATTAATCACAACCTGGTATATTGTATAATACAAATTTTTTCGTCAAACTGTTTATTTACTTATAATACATTATTTAAAGAAAATTAGTGTAAAAAAATATATCTAAAATTCCGCAAGTATTCAATGAAAATTGGCGGGTTTGTGATGGTCCCTCACATCGTGCAATTCCTTAAAGCAGTGCAGGCACATGTGGGGGGCGTTGTAGCAACCGTTGCAGAACGTATCCACCTTTCTGGAGCGATTTTGAGCGAATCTGGTGCCGAATTGAGCGCTCAATTTCTTGTAGCAACCCTTGCATGTTCGCCTATCTTTCGAAGTACCTCCGCTTTTCAACAGCGTGTGAACAGTCGAAGCATTATAACCTGAAAACCAACCGATTTTAGTACAAATACAGCAAGGGAAATTTAGTTGCCTTAAGCGCTAGTACTAACGGCGGTTTCGTTTAGTCCGGAGGACAAAGGTATTTGAATGTAAAAACAGCGTAAGTTTACACACGTATTTTAATTGAACGCTACATACAGACATTTTCTTAAGACTATTACCAATGATTCTTTTGCATAAAATGGCGTTTCATATTACTGGCCATGTAGGATTTGTAGTCGCAACATTGACAGAAGTACTTGGGCTCTTTGCCGCAATAGCGCGATCTGTGGGAGATCAGAGACGTCTTTTTCGTGTACATTTTGTTGCACATTTCGCAATAGTACGCACCTAAAAAAATCGGAACAATAAGTAAACACGAACATTTCGTTTGCGTTTCAAGCGCTCGCACTAATAACGTTTCGTTTTAGTCCGGGGGATGAGGTTATTTCGACGAGTAATCGTGTAAATTCGAATGCAATTTTATTTCCAAAAATCAATTAAAGGCACAACTAAATTAGTAGAAGCTAAATTAAATCTAAAAACGTATAATAGGTATATTAAAATATACTGCTCCACAAAAGTTCAAGGACGTTCACAAATATTGAGATTAATTTAAAAGTTGCAGGTTTTTCGATCGCCAAATTTGTATGAGTTGTAGAAGAAGGATCAAAAAGTCTGTAACTTTTAAAATAATCGCAAAATTTGCAAACTTTTGTCGAAGCAGTTTAATTCCAAACCTGATCGGAAGGAGTAAAAACCATTACAGCTACGTAATTAACCGAAAAAACTAAATTAACATTAACTAATAATAAACCCTTATTAACGGGAAACAACCCGCGAAAAATAAATCAAGCCGCCTTCGACAGGTTCACTGCTTAGGCAGGTTCCACACGTGCACCTCCGTCACGTGCCTGATGAGGTCCTTCTTGAACTTGTACGTTTGGTTGCATATTCCGCAGGCGAACCTCGGCTCCTTCGAGCACTGCAACCGGATGTGCTGCACGCAGTTCTTCTTGTACTTGTACTTTTTGTGGCACTTCAGGCACTCGGTGTAGTTGCTGTAAACGCAGTAGCCGACGCCTAAAAACAAAACACGATTTCAGTATACGGGAGAGCGTCGATTAGTCGATTAGATTGTTAGTAGTGATTTCGAGCGGATGGTGGCGTTGATTCATTAATAAAGAGAGCGTTTACAAAAGTAGAAAAATTTTATTTGAGTCGGATAAAAAAGAGTATATAATGAAGCGTTTCAATAAGGCACTTATTTAGGTAGATATACGATAATAATATAAAGGATATGTAATTGAATTAATAACTAAATGGCGGTAGTTTGAGGTGTTTAATTTTTTTTGATAGAAACTCCTTTAGCTCCCCGACTATATCGCGTGGGATTAGTGAGGGCGCTCAAAACGAATTAATCAAAAACCTCAACTAAAACACTAAAAAAAAAATTACAATAACATTAAACCTAAACGATTACAAGCTAAAAATAAAATCGAAAAAAATAATAATAAAAAAAAACTTAATTAACCAACTTAAATTTCCTATTATTATCTTTATCCTCGAAGGACGAGTCCTCCCTGACGGAGCCCAAGTCGCCGTTTTCGATGTCATCGAACGAGCCGGATATCTCCTTGATGTGCATCCGGTCGATGTGCCGGTTGATGTGCATCTTCTGCTTGGCCTTGTACTGGCAGAACGGGCAGGAGAACTGCGGCTCCTTGCCGCACTCCCACTTCTTGTGGTTCCTGAGCGAGCTCTTCAGCTTGTAGGTCCTGCCGCAGGTGCCGCACACGAAGCCGCTGCCCACCTGGTGGCCTTGGATGATGTTCTGCTCGGACTGCAGCAGCGCCGTCTTCAGGATGCGCCACTTCTTCCTCCGGGTACCTGGAATTTGACGTGAAGTAGGATTTTCCCGAGTGCGAATCAAACGTACAAAGTGCGGGGGTTAGTTCGACTAAATAGTCCTAATTAATTATAGTTCTATGTAGATATCTACTAACTACCGAGAGATTACTAAAGAGAAAATCGACTGGACAGTTTTATTGCACTTTATTTACGATTCGAATTGTATACAATATATTTTTTATATCGGCGCTTAAGTACCCTTACTATCAATTTATTCGTTTAAATTGATATACAGGATGTTTTTTGAAATATGTGGTCAAACTTTGGGAGCAAGTAGAGAACCTCAAAATATGACAAAAATTTCATTTTACCGAAATGTTCTTGGTTATCGGTATACAGGACGTTAAAGATGGATTCTTGGAGAGGTAGTTTTTTTAATAATTTCATTAATAGCAAATATAAAATGATGAAATTTGGCACACATGCTAAGCAAATGAAATGTCTTATGATACTATTCAATCGGGTTAAAAAAGTTGTCCAGGGGTGGGTTAAAATGAGGGGTTCTTGGGGTAATTCTATTGATTTGTTTAAAGAATATGAAGTTTTCTACATAAAAAGGTATACTTGTTGATTTCCGTATTGAACCGTTTACACAAAAAATGACTCTCTTCTGATACACAAAATTATTAAACTAGTGTCATCATTAAAAATCTCGCAATGTCTAGCAAATCTAGCACATTTTGAGGTTCACTACTTACTCCCAACGTTTGACCACTTATTTCAGAAACACCCCGTATAAAGCATTTTTTTTGTCATTAAGCGCCCCTACTACGCCGTTAGTATATCCCCGCAAGGCGGATTTCAGTGATTAAATTGTCGCTGTTGCACTTGTGCACCCGTTTCAGATGCCTCTTGAGCACGTAGACATATTTAACGGTGAGGTTGCACAAGGGGCACTTAATCTTCGGCCCGACTCCGCATTCGACTCTCAAATGCCTCCTCAAATTGGCCTTTTGCTTGTACGATCTCCCGCAATTCTGACAACTCAACGGATCTACAAAAAAAATCGATAATGCGTTAATTTTTTGTAACTCACTTACCGATTTCGCACTTTAAGCACTTTTACTATTTAAGGTTTTAAGCGCCCTTACTAACAATATCGACGCTTCGATTTAATAGTCCGGGGGATAACTGCATATTGTGTATAGTCAGGAGGACAACAGCAATTTAATTAAAAATACGAATATATTCAGCGAATAAGTAGTTTATTTAAATAAATCGAAGTTATAAAGCGACGTTGGGCGCGTGCAGAGCGTACAGGTGCATTTTTAGGTTGTGTTTCAACGAGAAGCGTTTGTTGCACAGCGTACATTCGAATTGCGGCTCTTTGTTGCACTCGTACGTTTGGTGTCGTCTCAACGTGCACTTTTGTTTGTATTTCCTGCCGCATACGGCGCACACGTACAGCTTAATCACCGCTAAAACAAAACAATAAATACTATCGAACGCACCTTAAACGCCTACATCTATTTGCCTTACACCAATAACGCGACAGGGCGAAAGGGAATCAATGAAATTCGACACTAACCGGTTTTTTATTTACATCTGTGAAATCAACAAAGTAAATCGTTTACAGTGGTATTATTTGAATGCAGAGTGTCTTTTTGTCATGTGTAATTTGAGGTTGAATTTTCTTTTGCAGCTGAACGTGCATATTGGGCAATTGTACATCTTCGATTTGCCGCAGTCGAAAGACTGGTGGACGCTTAATGTGTTGGAATTTTTGTAGATCCTGTTACAACGCAGGCATGCTATGGTGCCCGAGGCTAAAAAATGCATTGGTGAGTAGAATTTACATTTTTTTTGGTGTTAAGCGCCCTTACTAATGTTGTCGGTATCGAATACTTATAGTAAGGCGGCTTAATTCAATAGTATCGTTAATTTGGTTAAGAATAGTGGGGTGGCTTAGAGAGAATTTATTAGAAATTTAATTTTTGGTTCGTTTAATTGCGATAAGCGGTAAAATGTTCGTTTGCGAAACATTCAAAACATAATTTGGGCCATCCTGGGCACGTATCGCAATAGGTTGTGACTTTTTTGATCTTGCTCTTCGGTATTATTCCTAGGGTTTTTCTTTTCGAACAGCCGCGGCAGTTTTTCCTCTCTTTAGTGGCTTTTCCGGGTAACTTTTTCAATTTATGGCCGTTCACATACGGTGCTGAAATTAAATTCCTATGTAAAACAATTAATTAAACGCATAATAGTAGGTAATCGGGAGCATATAAAATTTCGTAAAATGAAATTTTTATTACAACAAAGATATACATACAAAAATAAACATTTTTTCCAGGATTACAAACCCTAAATAATATATAAAATAAATAAATAAAATAACAACTTATTTACCGGATAAATCTTTACCGAATTCCCTATTTATTGGTTTAAATCCGTCACCAAAAACCCATTCATAAATTAATTAATCTAACGTGTTTAATAAAATGATTCATAAATCACAGTTATAAAGAAAAGTACAATAAACTATTTTATAAAAATATAGGTAATTACTCCACAAATAAAATGCACGCGGGTGCATTCTGATTCGTAACTAAATAAATAAATACATTTTGTAATAAATCGCCTCGCAATTCGCAATCGCCCGTACTATAAATCACTCGAAATTACAACGCCATAGTCCGGGCGCGTGCGCCTCTTTTTCCAACGATCACTTATTGTAAGCGCTATTGAGCACCTCCTGCTTGTGCTCCTTGTGCTTGGCCATTACGTGCATAATGAAATGGATCTTTTGCCGGCCCTTGTACGGGCAATAGTCGCACTTGAATTGCGGCTCCTTGCCGCACTCCCATCTGCAATGGTTGTACAGCGAGCTCTTCCGCTTGTACGCCCTGCCGCACTTCTTGCAGGCGAACAGGTACTGTTGCCCCGTCATCTGTTCCAGAGTGATGTTGTCTGAAACAAACGCATATCGGACTAACAGCGACATCTAGAATCGGCGGAAATGGAGGAAAAAGTCCCGCCACGAGCGCCCTTACTATTGGCACGCGTTTATAGTGAGGGGGATTCGTATCGAATTGTCCAAGACTTTTTCTTGTGTGTGTTATACTTCATTTTGCCGATTCTAGAGTTACTTCCCATTTACGCCTCACCGAGTTGCTTATATACAAAATGTACACGTTATAGTCGGGTAATCAACACCATAGTTAGTTAACGAATATTTTTATTAGACAAAATAATATACTAATTCGACAATTTTATTATTAATTATAATAAAGTTAGTTAACTTAGAAAATATATAGTGATCCTTTTTTTGCTAAACAAATTGGACGATAGTCGGGCGGCTTAGGGCACTAATTTTTAGTAAGGCCTTCGTTTGGGCGCTAAGGATTCGACTCTCATGTGATGAGTGTATTTGTTGTGTCTAATTAAATGATCCTTTCGTTTGAATGATGCGCTACAGAGGGCGCAAATGAACTTCCTATCTTTCCCGCTGCATTCGAATTTCGTGTGTCTGTACAGAGACGTTTCGTGTTTGTACGATTTTCCGCATTGACAGGTGAAACTCAACTTGTATCCTAAAACAAAAATCGATTAAAAACGAACATAACTTCAAGTAACGAGTGTTAATATTATTAAAAACATGTTGGTGGTTTGTATTATTTATTATTATCAAAAAATATAAATACAATTCTGTTACTCACATAGGCACTAAAATGGCACTTAATTCTAAAATTAACAGTCTTTTTCGATTGAAATGCAATAAACACAATACAAAGTTAAAAAAAATACGCATTCTACCATCCTACAAATAATTTCGACAATCCCCCTTACTATAACAAACTCAATCACCGCCCACTAATAGTAGGGTCGCTCCTGGCGCATTTTCATCAAACTCTCAATAGAACGGGCGCTCCGGATCGATTTTCCCCTCCGGCTGGAAGTTCTCCTCGCAGTGGAGCTTCTTCACGTGCGCGGCCAGCTTCTCCTTGGTCTTGTACACCAGCTTGCAGTCGAGGCACTGGTGGAACCGCAACCCGTCGCAGTTCCTCTCGTGATTGTCCATCAGGTAGCGCCGCTTGAACGGCCTGTCGCACTTGGAGCACCGGAAGTGGCTGTGTTGCATGTGCAACTCGAGGTAGTGCCGTTGCACGTGGTCCTTTCGGTTGAACGTTTTGTAGCAGACGGGACAGGTGTTTTGGGGGAAGAACATCCGCTTCAGCATCGATTTGGCGCCTACAAGTTGATTTTATTTACATTTATCGAAGCGATTTGCGGTTAGGTTATAAGTTCATGCAGTATACAATTCGACACTAATTATTACTACTATAATACTTTGCTAACAATTTTACGGTAAATTATATTTTAAATTGTGTGTGAAAAATTATTTTAAACGTCGATTTTTGGCGATTTCGGGTCCGTGTTGGCGCAGGAAGTGATCCTTCATGTGCTTCCGTTTGCCTACGAAGGAGCAGGCCAGCTTCGGGCATTTGATGGGGCTCTCGTCGCAATTATATTTCACGTGCAAATTCACGGAGTTGTTCTCGCACGTTTTGCCGCATCTCCGGCATTGCGGACCTAAAAAATACACCAATTTAGGGCTGTGCGAGCGCGGGCGCTACCCCGAATACGGTCCTGTAGCCTAATCGCGGTGTCATTTCGAAGAAAACTCCCAAAAACTACTGCTTCGAAGATTCATCATTTACCGGCAACTCTAGAAAAAATCTCACCGTCTGGCAACGTCGGAATTAACCATACAGAGCCGCTCGTACATTCCGCCTCAATTTCTCCTTCGATTAGCGTGGCTCTTCGACATGTGTTTGTTAAGGGTGATTCGACGGGCGTACGATTTCCCGCACAACGAGCACTCGTACCTCGATCGCTTGCCGCATTCGATTCTCAAATGCCGATTGAGCGTGATCCGGTGCTTGTATCGCTTGAAGCACTGATGACATCGCACCCCGCCACCTATAAAACGCCCATGCTTTAGTGCCGCTCGCTGTTTCGGGGGCCTCGGATTGCCCTGCGTACGGTCCTGTCGCAGGAACGCCGTAAAACGACAGGGGCGTATTCGGGATTTAAATTGAATCGAGCCGGAGGTGGTATTTGGGAAATTTACTTACTTGTACTTACTGTGTAAGTATCCTCAACCAGTCGTTCATAAATTCAAAAATTTTTGACGCCATTTATCTGTTTTATATCTATGGTGTAAGTACTTACTTGTAGATACTGTCCTGTCGTGTGGAACGAGTTTAAAGCGACAGGGGTGTAATCAGGGTGGTAAATTGAGTTGGGTGCGGTCCTGTCGCGAAAACGACAGGGGTGTATTCGGGAAATTTATTGGCCTATCTCGAGCGAAACAGCGGGTATAAAAACAAGCGAGGAAAAATCGATAAAATTTATTGGTCCAGCCGAAAAAAGAAAAAACGCGGGGGAGTTCAAAAATGGTGCATCATCTTGATGTGGGTGTTGTAGTTGCTGCGCTGCTTGAACTTCCTGCCGCACCTGCAGGCGAACTTGGGCTCGACGCCGCACTCGAAGTGCAAGTGCCTGATCAGGTGGGTCTTTTGCTTGTAGCTTTTGCCGCACTTCTCGCAGGGAAACCGGCCGTTCTCGTCGACGAAGTACTTGCTACAGCGCGGCTGGTACCATTCATCTACAAAACCCGCAAGAATTAGCGCCGGTAGCTCGATGGTGCTCGGAACACTCTTTCGGAGGAACGCTCCGCTTACCTCCGTTACTACGATTTAAGCGCAAAAACAACGAATTTTCGTCCGATATACAACATTTATTTGCGTATAAGTTCGCTGAAATGAGATTACACGGTTTTATCACTAACATTAGTACAAATTTCCTCTATAGAACTCGCTACAAAACGAGTGGTCGAGTAGTTCAAATGCACACCCGCTAAAAGCGATTCATTGCTCGATGCAAATCAGCTTGTGGGTGTACTTGTAGTGGCTCTTCAGGTGGTGCTTTCGCTTGCCCACGTAGGGACAGAGGCTGCAGGAGAACCGGGGGGCGACGCCGCATTCGTAGTTGATGTGGTGATAGAGGGACGCGTGGTGCTTGTAGGTTTTTTGGCACCGTTTGCAGCCGAAGCGTCGCGACGCCGGCGCTGAAAATTTAAACGACTTTAGTCGAAGGGCGCGGTGTAAGTTGGGGAATAGGGTGTTTTTTCAAAGGGGAATTTTAATAAGTGGTGAGGCAGGAAACTCGTTTATTAAATGGATTGTATTAGGAAATATCAATGGGTAATTATCACACGAGAAACCTGTTTTGTTTTATTCACTTTTACACAAGAGACATTAATGCGAAATCAAACAAGAAACGTCACTATTTGTATATGAAATTTCAAAAGAATATTAATAGGAAACTTCTAAAAAAACAATCATAACAGAAGACTTACTTTTCAGTGGGTAAAAAATGACTTTACTATGCAAAACTTACCTGTTATCAAACATCTTCATACGCTCAAATAAAACTAAAAATCAAATAAGATAGGTACTAACAAAATTTTAATATTTCCCAGAGAATTACAACAGCAAATTTTCAATCCAACAAACCGATCAACTCCTATCATCTTTCATGCAATTGTACTTTTTGTGCCTGTACAAGGACTGCCTGTGTCTGTAGCATTTGTAGCACTTATCGCAGGTGTATAAAATATTAACTAAAAAACAAGCTACTTCAATTTCGATTAATTATCTACGGGAAGATTTACCCCCATTTAGAGCGCATTAAAAATATATATACAGTTAGATTCACTTTCACTTGACGATGTCGTCACAAAGCTGCAATACCGAATGAAATGTATATGTCCTATAGGTACTAAGAAAAGAAATGTTACCTGAAAAAACACTTCGTTTCAATTAAATATTAATTGATACCCACTAAGTTTTTGAGGATGGGTGAATCCATGTATCAGTAACTGGATAATTAGTGGATGAGTAAAAATACAGTCGGTTTTTTGGAAATGTTTTTATAATAATGAAGGTACAAAATATAATCGTGTAATTGTAGAGTAAAAAAAGAATTGTACTAATGTCGTAAAAAATTCTTTTTTTTCTCCCACTAACTCAACAATTTATTAGTTTAAAACACAAAAAGAGACTTAAAATTTAGTTTGCTCCCACCACGTAAATAATTTATTTAATTTGCTTTATTAGACCAATATAATCTAAACTAACGACCGAAAAACTTACCAACATTCAAATTTAGATAATCAATCGAGACTTTATAAAAAAACAAATATTAGACTTTAATAATTAACGTAAAAATTAGTATAAAAATATTGCCTTACAGTGCATTAAAATAAGGCACATTAATTAGCCCAATTAGGCAACTACCCAATCGAAAATTGCGCACCAAAAAGTAATTGTTAATCGATTTAATTCTAGCTGGATCCTGAAAAGGAAAAGAGAAAACAATTCTAGAAGGTGATCCTGGTGATTTTGGTGAGATTGCCGCTGTGCACCTCGATCTTGTGCTTGGTGGCGTAGTGCATTTTCATGTTGAAGCGCCTTTTGGAAATGAACGGGCAGGCTTTGCACTTGAAGAAGCTGGTTTTCATGCAGTCGAGCGACATGTGCGCGCGCAGGCTGTTCACGTTTTTGAAGCTTTTGCCGCAGGTCGAGCACGAGGCTCCCGAAACGGGCTGATCTAAAAAAATACACTGGATTAGTCGGGGGAACTAGGGGGACGATTGGCCGGCGTACTTACTATGATAGAGGACGTTTCTGTGCGCGGGAGGATATTCATGTCAATTGTCATTACTGTCATTAATGTTGACAATAATGACATTTGACGTTGAGAAATTTGTGTTGGGGGCGGGAGGAAAAAAGATGATAACTTAGGAAAAAAAATGTATTTATTTAACTTAAATATATTAGAGTGAAACCGAGAAACAATTGCTGCATGTAGATGCAAAATATTTTTGAAAGTGAAGCGCGTTTGCCGGCTTGACCCGTTTTTTTTTTAACAGAAAAATCCTATACATTTCCAACAACTTAAAAACCCTAAATAATTAAGTAAAATACAACTATAAAAATTACAAAACTAAGATTAACTCGTATGTTTATATACAAAAAAAATTGATATCAAAAACTGGTATAAAAACGGCACTTTATTGGTACATGTCTTTTATCAAAAAATACATTTATAGGAAACTGTTTGTGGTAAATAAGGCAGTGGTTGGATGTCCCACTAACTTGGCAACATTGCCAGTTTATAATATATAAAAATAATCGACTCACCTCGTACATTAGAATACAAGGAAGCCCGCGATTTGATACGATTATATATAATAAAGTAAAAAAATACAATAACCCGTTCACGCTAACCGTACGATGACGTCATCCTCGCGTTAGAGTGAACAGAGTTTACGTTGATATGAAATTTGAGTCGTAATAACTATTGTATAAAAGGCAGCGAGTGAAGGCAGTATGTTCATTATAGGAAAACCGTTTATCACAATTTTACCGATTAAAAATTTGTCGATTTGATCATTTAACCCCCCACCGAAAAACCGACAAATTATTAATACTGAAATATTATTTTTATCACAATATTTATTAGAAAATCTTTGTGAACTTACGCTAAAACGTCAACGTCAAGTGGCATATGTTATTTGAGTCATTTGACATTGACAGATTAGCGTAATTTTTCGCAAAAACTCTCCGTCATGTTAATTTGATCATTAATTTGAGCAATTTGAATTATTAGGAAAATTTGCAATGAAATTATATTTCGAGTATTCTACATATACCCAATTTTCGTTCGATAACGATGCAATCGATAAAAGCAATGTATAAAAAAATATTACTACTAATCATTAAAGTAGGTAACTACATTATAGTAACTATGATTAAAAAAAGAAGCATATTTCTCCGAATAAAACTAACGAGTATTTTTTCTAATTACTAGAAACAATAATACCAAAGCAAGAATATAACAAGACAAATTAACCGATTAAACTGGAATGTTTATGTCCAAATATCCCCAAAATCTCCGGGAAGATAAAAAAATTCCTTCATAAGAAAATACCCTACTTGATTTCCTCATTATCAATACCATCATCAACTACCTCTTTCTTCACCGCATTCTCCCCGTTATCATCGGAATCGACATTATCCTCGGTCTTCACCGCGGAGCCGTCGAGCACCTTGTGCATGCGCTCGATGTGCCTGGTGATGTGCATCTTCTGCTTCGCCCTGTAGGAGCAATGGGGGCACTTGAACTGCGGCTCTTTGCCGCACTCCCACTTCATGTGGTTCCTGAGCGAGCTCTTCAGCTTGTAGCCCCTGCCGCACGAGGGGCAGAACACCTTGGGCTCGGCGGAGTACTCCGATTTCACTCGGGTGATGTTCAGGTTGCCCAGCATGGCGTTCTTCATGTTTTGCTTCATCAGCAGCATGGGGAGCACCAGGTGGGGCGGCAGCCCGCCGAATTTTTGGTCTGTACCTAAAAAATGGGCGGCGTTAGTATACGGTAATTTTGATTGGGGAGATATAGTTAATTATAAATGGGCAGCAGGAGATTTATGCGTATATAACTACAACAGGAGAATCTATAGTCTAACTTCCCTCCATTATTTTAATATGTTTTTTTGTATTATGTTCCAGTTGAAATCGAAATGAAACACAGATTTTTCCTATATAATATAATAAACAAATTAAAGTGGAAATAAAAATAATTTCTATATGAAAAATTTGTTGATTATTGTCGATCCAAACACCGGATAAAACAAATAAAAAAAAATCTACTTCTACGTTCCCGCCACAACATAACAATAATTAATGTAAATATAAATAAAACAAAATGTTGTACTTAAAGGCTAACATATTTGGTGTACTGCACGAGAGCGAAAATGTCCCTATAATAACGTTCCCTTAAAATTCATATGAAATAAAATTAAATTAAATACAATTTACTCGATTAATTGACTAGCAATTGCTGTTAATCGAGCACTAAATTAATCAAAAAAACTATTGCCGATTGGCAACAACTGTCGATTCCTTCGAGAAATTTCTTTCGTCAAATGTGTCCTAAATGCCCCCTTCGAATCGCGCGAAAAATTCTAGAAAATTAAAGGACATTTTCGTTATTGTATGAAGATGTACTCCTCGAATCTGATGAGGCATTTGAGTTTCTGGTGTCGCAGGAGATTCTTCTTTTCGTAATAGGTCTTGCCGCAAGCGCATCTATAGCTCCCTCTGCCCTTGGGCCGGCGCAGGGGCGTCGGCCAGTTGGCCCCCTTTTCGTCCTTTACACACCCTGATAATCGAAAAATAAAATAAAAATAACGAAAAAAAAAATCGGAAAAATAATAATCGTAAATATCGACCACTCCCTGTATGTTAATTAATGAATTAAATTAATCTATAAGGATTATTCGTTGATTAGTTTTGGTTAGTAGAGGGGTTTTTGAAGCGCTGCGAATTATTTATACAAGGATCTACGGGGTGATTTCGAAATCACCTATGTAACAAAAATTAATGAGATAATTGATTTTTTTATGTTTTTATTTCACTACAAGTTCTAAATAAATAATTATGTAGTAGTACAGGCATGCAAAACGAGGAGATTGGAAAATTTTGGTGATTTTCTAGCACTTGTTTTACAGGGTGACTCCCAAAAATTAATTCGGTAATAGAATTTTACCCTAACTATTTACATAATCTCTCAGAGCATTTGATGGAAATCACCTTGTATTTTAATAAACAAACGTTTGAAAATCATCACCTAGGTGTAAAACATTTCTAATTATATGGGTAAGTTTAAATTTGTTTGCAATATGGTCAATTCTATGAGTTGAACAAAAAAAGTTTATTAAAATAACATAGTGGTGAGAGTGAGAAAGTTGATATACTACAATATCACTCTTTCTTTTTCTTTTATATGAGACTAGTGGAAGTTGTCTTTGTTGCACCCATAGACCATATTGTATACAAATTTGCACTTATGTGTATAGCGAAAAATTTTTTTGAATCTCACAAATTTCGAGTAATCATTTATCACAAAATAATCATATTTCTCTTTTACAAATAGTAATACCAATTAAACCAACTATACTTTATTCAGTAACCAATAGACAGTTAATAAAATTTCGACGAAAAATTGACAATTGACAACTTTGACGTACGTTTAATAAAAACATATTAAAAACGACCGCTAGTCACCAGCCTTCTACAGTTTACTAAACAAAGTACAGTCGGGGATTTACGAGGGTAGGTCGATTAGTTCAGTCGACGACGCCCTGCGTCACGACGACCTTGCTGGCCAGCTCGACGTGCTGCTGTCGAATGTGCCTCTTTAAATGGTGGCTGTAAAAATAGGCGGCGTTGCACAGGTTGCAGAAGAACGTGCGTTTGTTCTCGCAGGAAAACCTAAAGTGCGTGTACATGGCCTTCCTCGACCTGTACGGTTTTCCGCAACGCGTACACGGGAAAATTCTGGCATCGACTACGGAAAAATCACATCGTCAATTTTACTAAATACGTTTTTACCAAACGAAAGCGAAAGTTTTCAATACCTACTTCGACGGTAAATGCAAAATTAAAAACACTATGAAAACAAACAAACAAAACAAAATCGAATTTCGAAACAAAAAAAACAGGCGCTACTGGGATTTCGAATAAAACTACAATCTTCATTTATTTTTCCATTTTTATTCGATTTTAACGCGCCTTGAATTAGTAATTTTCGTACGCGCCTCGTATCATTTACGCCATTTACATGCATCTGAAACACTATAGCAAATTTTCTGGGATCGCGCGAAATTCAGGTAACATCGGCAACACCGCATTGAAGTTCAAGTTCAAGAGGACGTTGCCTAGGGGTAATGGGAGCAAATAAATAAATTTAAAGGGAAAATTCTTTTAATGATTTTAATTCGTGTATATTGGTGGGTTACTTTAAGGTGTATACGGGGTTTTCGAAATAATATGTGATATTATATACAGGGGGAAGAGGAGAAGATTACATCTTGTGTTGTTTTTATGAAGATTTATGGGATTTGGAAATTGAGGTAATTTGTTTTGTGATTTATTATTGAATGATAAATGTTAATGATAATTAAGTCCTGTAACTAAATGAAGCCATTTTGGAAATATATAATTTTTTAAGATAAAAATTATCAAGTGGCATTAGATTATTTTATGACATTACTGCAAAAAATACATCTAAATAGTCAATTCAAAAACAAAACTTACAAGTAAATCGAAAGCGCTTTAAAAACCATTCAATCGTTCACCGACCCCGATCTCCCCCACACCTAAATCACTAGCACTGACCCCAAAGAAGAAAAACTAGGTTAGGATCACCACATTGTAAACATTGGAAATTCACGCGAACACAACCGCACTCGAAACCGACACAACCACCGACATTTCGAGCAATTCGCGACAAACAAACGGCAAAAACCACGCCAAATAATCCAGAAAACCCCGAAAAATCGCCGCGGATCCAGCGGGTTTCCCGCCAGGCACGCACGGGCTCTCGGTGACGTCAACGTCAACGTCACGGCCCACTTGTTGGTTTAACGGTAAGTCGAAGCAGATTTCGCCTAGGCGGCCTTGCCACATCTCTTCCTTTGCCTACCTGATTCGGGTAACCCTCGCACGGCACGCCGCGATTATTATTTATTGAAAATTTGTGCGCAATATGGCCGCCGCTTGTTTAGGGGATTTTAATGCGTGTATACGAGGGGCGCGCTAAGAGAATGTTTAGGTTCTTTTTATTTCTATATATGGAAAATAATATAAATACATTCCTCACGTTTGGGGACATAAAATTAGATACTTAATTAAATTAATTAGAAATTATCAGGTATCGTTTGGTATACAAAAAATTATTGCCTAAATTCGAACGTACAAAAATACTGATTGGCCATTTTACACTACTAATTAATCTTCACAAAAAATATTCCACAAATAAACTCAATAATATTTAACTTAATTACGAGGTACTGTACTGCCCTAGATTTCACACAAAAAATTCATACTTAATTAATTAAACCATGATTTCAAAATTAATGATTTTGATTATCCGAATTTTCTCCTTGAATTACGGTACATATAAAGGTACATAAAGGTAACTAGAAAATAAAGGTACATAGAGAACATACTTAGACAAAAAAACATAAAATTACAGTCAAATTGTTCAATACAGGATGGATCACTTACAAGTGAAATCTATTTGTCATATTTTATTTTGATCCACCCTGTATAGGTAACTATAAACCACGAACACCAAAATATTTGGACCAATTGGAAGAAGATCGACCTAATTAGGCCCTTAATTACTTCTTCTATACGTTTCCTAAAAATATTTTAAAAAAATCTGGAATATAAAAGTACTATAGGTCTTAATTTGCAACAACCAATTAATCGCTAAATTAATGCAATTAAGTCTAAAAAAACACAATTAGATCATATAGAAGACAATTATAGAGATCCAATTAACAGCCTAATTACTTCGTTTAAAAAAATAATTACCAATAACTAATTAAATTATTGCTAATGAAGGTAGAGATGCCTAATTAGCTCGGCGCGATCGCTGCAAACGAAACCGCAATCGCTCGACATGCACCGGAATTTCTCCTGATCGCCGCCGGCCGTTTTGGCGTCGGCGTCGCCGTCGCTTTTCGCCATATTACCGGCCGATTTGTCAGTCTTCAAATTTTCCGTCTCCTCTTCGGCGCCGAAGATGTCATTGGGGCACTTACAAGTGCTGGATACCAGCCGTTTCAAAGCCACCTCGCCGGCTAAAAAGTAATTATAGTTAGTAATTAGGCGAGTAATTGGTTTAGGGGTACTAGCGAAAACCAGCGAAAACCAACCCCTAATACTTAAACATTAATTGTAAACACAAATCGGTCGATTAACGAGATTACTATAAAGTAAGTACGCTATAAAAATCTCTAAATCCGAATTTACCAGTAAAAACATTAACAAGAAATTGTACATCACTTACCTGCTTTAATTACGCAACTGGTTGCAATTAAATAAAACTCACAGGTAATGAGTAACTAGCAATTAATTACTCAACAATATATATGCTCGATAAATAACAAAATCTCTATAACAAACGAGTAATCACGGGTAATTAGTGGCCATCGAGTTGAACATGCACCTTTTGGACAATTTGTGCATCTTGAGGTGCTGCATGTGCTTGAAGCTGCAGCGGCAGGCTTCGCATTTGAAGCGCTTCTCGACTCCGCATTCGAATTTCACGTGCCTCATCAGATGGGACTTTTGCTTGTAGGAGTTGCCGCATCTGAGACAACCGAAGCGCCCTCTATCGGTAAAGAAGAAATCTGCAAAACAGTTCGAATTAATCGGGACAGTTTGTAATTGGGGTGTAATTGATAGCTTACAATACCCACCCCTAATTGGAATAAACCTACCCGTTTTTGTTACTGGAATAAACTTATTATTTAATTACTCCAATTACTATAAATATTGTAATTATGTACAGTAATTTGAGTAAGTAAATGTGTAGTTTAAAAACGCCGGGAAATAAAACTGTGTTAGCGATTCGATATGGATTTAATTGGGGGTAATTAACGGGTTCAATTGGGGGTTCTGTGACAGGCGATCATGTGCTTCTTGATGTTGTACTCGTGCTTGGACCTGGCGGGGCAGTAATTGCAGACGAACAGGCCGATTTTTTGGCATTCGTATTTTTCGTGCCGTCGCAACGACGATTTCAATTTGTACCGTTTACCGCACGTGGGGCAATCGAAACCTGAAAACGTATAATTATTTGGTACTAATTACTTTCTACTGATAACCGACCCGATTTTATCCACCACGCTTAGTATGAAGGCAGTAATTAATTAAACATCGAATTTGGCGTTTATTAAACTGGACAATGCAATTACTGGTTGGTGAAATTAATTAGTACAATTTATACTAATTAAATAAAAGTAATTTGCAGTGTTGTGGTGATTATATCTAGTAGAAAAGTATTTAACTATCCATCCAAAGCTCGCCCACTTTATCGACTAATTACTATTAATCAAAAATGATCAGTAATTAGAAAATAAATAATCGCTCCATTAAAAGCAATAGTCACAGTAAGCAGGTGAATTTTATTAAAAAAAAAATCGATTCTTTACGCTTTACTTTCGACATATAACAGTTGACATATACTAAATTTGACATGTAATTATAGCTAAGTAATGTACACGTCGGCGTGCTTGGTATCGATTTTGTGCTTGTGGAACAGGTGGCTTTTGAGGTTGCTTTTGTAATTGCACTTGTGCGAGCACAATTTGCACGCGAACATGCCGCTCTCGTCGCCGCATTGGAATCGGGCGTGTCGCAAATAAGTCGACTTTATGCGGAAGGTTTTCCAGCACTTTTCGCACGTGTAACAATTCCCATCTGAAATTCAAAGAAACCTGTCTGTGTGTGTACGTTTTCGTTTTCGCGGAATCATCACCTTTACTTATAGTTCGTTCGCGATTAAATCCCCCCGTACCGCGTCTCGTTTCGAACGAACTATAAGTAGCAGATACGAGGGTGGGTCGAAATGATTTAGGTGGTTTGTTTTTTATCAAGCGATTTTATTCAGGCGTGCATTTCTTTGTGCATTAATTTGATGTGTCTCTTAATATTGCTGGTAACGTGCGTTCTGTAAGGGCAGTGAGGGCACAATTTCGACGCCTTTTTGCCGCAATATATGCTAACGTGATGATAAACCGAATTTTTCGTATTGTAACACTTCCCGCACTTGTAGCAACTGTACGAACCTAAAACAAACGTTTAAATGTAAGCACATTTCAATTTCAAATATCGCTTAGTCGATTAAACAATTTTCTTGTAGACAAAAGTATTGTCTACTAGTCAAAAGTATTACCTGTAGGTGACAACAGTATTGTCCGTTAGATGAAAGTATTGCCTGTAGTCAACTACAGTGATAAGTATTGTCTGTAGTCGACAAAAGTATTGCTTGTTGTCGACAAAAGTATCGCTTGTTGTCGACAAAAGTATTGCTTGTTGTCGACAAAAGTATTACCAAAAGTATTACCTATAGCAGACAAAAGTATTGTCCACTAGAGTAGACGAAAGTATTCCCTGTAGTCGACTACAGTTATAAGTATTGTCTACTAGACAAAAGTATTACCAAATCGACATTTCATTCCATTAAAAAATACAATAAACATTTTTATTCGTCAACCATTACAAATTAATCTTATCATAATTGTGTTTGTGTTATTGGCCCGTTTTTAAGGCCTCCTTTTTATGTTTTAAGAAAATGTGCCGCTTGACGTTGGAAGTGATGAAAGTTTTGTATGAACAATACGGGCAACATATGTTGGGTTCTTTGTCGCAGTAGACGGTTCTGTGTATGTACAGGCTTCTCTTGTTCTTGTACATTTTACGGCACTTGCTGCAGCTCACGGAATCTGCAAATTTACTGTTGATTAGTCTAAAATTTAGCGGGAATTCAACTAATTGGATAAGTCAATACTGAGTAAATAAGCTACTGGATGAATTAACTACCTAAATAATTATATATTTACTGATTAAATTCCTGCATAAATAGGTTCTTGACTGAATAGTTTAAGAGGAAGATTAGTGAATAATATAATATCGTATTGACTGGATAGACAATAAAAACTTATCAAATATTACGAGATAAATAGGCAGTTGATTGAATAATCTGCATATGAATAACCTGTTGAATAAATTTGATTGAATTTGCAACTATTAAGGATGAATAGGGTTTGTATTGAAATTAGAGGCGGTTTCGAATACGATTTATGGTAAGATTTAATTACAAAATTAATTTAATTGTGGCGCCTGCTGATGTGTTTCTTAATGTTCCCCGATATGTAGGCCTTGTAGGGGCAAAAAGGGCACTGATGAGTCGGACGTTTTCCGCAATAGATGGCGTTGTGCATGTACAAGCATTTTTTGTTTTTGAAATACTTGTTGCACTTTGCGCACGAGAATTCTACAAACGACAAAAAATTAGTAAATATCAATTAAACCAACTTTTACGATTATAAATTTGAAAAAATTGTATTAAGAGACTCGATTGATTAGCAGTCGATTAAATGCGATTAACCGATTGATTTTTACTCACCGATTTATTTTATTATTAATATAAATATTCCAGTTTTCCTTGGGGTTCTAACTCGTTCGTTTCACTATCAAAATAAATTAAATGAAACCAATTAACAAAAATATATTCTAATTAAATTCGATTACAGTTAATTTTACATATGTAAATTCCCTTAAATTCCGCCTTACCACACCTCCCAAATTCCCCTTTCATCTAAAATGTATAATAAAATTTTTATCAATAATAAGCTCATTTAAAAAAAAGTGGGAGAGTGGTACCATCCAGGCGGACGAAATTCCTTCTATAAAACCTCACACGATGGCGTTGTGAGTGTGCCTGCAGTGGGCGTTGAGCGTGTACTTTTGGTAGAATTTCCTGCTGCAAAACGGACAAACGAACGTCGGCGCCTTCCTGCACTCGTACTTGATGTGGCTGGACAAATGCCGCCTGTGCTTGTAGCTCTTGTTGCACTGGCCGCAGAAGTACCTCTGATTGTGGGGATCGAAAAATCCTCCCGCTGAAATTTAATCCAACGTTAATCTAACGGCCGATCGATCGCTAACAAAATCGGGGAATTCGGAAAAGAAAACCTGTTACTTACTGATTTTTTTACTGTTAATTAGTATAAGTTAATTATTCACAGAGTTAATTGAATTCGTTGATTGTTTAGAAGAAATAAAACGCGATTTGATCAAACGATCTAACTTTAATTTCCTCTATAATTAATAACGTAGGAACTAATAAAAAATTTTATTTAAAAAAGTTGCTTAGAATTAAAAGATCTATACGCAGTTAAAGAAACAAAGTATCAACTTATGAGACACCCTGTAGATTAAATAGAACCATCGGAGTTACCAACTGATTGAAAATTTCAACGGTTGGCAACGCCGAAATTGTGACATCTGACGTTTTCCCGCGCAGCAGCGGGATTATTGTAAATGACGTACCGCTCCCAATCGGAGACGTTGTGTTTCAAAATGTGCCGCTTCATGCTGCTCTTTCGCTTGATGGCGGCGCCGCAATTCGCGTAGCCGCACGTCATGGCGACGGTACCGCAGTCGTACTTGGTGTGCACGTACCACGACATCTTTTTCCCGAACGTTTTGCCGCAATTTCCGCACACGAAGCAACCGGAGTGTTCTACAAAAGAAAAAAGGCGATGACCGGGGAATTCTCGGTAGGGTACTCTCTCGGTACTACGCGTTTTCGGGTAGGTTCGGGATCGAAATAAGATATTTGGTACTTGTATTTATTGTAGAATACAGCAAGAATTGTATTAAATGCAGTCGCGAGTTCTCTTCGACGGATCGCAGGAGGCCTGGTGGTACCTGAGGTACCTCTGTTGCGAGAAACCCTTATCGCAAACGTCGCATTTGAATTTCTTGGGTTGGTTGCACTCGTACTTTTGGTGCGTTTGGAAGTTTCTCAGGTACTTGTAGCCTTTGTTGCACTGCAGACATATGTACACGTTGTAGGTTTCGTTGAAATAGAAGGCTAAAAGTACAAGTAGTACCGCATTAGGATCTAGTTCAATAAAGATACCTGCACGAAGAGTTAGAAGATTAAGTTAGGAATACTGGTGGTACCACCTACAAAAATTCCACGAGAAAATTTACGGTTTTATTTTGGGGATTATACAAGCACAATTTGCTCTTCATCTACGAGCAATCAGTAGGGAATCAGTTACTACTAGTACTGTACGAACAACAATCGGTACTATTCGATGGTCAAATAGAATCCGTGTATGTAGGCCACGTGGGATTTAAGGCTGCTCTTCTGCGTGAAGGCCTTCATGCAAATTTTACAGGTAAATTGGGGCGGCATTCCGCACTCGTACTTTGTATGTCTCAACAAGTTCCATTTGTACTTGTAGAATTTGCCGCATTTGCCGCATTGGTGCTCGTAAATTTCTACAAAAACCAAAAAAAAATAACCAGATAAGTACCACTAAAGGGACATGTAAATTACAGGTACATTTAAAAAGGCCTAAGCTGCGTTGCCACGTGTTAAAAAAAACAGCAGTTCTTCAGGAAATAAAAAAGTTTATTTCGGAAAGCTGACAGTAATAAATTCTGTATTAAATACCTAGATCCTGGATGAAACAACCATACAATTCATATTTTTATGGGAATTACATGAGTTGGAGTAAAGGGTAAATAAAAGGAATACATTAAAGATAATTGTATAATTAAATAAAATACGAAAATATACTTTAAAACGAGACATATAAATAATAACCCAGTCGAAAAATACGATTCTTTCGTTGTTCGAACATCCAATCGGTACGATTTTCTTCGATTTCGGGCCGTTAATTACAACATTAAAGCAATTCACCAACGAATTACAACACCAGCTGGTGTTTGTTTTTCATATGCACGTTCACCTCGTGCTTGTAGTAGAATTTCGCGTGGCAAAAGCTGCACACTATTCGCTTTTCTTTGCCGCATTCCACCCTTTGGTGCCTCTTGAGATTGCTCTGGGATTTGTAGGACTTGGGGCAATTGTTACACCGATACTTAAATCCTGCAAATAAAATGTAGTGAGAAAGGAAGAGCCGAAATATCGAATTATTTCGAGAACTGTGAAGCTTTCCAAGTTCTAGAGTAAGGTTTTCCTTGCTAAAGTTAATCACTTTGAAAGATATACAATAAATATTTCTTTGCGAAGTGCCTATTGGGATTTAGTTTGGTTTAAATCCGGAAGAGAAATAATGAATGCTGGTTGATCCGTATTTGTACTATTTTATTACAATTATTTCAATACAGGAGTTTCGGAAATGTACATTTGAGTAAGCTAGATGGGCGATGAAAAAATGTGCCCTTCAATAAATATAAATCGTAAAAAAATCGTCTAATAAAGAAGTGGAAAAAGTAGCGTCGACTACTCCTAGTACTATATTTGCGATATATACAAAATGGCTGGGTTCTAATAATTAGGAGAATAAAGAGATAATAAATTAAATGACACGGAATAATATTTTCTTAGAAGCCAATTGGTAGTAATCCAATTTATCAAGTATATAAATTTCCGAATAAATCCGGTTATTATTTAGTTACCAACCAATTGGCAACTAAAAAAAAACCCATCCTCATCCACAATCAAATCTACAACAGACTTCTACTCTCTATTAAAATTACACAATAAATTCATCAACCAAATCTTCCCTTCCCATCGCCTCCTAGTGGCCTCGTCGTGCGAGGCTAACCGCCCCCCGTTCAGTCTATTCGGTGAATATTCTTCAAGTGCGACTGCAACACGTCGTTTCGCTTGCACTTCCTGGGGCACAGGGGGCACTGGAACACCGACTGCTTGCCGCACTCGTAGAGGATGTGCGTCACCACCAGGTGCTTGCTGGTGAACACCTTGCCGCACCTTCGGCATATAAATTTGTTGTCATCGATCGTTATGATGACTAAAAGAAAAGAGATACGTCAATGTCGGGTAACAATACGCGAGCGGTCCATACAAAACAGCATTACATTCGTTCTAATAAACTTGTTCTAGAAATAAATTCGTTCGGTAAATCAGCACGAATGCACTATAAATCGTAGGAGTATGATACTTACTGTTTCGTTGGAATTGCGGCTACAAACGTGCAACAAAATTTTATTGCACGTTTGATTCAATTAGCGGGATGTTAATACCATTTTTTTATATATAAAATTTTTATTAAGCAATTCTACTAATTTATAAATTAAACGTTTTATACAAGAAATTCGCAGTTACTGCGAAATTTAATGGAAACGCTCCATGTGCCTTTTGAGGCTTCCGTTTTGGCTGAATGATTTGTTGCACAATTCGCACGGAAATATCTTGGCCTTTCCGGTTAGAGGACAATTATATTTCCTGTGTCTACGCAGGTTGCTTCCGCACTGGAACATTTTGCCGCACTCTGAACAACGCGGTACCCTACCCCGTCTTTTTCCTAAAAATACCAATCATTAGAATGCAATTTTATGTTGTTAATTTGGCTGTCCGTTTATTTACAAGGACTGTTCACTTTTTAACACTGTCTGTTCATTTTTTGTAGCCGCTCCTTAGTGTTTTACACTGTCTGTTCATTTTTTGAACCCTCTCCTTACTGTTTTACACTGCCTATTATTTTTATACACTGTCTTTTCTTTTTTTGACACTGTCTGTTCATTTTTTGTACCCGCTCCTTACTGTTTTACACTACCTTTTAATTTTATACACTGTTTTGTCCTTTTTTGACAATGTTTGTTTATTTTTTTGTACCCTATTCTTATTATTTAACACTGCCTATTTATTTCATACACTGTCTGTTCATTATTTGTACTCTCTCCTTACTGTTTTACACTGCCTATTAATTTTATACACTGTCTGTTTACTTTTTGACACCGTCTGTTCATTTTTTGTACCCTCTTCTTATTAATTTACACTGCCTATTTATGTTATACACTGTCTGTTCATTTTTTGTACTCTCTCCTTACTGTTTTACTATGCCTATTAATTTTATACACTCTGTTCACTTTTTGACACTGTCTGTTCACTTTTTGCCTGTTAAAGTCAATAAAACTAAGTCAATTAGTAGTAGTATAATTTTATATTTGCACTATTTAAACGCAACTTAAACATGATAGGTACTTGCACAATTAAAATCAGTCTTTGAGTAATATACTATAGCTAATAAATAATATATTTATGATTGGGATATTAGTACATACACAAGCGAGCTTTTAGTACCGTCTAAAAGTACCTAGCTAAAACTAATTTAGGTAAAGTTTTATTGCATTGAACTCCGTCGGTTTTTATATAGGAATTTCCTCAGAATTTCCAATGCATGGGCACGGGGAAGCCCTCGATTTTCGCCGATATGTTGTGCTTCAGCTTGACGTGCGTGTCGAGCTCCTGTTTGTAGTAGTACCGTCTGTCGCACACGTAGCACACCAAAGACTTTTCCTTGCCGCACTCGACGCGCTGGTGTCGCCTAAGATTGTTTTTCATCGTGTACGATTTCCCGCAATGCAAGCACGGGTATCGAATTTTCCCTGAAATCACAACCACCCGTTAATAACAGGGCATTTCTCCGATTATCGCGCGCTTAGGAATAAAGCAGTAAACGTAAAGAAACGACGAATTAGCGTAAAAAATAACTTTATTATTACAACTGTATGCAGCTTCATTGGGACGTGAATGAACCGGCGACGTTCTTGAGATGCCTGTTGGAGATGAGATGCACTTTCAGGTGGTCTTTCCTGCACGTCTTGTAGTCGCAGGCGTGGCAAAAATACGCGGGCGACTTGTTGCACTCCCAGCGCATGTGTCGCCCCAAATTCACCTTGTTTTTGTACGATCTGCCGCAATTCGGGCACCGATAACGGCCCGCGCAGTAGCCTAAAACACACATACGAAACGGTGAGCACTTGGACGAAATAAAATCAATCCGAAACGGGAGAACAAAATGAAACTCTGCGGAACAACACTCGTACTTACAAATAACCAAATAAAGTACCACTGAACAGACGTAAGCCGCAAGCTGCGTTGTCAGGTGTTAAAGAAAACTGCAGTTCTTCAGAAGGAAAAAAAATGTTTATTTCGTAGTTTACAGTACTAAATCCAGCGTCAATTATCCGTTCGATTGGAACCGGCCGGCTTGGTGATGGAAAAGCCGTGTCTGAGCAGCATGTGCATGTTGAGATTGTCTCGCCTGTGCGCCTTGTGGCTGCAAAACAGGCAGCTCAGGCGCTTCTCCTGGCCGCACTCCAACCGGTGCCTCTTCAGGCCCCTCTCGTACTTGTAACTGTTGCCGCACGTTTCGCACCAAAACGCGCGTTTCGCTACAACAAAATATCGAGAATATATTCGTACTTGTCGCGGTGCAAAACTAAACAACACTCTACCAAAATAACACTCCGAGCGGGGGTTTTTTAATTAGGGTAAAACGAGAGAATGAATGTCTTATTTGTCGAAAAAGCACTCCTCTTTATTGGTCTAGCCTCGTATAATTTCTTATTCGTTATACGAGGATCAGTCGATACATTTCATTAAATTTAAACAATTTTCGTTGATGAGTTGTGTACAGGATGAACCTAGATGGGAACTTTATTCGAACTTGTGATAAAAAAAACACATACGAACAGTGAACACTTCGACGGATCGCTCTAAAAAATCTAATCCAAAAACAAGAATTGGTGTTGTCGAAAATGAAAATAAAACGCTGCAAAGGATTATTTATTAAATATCGTGATGGTCGCGCAGGTGCTGGGCGGCTTCGAAAGACGAGTGGAATCTGTAGGTGCACATGGCGCAGCTAAACTTGAAGTAGACGGGGCACTCGCGATTGACGTGCCGCATAAAAGTCCTCCTGTGGTAGAATTTGGCGCCGCAGGCGCTGCAACAGAAGAATTCCTCCTGGGTCCGTCGGCGAACTGAAATCGAAAAGACTGGCGTTAGCCGAAAACGTGCCGTTTGTCGCGGATTTTACACTGTAAGTTACAGTGCAAGTTGTTAAAATTTCGCTACTTATTATACCATCCCCTATCATCCTAATTTTTGGTTCAATTTGTTCATTTTTATGAACTATCTTCTTTTTACACTGTTCACATTTTCTACACTGTTTGTTCACAATTTTACGCCTTCTCCGTTTTATACTGCTTGTTCATAATTTTACACTGTCTCCGTTTTGCACCATTTGTTCAGATTTTCTACACTGTCTCCATTTTACACTGTTCACATATTCTACAATGCCTCCATTTACACTGCTCATTCAAATTTGACACTGTCTCCATTATACACTGTTTATTCACATTTTAGAAATTAATAAGTCAATAAATGTTAAATCAAACGATACATTTTTTATAACGAAAATATTTTATTTGTATAATAATACATTTAAAACCGTAAATATAATATAATAAATAAATTAGTATTTTTCTAACCAAAAAAAAACTCGAAGTTAATGATCTACTTCCTAAAAATTACTATTAGAAAAAAACTTAAAACGAAAGTTTTAATAAATTTGGGTAATTAGTTTCTTAAAAAAAAACACGAACGGTTACGATTTGAAGGCGTAATATTGATGCCTTCTCGCCATGTGGACGAGCAGCTGTTGTTTTCTTTTGAAGCAGGCCGGGCAAAACGAGCAGGAAAATCGCTTTTCCCGGCCGCAGTCCTGATAGAAATGCGAATTCATGCTGTTCGCGTTTTTGTACAATTTGTCGCATTTCGGGCACGCCACTGGACCTACAAATTACCATTTATAAAGTACAAACGTTTCGCAAAAAAACATCTAAACTAAAAAAAGGGACGCATTCAATTTGGGGCGAGAAAATGTACAAAAATAAAAGGAAATTGTTCAATAAAGTGGGTTAGTTCAATAAAAAGAAGTGTCCAATAAAAAACATTGTACAATAAAATTATTGTTCAATAAACGATAAAAAAGTGACGACCTTTCGACTGTCCTTTTGCCATAAAGGCTCTTGCGGGGGAAAAAATAAATAAATAAATAAATAAATAAGTACAAACAAAAACTTTAATAACGGATAAATTAGAGGCGTATTGGAAAAATTTAGGCGTTGTAAATGTTCTTGTGCATCCTGATGACGTGTTGTTCCATGTTTCTATTTCTAGTGAATGTTTTTCGGCATATCGGGCATTGGTAGCTCTTGGATTTTCCGCAATCGAGTTTTATGTGCATCTTCAGGGTTTGCACGTTCTTGTAGGGTTTTCCGCATTGCTGGCAATACACCGAGCCTAAAACAGTTTTTATTTCTGATGCATAATTTCGATAACAAAACGTAAGAAACACTCGTATTTATTGACCTACCCTCGTACAGTATCTTAGTCGTTATACGAGGATCGGTCGATAAATTTCATCGAAGCTCAAAAAACACAAATCGGTAAATCAGTAACGGTGGGTTTTATTGAAACATATCAAACATAAGTGGGGTTGAGAAGGGCATTGCGGGCAATAAGTCGACACTTTCTTCGTTTTATTTTTGGCGTATTTTCTGTCGTGACTGGCGACGTTGTCTTTGTAGCAGGCGTGACACCATTTTCTCGTCATCCTGACGGCTCCTTCCTTCCTTTGGAGTTCGTGTTTCGTCCTCGGAAGAGATGTAAACGTTAGCATTTCTTCGGTTTCGTTATACGGGTACACTGAAAAAAAAAATAAACAATATGAAATGTATTATTGCAAATCCGTCACTTGAGATGCGTTTAATATTTACATATTTAATTATCGCAGTGTTTATTGGTTTCTCTAATGAGTTAATACTTACAGTACGGGGTAATTAGGATATAAATTCGCGCACGTTTGGTCACCTAAAAGAGTCGAATTTTATTTACTCAAAATAGAGTCAATCGTACAATCTGACTCTTCGAAAATCCCAGAAACGACTAGATCGGCATAAATAACTTTTATTACGAAACGTGCATACAAAATAACCTATCGTAAGGATCGCTACATGCCGGTATGAAAACCCAAGCTCTTCAACGAGAGCTTGTCGCCGTTGTGGACCAATTTCACGTGTCGATCTCGGTTGGCCTTGAGCCGGCTGGAGTACGAGCAACCGAGCACCGAGCACAGAAATTGCGGCAACTTGTTGCACTCGTAGTTCAAATGCCGCATCAGATTGCCCTTGTACTTGTACCGTTTATTGCACTGTGCGCACAAATGCGGGTACTCTGAAAAACAAAGAAATCAAATTAACGATCAAACTGGTCAGCGCGATTATCCTGTTAGCTAATGTGAATGGTGCTGAAATGGAACGAAATTTTCGTTATAAATGGGAGTTTCGGTACGCTTTGTATCAATATTAAGTCTTCAGTTTTGTTCTTTCAATGTTTTTACTATAGAACACGAACTTGGTGCTTCAACAACTTACAAACTATACAAAAAAGAACTCACTAATTCTCAAATTTATTTACAAACGAAAATACCAATTACAATTCGAGATTCCTGAGCCTGATCAAGTGCCGTTTGCTTCTGTAATGGTTGTTCAAAGTATTGGTTCTGTGGGTTCTGTAATTGCACACGGAACATTCCAAGCTCGGTTCCTTGTCGCATTCCCTTCTGACATGTTTGATCAGGTCGTATTTGTACTTGTACGTGCGCAGGCACTTCGAACAAGAGAATCTGCGACCTGCAAGGAAATACCAAATTCAACACTCTAGCTGTAGGAGGACTTAATCACAGGCTAATAAGACCCACCTCACTCGCACGAACATGTTCAGTTGAAGGACAAAAGGTTTTAATACCAAAAATTTTAATCAGAATTAATTAACACCAACAAATAAATTCGAAACAGGTTTGAACAGGAAAGGTGCACTCGCTTAATTTTCACTGGGGTACTCGATTTTGGGCTCCGTCGCTTCGATTTTTAGTTCACATTTCACGCCGGCTTGTTGCATGTGCTTCAAGTGCACTCTGGTGATGTGTTTGGACAGGTTGTTTTTCAGTTTGACTTTTCTGTCGCAATAGGGACATTGGAATTGCGGCTCCTTCTGGCACTCGTACTTCATGTGGGCGTACAACGATTGGGAGTGCCTGTAGCTCTTTTGGCACTTCGAACAGACATATTTGGCTGGAAAAAACAGGCAATGAACAACGGGAAAATTGTAAAAAGTAACGCTATAAGTAGGTATATTTCAAATTTTACACAACACTTAAAAAAATGAAGAAAACAAGTTTTATTTCGGTGATTTTATTTAATAAATAAACTAGAAACAATTCAGCAACTTGAAATAATGGAAAAAGAAGCAACATTCTGGTTCCTGGTTAAATAGAGTTAAAACAGCTGGTTTAGAAATAAAATTTTATTGAATAAAAATGTACATGATATACACAATCTGGTGCTAACTTTAACACTCTAAAAACTCCCGAATGGTCCGATTTAGGCCGTTTTGGTGAAGTCCTTGGCCAGCACGGCGCGCTTCTTGTGCGCCGCGGACATCATGTGCCTGCGCAGGACGTGATCGAACCGGCTGGAGAAATCGCAAATGTCGCAGAAATACTGCGGCGGCTTGCCGCAATCGTTCCGCAGGTGCGTGTACACCGAGGTCTTGTGCTTGTAGGTCTTCGTGCACTTGGGACACACGTAGTGGCCCAGCTCGTCCTGCATTATGCTACCCGATACGTCTAAAACAAAACGGAACCGGTCACGAAGCGTTCGACTAGCATTCTCTTCTATCAAAAGTGGCCTATCGATCGGTGCAAACAATAAAACACCGTAATGCGGTTAAAATTGGTTTATTGAGTTGGATTAATCGATCACATAATAGGCTGCTGTAGGGAGATTATCTGGTGGACTGTTTTAAGATGGCGCAGGTAATTGTGCTTCTGCTTGGCCGAATAGCTGCATATGTAGCACTTGAACAGGCCGGTCTCGATGCCGCACTCCCATTTCAGGTGCTTCACCAGCGAGCTGCGGTGCTTGTAACCGTGCGAACACTTCGGACAGTATATGGGAAAAACTGAAAAGGAAAGTCGTTAGAACAACTCCATTGTTCGGCGGTGCGGCGGGAGAGGTTAATTGGGTTGGGTGAAGTTTTTCTTGTGGCGCTCCAAGTGCAAATTGAAGTAGTACTTTCGTTTGCATTCGTAGCCGCAAATCGGGCAGTGCAACACCTGGCCGTGATCGTGCGAAATGTGGCTCCTCATCGAGCTGAGATTCTTGTACAACTTATCGCATTTGAAGCACTTCACTGGAGGATCTGAAAACGTCACTATTTAATCGAGCAATTAGATCGGAACCCTAAACGTATCTCGTTCGCTTGGAATCGGAGGATGCTTAATTGGGATGCGTTTCGCTTTATTTCCAAATACAAATCGACAAGTTCAAAAGTGCTTCATCATGTGTTTGGTGAGGCTGCTCTTGTGGAAAGCCTTGTAATCGCACAAATGGCAGTTGAAGCTCGGCGCTTTTTGGCACTCGTACTTTTGGTGCCTCCACAAAGACCTGGCCACTTTGTAGTCTTTACCGCACACGGGGCAAACAAAAGCGGCTAAAAAAATTAAAAAAAAAACCTGTAGAAACGATCATTAATAGTTACCAGTGATGCTAATCGACCAATAATCGTTGCTAGCCGACGAAATAGTACAGGAAAGAAAATAATAGCTACGACCTAATGTTTTTTATTGTCAGCGATAAAAATAACGTTGTGTTTCAATTTGTAATGGGACTTGAGGCTTTCGTTGCGCTTGCAAGCGAAATTGCAGCTGGCCATCGAACAGAAAAACTGCGGCGGCTTGTTGCACTCGAATTTCAGGTGTCTCTGCACGCTCGATATTAATTTGTACCGTTTGTCGCACGAGGGGCACTTAAAACCTGCAACAAATAACCTGATAGAGTACGCTACACTCGTCGTCTCGCTCTCGCGTAGGTTGTCTTTGTCCGATTACCCCCTCTCACGTTTCTTAGCGAGCGGGGGAAGAGGAATAAAAATACTCGCATTTAAAACGTTTTTATTCGGTGTAGCTACATTTTACGATTACTATCACATCATCTTGAGATAGAGAGCATATAAATAAAGGCTGCAAACGAAGCGTCTTGATCATTATCTCACTCGCGCCTCCTGGAGGTGGGCTCGATGAAGAGCCGGTGCACCCTCATCAAGTGAGTCTTGAGATTGCCCTTCTGGTAGCCGCGGTACCCGCAATTATCGAAGAAGCACTTGAACAAAGGCTCCTTGCCGCAATCGTACCGCCTGTGCCTGTTCAAGGCTATCTTCGATTTGTACGAGCGACCGCAATCGTCGCACCGGAACAGTTTCGCATCTGCAAGAAAAGTACCCTGTAGAATCGCGGCGGGACCGCTGCGGAGGTACGTCGGATCCGGTACTTACCTTTCGGCGATGTTAATGAATAGAACGTAATGGGAGTTTCGCGTTTATTCGATTATTCTTTATTAACAATAGATTTGGCGCTAGACGCGCTCGTAGGTGTTGGTACTCGTGCGGTACTCGACGCCGTGCAGGTTCTTCATGTGCGCCTTGAGGTTGTCCTTGCGCTTGGACAGGTGGTTGCAGAAGGAGCACCGGAAGCCGGGGTACTTCTGGCACTCGAGCTTCGCGTGCCTCAGCATGGTGCTCCTGAAGGTGTACACTTTGCCGCATATGCCGCATTGGAAAGGGCCCTTTCGCTTTTCTAAAACCGAAAAAAAAAATGCGCGTCAAGTAAGCGGACAACGAGCGTTCGATTCGCTACTAATTGGTTTAGATGGAGGTGGATCGGGGGCGAGTAATTCGAGAAAAGATGATCTCAGTGGTTTATTTGATTTTTACATAATTAATTACAATTTAATTCGTCAATCTATAGCCATGACGTCACGCTTCGTTTATAGTAAGCGTAGTGTAGCTTCGATAGTTTATTTAGCAGGTGACGTCATCGCTGTTTCTATAATACAGAAATGGTAGATTGTTGAGATCCAACTGCGTAAAGTGCATTTTTAAGTTATTATAGCATAATGTACCTAATAATACTTGTTTTTTTATACAGATCTATAGTATGTACAATTCACTGTAATCGTGCATACAGTTCGTTCAGTATGCTCCACTCGTGTCGTCAGCGCGCGATTTAAAATCGCGCATATAGTTCAATCGACGTTACACGGTCGTGACGTCGTCGGCCTTTCGATTTCAATCGATCAATCGAATGTAGTCGCCGTTGATTTTGGTGAATTTGGCGGGATCGTGCGTGTGGCCGTTGAGCAGCTTGATCACCTGGCCGTTTTGCACGTGGATGCGCGCCTTGCACCGCGTCTTTTGCTCGCACCGATAGAACGTCGTCAGCCGGTTCTGGCTCAATTTGTCGAACACGTAGATGTAGCCGTCGTGCGAGAACTTCGGCTTGCCCCTCTGCGTGCACATGCCGGTCGTTAACAAGTACGCTAAAACGCCAAAAAAGAACAGTTAGTGGGGCACGTCGCGGAATTCTAACCTCACTTTTTCGTGACGTTAGACAGCTAAGGGAAACGCGGAGTTTTTTTTACTGTGACAATTCAACGTACCTACGACACGCGCTTTATCTTTTTTAATATTTTATTGACGTGACATTAAATATATTGCTAGTTAATTACACATTAAATAGTTCAAGTAAGTATGTACATAAAAAAAGACTTATAACTAAATTAAAATTACTAAGCAAATACTGGTTGAAATGCTGTAGTACATCCACAAAGTCATTTTAAAGTGTACGAGGTTGGCTCATTGTTTACGCCATCATTTTTTTTTTAACCATCTAATGGGCGACGTCTACGAGCCGAGATTGCCGTATTTGATTTTGTTCTTGTTCTCGCGCCGGCGGTTCTGGAACCAGATCTTGATGACGCGGCCGGGCAGGCCGGTGACCTGCTCCAGGTGCTCCTTCATCACGTTGTCGACGAACTGGTTCTTCTCGAAGTAGGTCTTGAGTATTTCGGATTGCTGCTTGCTGATGGAGGTGCGATTGCGGATGTTGAGGAAGCCGAACGGGTCGTCCTTGGAGCGGCTCTGGTCGGGCTTCTGGGCCGGCTGGTTGAGGCTCGTCGAGGCCGTTTGGGGCGGCTCGGGTTTTTGGAACTGGTGGTGGGCGGTGGCGAAATCGAGCAGCTTCGCCAGCACGCCGCTCGGCGAGCTAAAAACTATATTTCATATCAGTAAAAAGGCCCCTTCGAAACGTCCCAAAATCGATCAAACTAATCTACTGGATTGAACCGGTGTATCGATGGACAAGGAGAATTCAAAACGCTGATTATTTTACAGTAAAAACATTTATTTGTTCAACTAGGTCATGACGTTGTGGACGTTGCACATGTGGGTCTTCATGTTACCCTTCAATTTGAACTTTTTGCTGCATATGCTGCACTCGAATTGGGGCGGTTTGTTGCACTCGAACTTCTGGTGGGTGTAGAGAGAGCTGACGTGCTTGTAGGGTTTCCCGCAATTTTTGCACACGTAGCAACCCCTCCCGTTTGCGCCATTTTTATTTAGATAAGTCACTAAAAATCGAGGCGAATTAATCGGTTGGACATGCACATGCGGCGCGTTTCGTTCTGTTTGACGTCACGAGATTAGTATTTGAAATAGATGACGTCATCGCTACATTAACGGGAACGTTATGTACAAGTAGTAAAACTGGTGTCTTTGGTTTATAGACATTTATTATTTGTTAATTTTTGGATTGCTACAAGTATGAATACATTACACACTCCCTTATAATATATTTGTAGAAAATAATAGGTACGATGTAATTTCTTATACCTAAAAGGTTTTATTTTTTTTTGAGAAGTTTAAGAATCACCTACCCCAAATTTAGTAATTTATTTACTACAAACTTCCTCAAGTCTCCAGGTATTTCAATTGGTTAAAACCTTAAAACCTCTAATATGCCTCGATTAATCAACTGTCAACTGTCAAAATTTGACATAAAATACAACAAACTAAAATTGTGCAATAATAACAATAAAATCCAACTATACATTACTATCTAATTAGTAATTAATCTAATATAATTAGCCTCCTACATGTCACTTGTTATTCCCTAATAGTACAGTAACTTGTGACGTATCGTGTAAACTTCCATCGGTACCTGCGATGACCGATTACCGGCCTTTTACATTGTGGGGTAAACGTTCTTGAGGAAATTGTCGAAATGTTTGGAATGGTACGACTTAACGTGCCCCACCAAGGTGAATTTCCTCTTGCAGTCGTACTTGCAGTACACGCAACTGAAATTCGTCTTCGCCAAAGCCGCCCTGGCCGGCTTCGCGCGCACCCTCTTCTGCAATTTTTGGAAATATTTCAACGTCAACGCTCCTAAAAGAAAACCCCCGTTAGATGGGCAATTAAGCGGATTAACTCACCCGTTAATATGTACAATGAATCGGAAAAAACGGACGAAACTACGAGGAATTGTCCAATAATTTATTAACGAAATAAAAACAGTACAATGTTACTTGTCGCTTGTCGTTTCGTGCATTTTCTTGACGTGACGTTTGAGGTTTCCCGCGAATTTCGACAGGAAGAAGCACCCTTCGATCGGGCAGCGGAAATGGGCAACGCTCCCGCACTCGGACTTCCGGTGCCCGAACAAACCGCTCTTGCTGTTGTAGCCCTTCCGGCACCTGGGACAACGGAACCGTTTCCCTTCACCTGGAAAAAAACAAAAACAACGTCTGCAAAAACGGCCATTCAGCTCGCGCATAAGAGGCTGCAGTGCTTCGATTTGTACTGGTACCACTTATAAAACCTCTTCACGATTACACACTCCTGCAAGCTGGCTTGAATCAACCAAATAGCGGTGGGGGAAGATGAACAAGGATGAATAAGGCAACTAGATCGCTCTATTTGTCATAGCTGGCTCGAATGGGTTGTTGGTTTGAATTAAAAACAAGTATCAAATAGAACTCGTTTATTAAACTAGGTACTATTACTAGGGTAGGTACGGTATTCATTCGCTTTCAGGCCGAGAAATAATCAGAATTTGTTGTGCGGTTTTCGTTTGCGAGTGTTTGCGGCTGCTCAAGTGCTGCTTGAGCGTCCACAATCGCTTGGCTTTGTAGCCGCAGCCGGGGTATTGGCAGCAGAAGGTGGCCTCTTTGCCGCACTCGAGCCTCAGGTGCTGCCTCAGGCCCACTTGGCTGCTGTATTTCCTCGAGCAGTTGCAGCAGTAGTGCCAACGGGTCGCTGAAAAAGTAACCAACGATCAAAATAGCCCCCGAGTCGGGTGGATAGACCCCAGCGCGTTGTTAGAAGGCTTCGGGGGACGGTCAAAATGAAAATTGCATTGGTACTAACAATTTTTATTGGTTACTGAGGTTGTGGCTGTGCATGTAGTGCCTTTTTAGGTTCCACAGCCTTTTGGCTTTGTACTGGCAACCTGGAGAGGTGCAGCAAAAGGTCGGCTCTTTACCGCATTCCAGCCTCAGGTGCTGCTTCAGGCTCACTTTGCTGCTGTATTTCCTCGAGCAGTTCGAGCAGTAATGCCAATTCATCGCTGAAAATAAAACTAAGGGTCAAAATAACCTATAAGTCGTTTGGTACGCTTCAGCGTATTGTTAAAGACTTCGAGGAACAGTCAAAATGAAAATTGCATAGGTATTAAACAATTTTATTCTTTATTGAGGTAATGGCTGTACATGTAGTGCCTTTTTAGCGTCCAGAACCTCTTGGCTCTGTACTGGCAGCCCGGATAGGTGCAGCAATGGGTCGCCTCTTTACCGCACTCCAGCCTCAAGTGCTGCCTCAGACCCATTTTACTCCTGTATTTCCTGTGGCAGTTGACGCAGTGGTGCAAAAGCATTGCTAAAAAAAGTAACCAACAGTCAAAACCACCTTCACCTAGCCCGTACCCCACGAAAATCCAATCCGATAACCTCTTGATGCACCCCAAAGGTCTACTAACAAAAAAACCAGTGGCTCTAATCCCCTTTATTCGCTCAAAGCAACTCGTAATCGTAGTTCAAGTAGTGGTTTTTGTGCTTGTAGTGTCTTTTCAGCGTCCACGGTCGCTTTGCTCTGTATTTGCAGCCCGGGTAGGCGCAGTGAAAGGTGGCTTCTTTGCCGCATTCGTAGGTCAAATGCCTGATTAGCACGCCTTTGGAGCCGTACCGCTTGTTGCACTGGCTGCATCTGAATAGTCTGGAAGCATCTGGAACGTGATACATACCGTTAATAGCAGAGCAATTTCAGTTGGTATACAATTAATTGTTGCGAATGAATGTAAGTGCGGGTAAACGTAAAATTGGTACCTACTCGCTGAATTGGTGACGATAAAATAACCTGAAACGATGAGGTAAGTAAAGGTAAAGTGGTTTATTCTGAAAATAGGTTTGGATCGAATCGAATTAGATCTGATGATGGGAGATTCGAAACGTTACGTGTGGGAAAAAGTCAAAAGGGTTTGTACTTTCAATTGTATTGATTAACAGTCAACAATTGGTTATAAAAATAATCGATATGTGCATAACAATTTCATGTACGATAAAAGTTAAATAATTGCAAATTCTTATAAAAGTCTCGATATAAATCCCATTATCGCTATATAATTTAAAACTTACTATCTATAGATATTAATTAATAAAAAATAAATTTATCGTAAGTGCGAACTCGGGTGTTTAATTAGCCTATGAAACTGTGTAGTAAGTTATTAATTGATAATTTCACCACCCTGTACGATCCATTAAAACCTCATTTGGAAAGGAGAAGAACCAGGTAACTTAATTTTATTAATGAATTAAATATAAATAAACTAGACGTCAACGAAAATCAATTCGATAGATAAATTTTCTCCTCGCACTGATAGAAAGCGCACCGCAATTTCTGGTGCCTCACTAAGTTCTTTTTCTCGTAATAGTTTTTCCCGCAGATGCAGCCGTACTGGCCTCGACCGCGCGGCCTCCTCAGGTAACCTACGAAAATTCACATATTTTATACACAAACCAAAAACAAGCGACAATTTCAATGGAAAAATGTAAACAAATCCAACCAAAAAAATAGTTAGTAAACAAGCATGTAAATAAAAACCGAACGCCCTGTACAACACGTATAATTCACATAAAACAAAATACAGCTAATCGAAAAAAAATAATCTAGGAATGCTCTTTATAGCACATTCATTGTTTTAATCGCGCCTACTGAGACACAAAAAATTACTACTTTTACTAATATTCAATTTTCGGTTCCAGCATCTTCGCTTCCTGAATTCTCAGATCTTCCTTGTGCTTGTTGCGCTCGTGCTTGCGCAAATCGAACGGCAATTTGGTCTTGTAATCGCAGAAAACGCACTGGAATTGCGGCTCCTTTTGGCACTCGTACCGCTCGTGCTTGCTGCGCGAGCTCGAGTGCTTGTAGCATTTGCTGCACGTGCGACAGAAGAACAGCCTCTTCGATTGGCCTAAAAAAAATACAATCCTACACGTAATTCGGGGCAAATTTATTCGTTTGTTCTATTTCTACACTATCAAGTTGGTTCACCAAAAGTATTTTAGTCGACTCGATTTATTCAACACACAGACTCACAATCATAAATTTATATACACTTTGTTCGTACACTTTGAACGAACAATCACCGATTAAAGTTGAATTTCATCTCGTTGGCGAGGTGCTTTAAGCTCTTGAAATGTATCTTCAAATTGCTGTGGATGTTCGTCTGGTAATCGCACAAGTTGCACACGAACTTCTGCCTCTCCTGCAATTGATGATAGGCGTTGCAGCAATTCTGCGATTGGCATTTGCCGTAATGGCGCCCGTGCAAACCTACAATATCGAGCGTTAAATTAGCCGGTAACTCATCAAAACGTCTCCAAATCGATCAAATAAGATTGTTCCAGAATGACAACTCATCAAATGATTGTTCCCAAGTGGTAACTCATCAAGTAAGATTGTTCCAAAGTGGCATGCATCAAATAAGATCGTTCCCAAAATGCTACTCATCAAATAAGATCGTTCCCAAAATGCTACTCATCAAATAAGATTGTTTCAAACATTTGACAGAGTATAACAGGATTGGAGATGAAGTGAATAAAACGCGCCCTTTGGACCTTTAAATGGCGATTTATTGGGGTAAACTATGAAAAATATTTGTCGATTCCGAGGCAATGCTTGGAGAGCATGTGTTTCTTCAAGTTGCCCTTGAGTTTCGCCCTGTAGGGGCAAGCGGGACAGCCGAATTGCGGCTCCTTCATGCACTCGTACTTCTTGTGCTCCCGTATCGAGGATTTGAGCTTGTACGATTTGCCGCAGGTGTCGCACCTGAATCCTGCAAAAGAATGTTCAGCAATAACGGGATACTCGAACGGGTATAGAGCAAATCGCCTAAGAAACTACGAGGAATAGAATCGAGAGAATCGTCGTTACGAGGCGACGTGTCGTTGAAGCGAGTGTTTCTTGAGCGTTTTGTTGTATTTGAACTTCGCGAGACAGAGAGGACACTGGAATTGGGGCTCCTTCTGGCACTGGAACTTCAAATGGGATAACAGAGATCGCTTGTGCCTGTACTTTCTAAAGCAAGTGGCGCATTGAAACTTCGGCGGCGCTACAAAAAAAAACTAAATTGTACATACAAAAACGGAATCGAATCCAATCGAGTATAGGAAAATAAAAACAAACGTTAAATATAACAAATATTTAATAGAACCTCTTATTTAACATAATAATTTTTCGTATACTAAAAACGACACCATCAACTCGACGGTATCTCCCCGGGGGCCTTCTTCTTGGTCTTCTGCACGTATATCTTGGCTGCGCCGGAGGTCCACTCCTCCCTGTGCTTCACCATGATGTGCTTGCGCAGGTTGCCGCGCAGCTTCGCCTTGTACGGGCAATAGACGCACACGAATTGCGGCTCCTTGCCGCACTCGAAGCGCTCGTGCTTGCGCAGCGATCTCGAGTGCTTGTACGTGTGACCGCACACGTCGCACTTGAACGCACCTACAACAAGTCCATCGGTCAGTTTCGAGTGTCAGCGCAAACGTGTGATGAATATGAGGCGCGAATTGATGGAGGAAAAGGTGAAGGGAACCGTTCGAAATAACCAGAACTGGTCGGAGCGCTCCGTGAAGGGTTCAGCACGGTCGAGAGTACCATCGGGATGGGGTTTCAGGATTTGTGTTGGCAATAGGCCGAGTGCCTTTTGAGGCTGTCGTCGCGGCTGAAATATTTGGAGCAGTAGGCGCACTGGAATTGCCACTTCTGCTGGCAGCTGTACTTCGAATGTCTGCGTAAGTGTTGTTTCCTTCTGTATTTATTGTCGCACTGCGCGCATTTGTAGAAGGCTAAAAATAATTCGCACTTAAGCAACTGGTGAACGTTTTGGGCTCTTGTTGGTTTGAGTTGGTGTTAGTAAAATAAGTAGAATCGATCTGGAAATCGCAAAAATCGCAAAAATCGTATTTTGACACCGTCAGCTTCGCGAATTCTATCGAATCTGTTGGAATCAATTAACGAGCCGGTTGGTTTTCGATTTTATTTCAACAAATCGCATTCGTAACAAATACAGGCACTTAATTAGCATCAGGGCGTTCAGTTGTAACTGTAACCACCCTGTATAAGGACACTTCTTCTAGTACAATCGTTTTTAAAAAACAAAAATATAATTCTACAAAAATTAACAATATTATCTCGTTTATAACGTATAATTTCAAGTAGGCAAAAAATACTTTATCCTATTGAATCTACCACGAGTATCTTTCGCCTATTCCGATGAAAAACCATCAGCTAAATATCAATCTTGTGGACCATCCTGCAATGGTTCAACATCCTGTCGTTCATTTTGGCCATGTAACGACAGCCCGCGACCGGGCACCGGATCTTTTTGGGTTTATCGCACTCGTGGATGATGTGCCGCTTAAGCGTGCAGTAGAGCTTGTAGTGCTTGTCGCACTTCGAGCACACGAAATCGTCGTCGGCCAATTTTCGGTAGCCGGTCAACGGGGGCGGTTTCTTGCCGCAGAAGTAGCGCACGTGGCGCCTCAGCGAGCTCGCCACCTTGAAGGATTTCTCGCAATGCGGGCACGGATGGACCGCGTCGAATCCTAAAAACAAAGCGAGCCGTCAACGAGGGAGGAATCGGGCGCGTCGCGAGGCTGCGGGGTGCGAAATCACAACAACTCCGGCTGGGGGGAAAATTTTTATTGGTGTCTTTTGGGAAATTTGGAGGCTACTGGCGTTCACTTCAAGTACCTGGTGTAGTACCACTTTTTGAACTCGTCCATTTTCTCGGGATGGACGGAGCGCACGTGTACCATTAAATTGGACTTTTGCTTGGTTTTGAAGCGGTCGCAGTAGAAGCATGGTATGCAGAAGGCGACGTTGCATTCGTACTTCAGGTGCCTCATCAGAGACCCCTGCCATTTGTAGGTTTTGGAGCAATTGTAGCATCGAAACGGGACTAAAAAATAATGAAAATCGTTTTATTAATTCGGTATTTTTCGGGTAAATTGTGCTGTAAGAATCATAAGGGTTCGTTTGTTGGAGCAAATAAGAACCCTTCTGATTGTAGAAAACGACTGAATGAAACGACGATTTTAATTAGTTTATGGTTATAAATATACGTTTTATTTGTATTTAAAATTTAAAGTAAGTACAATTTTAATAAAATATCAACAAATCTAAATAACAACTTTTTATTGCGCAATTGGAAGGCACCGAATTTATTTGTAAACGATTAAAAAAAACACGCCTAGTGTCTCCAGGTTAATTTGTTAATAATAATATTTCATAATAATAAAGGAAGATTGCATTTTCGCTCGGAGCATTCGAAAATTCCCGCGTAAATCAGTCTGCAAACATTTATTTTTTTACATATTTTCAATATGTTAAAACTTAAGCTATAAAATATAAAATAATAATAATAATAATTTTTTAATATATTTGGTTTAAATAAACTAAAATGTAAATTACCTTTAACCCATATAAATATTAAAATAGAACCCAAATTTAAGAACACAACTAGTTTGTTCATTTATAATATATTTCTAATAAGCATAACAATATCTATTGCAATGGACTCGGATTCAGAACAACCCTTATAATTCAATAAATACACAATTTTCACGGCTGTTAAATCATTCTAAGCGCTTGTGGGTGAAGTAAATGAACGATTTAACAGCAGGAAAATTATTTGCCCGGGGCGCGTTAACGAAAAACTACCCCTAATCCAAGTCCATTCGTTACCAGCGTTTCAAATATCCGAGAATTTTCACTTTTATGAAACCTGCAAGTTTGGATGAAGAAGGGATGTTATTTTTAGAAGATAAAGTTGAAAGTTCCGCATATTTGCCCCGCCGGCAGCGTTCGATCTAAAGATAATATCTATTAATAATAAAATTTAAATAACAGAAAATAGTAAGAAAGGGAAACGTAGAAAATAAAATAAAAAAAAAAACAAGAAGTTTTGGTGTATTTTAATCAGACTTGACTTCTTTCTTGAAAGCCGTCAGCCCGTCGTCGGCGTTCGGCGAATGGTGCTTCCGCACGTGCACCCGCAAATTGCCCTTCTGCTTCGCCTTGTAGGGGCAATAGGGACATTGGAACTTGGGCTCCTGATCGCCGCACTCGTCCTGCTCGTGCCGGCGCATCGTCGACTTCCATTTGTACCGTTTGCCGCAGTGGCGGCAGGCGAACTGCGAGTCGGGGCTGTAGCCCGGCCGGCAGGGCGGCGGGCCGCTCTCCGGCGGCTTCCTCAACGAGTTCTTGCCCTCTTTCGATTTCTTCGACGGCTTCGGCGCCTGCAGGAACTCGTCGAACGTCGGAGGGACGAATATGTGATCGAATTCCATGTAATCTGAAATTAGAGCCTCGTTAATCGTCGTCCTGTTCTCCTACACGATTTCGTTTCATTGCAAACGATTGTTTGTGTAGATATGTACAGCTTTAGTTTTTTTTTTTGGTTTGGATTAAGCTCGGATTAATTTAGCACACCACCCTGTTTAAATGCAACGGATAAAGTAGACACGCATCTATCCTTCTTCATCTACCCCTACCACCGAGTTTCATTCGACACTGTTGCCGGATTCGTACGAAAATCGTTGAAAGATATACAATTTACTACGTTTTAGTTCATTGAGCAGGATTTTATTTCGGATTTTATTTATCTAAACAATTCTGTTTCGAACTCATAATAGCTTAACCACTTGGTATCACATTCGAAGCGATGGGAACCATCAACAATTATCCCAGCCGCGGTTCTGGTACCACTTGCGGAACTCCGCGAACCGGTCCTTGTGCCTGTGGGCGACGTGTATCATCAGATTGTACCGCTGTTTGACGCTGTGCGAGCAATAGAGGCAGCTCCAGCGGTGCAAACGGCCGCACTCCTGGTTCTGGTGCCTGCGCAACGAGCCCTTCGTTTTGTAGTGCATATTGCACGACGCGCACACGAACTGGGCTAAAAAAACAGAATCGATTCAGTCCTCTTACCATACTCACTACACATTACTGCACATTTTTGTTTAAATTAACTAGCGACATTATCACAAAAGAGGCCACCTCCTGGAAGATATCCCCTACATCCACACTTCTTTAATACAGTTTTTTGTAACAAAGAGGAATTCTAGAGATTTTATTTATTTATTTTACTTCTAAATAACTATTGACTAGTAAACGGTAACTTGCGTTGAGACGCGAGAGGTTCAGGAGCTATAGAGGCTCCTGAAGGCGCTGCACCGGATTTGGTGCTTGTTCAGGTTGCTCTTGAGCTTGGCCTTGTAGGGGCAGTAGGAGCAGGCGAATTGGGGCTCTTTCTGGCACTCGTAGCGCAAGTGCTGCCGCAGGTTCTTGGCGTTCTTGTAGAAGCGGCCGCAAATCGAGCACTCGATGCGGTAACCTGCAAACGGATGAGCTAGGTTAGAGCGCGTTCGGAGCGCGAAAGGGGCCGGGTCGGGGAGCTACCGAGGTCTTACCGAGTTCCCGGGGGGATTAGAACGATGGAAAATGGAGGTTTGCTATGCAAAAAAATAAACCTAAAAGAGAATCAATTAACCGACCAATTAGCCAGTTAAATAATTAATTGAGTAATTATACGAACGAAGAAATTATTTCAATATTTTTATTGTTTGAAACTAACAACGGGGTAAACAGGGGTTACATACAATATTTGTACGAGTCAGTTAAATTGCAACTAGAATATTCAATATAAAATATCCATTGCTCGATCGTTCGATTACGGAAAACCGCGATTTTTGGAATGATGCGTGAGTAAAACGTGCTTATCCAGGCCGTCCTTTCGTTTGAAGTTCCTAGAGCAAAATTTACAGCTCATCGACGGCTTTATTCCGCACTCGTACAAAACGTGCCGTTTCAACGTTTGCCTGTGCAAATAACTCCTGCCGCACTTTTCGCACTTGTGCCTAATATTGTGTTCTGAAACAACGACAAACGCTGATCAATCTTGTCCTATATTCATCTAATTAATCCAACGTTGAATTACTCAATTAACCAAGTAATTGTTCAATTAATAACGTAATTAGTCTAGTAATTGGCCAATAAACAAAACAATTGCTCAATCAGTTGATCAATTAACCAAGTGATTGACGAACCCACCAAGTAATTGTCCAATTAATTGATCAATTAACCAAGTGATTGTTGAGGATTTCTGTCTAAAAAAATAAACCTAAAAAAGACTCAATTAACCGACCAATTAGCCAGTCAAGTAATTAATTGAGTACCTAATTATACGAACGAGGAAATTATGTCAATATCTTTATTGGTTTATTGTTAAACTAACAACAAGAGGTAAATAGGGTTACAAAAAATGTTCGTACGAGTCAGTTAAATTGCGACTAGAATTCAAAAAATTAAATCTCCATTGGTCGAGCGTTCGACTACGGAAAACCGCGATTTTTGCAATAATGCGTGAGCAAAACGTGCGTATTCAGGGCGTCCTTTCGCTTGAAGTTCCTAGAGCAAAATTGACAGCTCATCGACGGCTCTATTCCGCACTCGTACAAAACGTGCCGTTTCAACGTTTGCCTGTGCAAATAACTCCTGCCGCACTTTACGCACTTGTGCCTATTGTGTTCTGAAACAACGACAAACGCTGATCAATCTCGACCCATAATCACCTAATTAACTGGTTAATAACCAATTAACCAAACAATTGACCTATTAATAGTGTAATTAACCAAGCAATTGGTCAACTAACCAAGTGACTGACCAATTCACAAAGTAAGTGTCCAATTAACCAAACAATTGATCAATTAACCAAGTAATATTTGATCAATTAACTAAGAAATTGACCAATTCACTATGCGATTGATCAATTTACAAGTAATTGTCCAATTTATCAAGTAGTTGTCCAATTAACCAAATAAATGTGTACCAAAGAAGCGTGGAAATAGTAATAAAAAACGCAATTTAATCGAGCATCGTGATATTTCTGAAATTCTGTAAACAGTATGCGGTTTGCTGGATAGGAGAGTGCACGATGGCGTGGCGTTTGAGGTTGGATTTTAAATTGGTCCTGTATAAGCAACCGGCGAAATCGCAACGGTACTTCTTCTCGTCGCCGCAATAGGTGTACTTGTGCTGTCGCAGGGAGTTTTTGTTGGTGTAATTTTTGCCGCAGGTGTCGCAGGAGAACGTCGCGCCTAAAAATCGAGAAGTTAAGGCTTCATTTAAGGCTCTTTTAAAAGGTTTTAGTGCCTTCGCTTCTGTTTGTGCTTACGTTGCGACTGTAAAGTTGGTAAATAGATTCGAAACACAGTAAAACAGCGTTTATTCGGATTTTATTTTTGAGATACTAATGAGTTTCATAATCTTAAAAAAAAATAGAAAAGATTCGGTAATCGTTTAAGCAAGCAAATGTTTCTTTTTGATGTGCAATGTCATCTCGTACTTTCGTTTGCTCTTGTGACCGCACAGAGTGCACTGGAACTTCGGTTCGATTCCGCACTCGAGTTCCACGTGCCGTTTCAAGATGTACGAATTTTTGTACCGTCTAAGGCACTTGGTGCATTGGTACTTCCTCTCCACGCCGGTCAGCAGGTTCCTGATGGCCTCCTCGGCGGTTTCGTCTACAAAAAAATATATTCTTACAAACAAGTCACCGAACCGTTCTGAGTTGGCGCAAACATAACACAGCTCACGTTGCGAATGAAGACCACTGGATTATATAACAAATTTTAATCGATATAATAAATTTTTTTGTAACAAATTTGATACATATTTGATAGTGGTTAATTACATTGTAGAAGCTTCGTTAATATATGTGATATTTTTAAGGCACTAGTTCTACCAAGACCATTAAGAAAATACTAGTTAGCACCAAATTCTACCCCAACGAGAAATCACCTTTAAATATTGACTAATAAGAGTAGAACTTGCGTGTAACTAGTTATAAAGAATAACGAAATATCGAGTGATTTATTCGAGATAAAACAATCACAGACAATCGGCCAGTTTCCGCCATTATTTCTCGTGAACTTCGCTGAAGAAATTGTGCATGCGCAGGCCGTGTTTGCGCAAATCCGTCCGGTAATAGTACGAATTCGTGCAAAACGGGCACTTGTACTTCTTCTCTTTGCCGCACTCCACCGTCAGATGGCGCGACAGGTTTTTCACGAGCGTATACGATTTATTGCAATACTTGTTCGGGCAATGGTAGCGCCAGTAAACTAAAAAAAAATTAAAAAAACAACGGATAATTAAACGCAAAGTAAACGGAACGATGTGAATTAGTAGATGTAATAACAAGGCGTGAAAGTTAGAGAAATGTTAACGAAATTAATAGATAAATAAAACGAGTGGATGGCAGAAAAGTTTATTCAAAAATCGCCGCAGGAGTTCGCGTACAGGACGTCGGCGGAGTGTTTGCTCAGCATGTGTTTCTTTAGAGCGCTTTTGTAGATCGTCCTGTGGCCGCAGAGCCGGCATTCTTCGGTCGGTTCCTTTTGGCATTCGTGCGTCAAATGCCTCACTAAACTCTTGTGATTTTTGTACGCTTTGCCGCACAAACTGCACTTGTACTTCTTGAACGACGCTACAAAAATATCAATTCGTTAATTTTGTGCGCGTCGAGTTTCGCTGCAAACGGGTGGATCTTCACTCACCGTCACGTGTTGTTTCCTTTCGATGGAAAGAAATAAATTACGGTAGTTTGTAAAACGATATATTTGCGTTATAATTTATTTCCTCCCCCAAGTGTACAATTTAAATAGAACTTATGCGTAATAAAAATAGTTTCCTAAATATAATACGTTTGTTTGTATCAAAAATATATATTATAATAGATCACAAAATTATGTCTTACGAATTTTATGTGTATACATGGGTGTTAATTAATTGAGTGGCGATTTTTCTTAAAATCATCCTGAAGTATCGGCACTCCATTAATTAACACCCTGTACATATCAACCTGAGTAGCGCCATTAGGCAATAATATGACAGGTTTTTTGATCATTTAATACTGCAATAAAAACTGCCACGATTGAAAATCCAACGATCCGTTGGAAATTTCCCTGCGGGGAAGTTAGCTCTGTCAAATTATTCATAACTCCAACAATAATTACATTACAAGGCCTCGAATTGAATCACTACAAGATACCGTCGCTCGCTAATAAATTTAATATACTGTCATTCACGAGAGTACCACTGTTAAGACACTTATAGGTTAGGAAGAAGGAGAACAGAAAGCACGTAAAATTGCACAATCGCTACGCTAATACTGGTACAAACAGGAATAATATCGGGCGAGAGTTAGGGCTTGTCGAATTTGTTCGCCTGGAACACGAGTATCTTCTTGCGTATCTCGAATTTGTCCTGCACGTCGTGCCTGCGCGACAGATGGCGCTCGACGTGCGTCTTCTGGTAGCCCCTGTAGGAGCACATGGTGCACCCGAACCTCGGCAGTTGGCAGCACTCGTACTTGATGTGCCTGGCCAACGTCGATTTTTTCGCGTAGATTTTGAAGCAGTCCGGGCAATTGTACTCGGGCGGATCGAACCAAATGTAACCTAAAATGTGTATTTGTTGTAAAATAAAAGCAAAAAATAATAATAACGAAACGAAAAGTTAACTAAAATGTACAGGGGAAAACGGCAAATTAGGAGTTGTAATAAATAAAAAGAAACTGAAATATATTTAAGCGATATAACGAAATAAAAATAATAGCAAATAATGGTTAAATCTGGTGGTGTTCGTGGAATTCCTTAAAGCAAGGGTAAACGCACAGGCCGGGTTCTCCGATGCACTGGTTACAGTGGTACCTTGTGAAACGTCTAACTTCTTTGTGGTGGCACCACCTGCACATTTTTCTCGCGGATTTATTACCGTACTCCTCAACAAAGGGAATCATCTCGAGTATATGAGGTCCGTGATGGTTTGCACCTAAAAAAATCCACAATTTCAGTCTCTACAACACACTAATCAACCTTCTCCATCCGTTTTATATCCTGATACAACAAAAACTCATTGTACTGAAAAAATCAATTTTTATTCAAATGTACAAAATTAATCAATTGTTCCATGTCTATTAATAATGTGTATTTTGAGATTGTACTTCCTTTTGGTAACGAACGAGCACGAAGGGCAGCTGAACGTCAACTTGGAATTGCAGTCCAGCTTGTAGTGCACCCGCCAAGAGTTCGAATTTTTGAACACCTTCCAACAACGGCTGCACGTCACGTTACCTAAAAATCGACACCCAATTAACCACCGAACGATTCGAGGTCCATGTAGTGCTTGGTGTCCTTGTAGCTGACGTCCATGTCGTGGCAGAGCTTTAAATGGCCCCGGACTTTGTACCTGGACGAGCAGGTGTGCTTGCACAACTTGCAACTGAAGACGACTTTGTTCGAGCACCGGTATTTCTTGTGGTACTTCAAGTTTCTCTTCAGAGTGTAACCTTTACCGCACACGTTACAAACGAACTTCTTCTCTGAAAACCAACACCGATGATCAGAACTCGCAAAGGTAAAGGTAAAGATTTATACGAAAGTCTTTACTGTATCAACAATTGTATTTTAAAAATAAGTACTCTTAAAAATCAGTTTTGTAGTGAATAGGGATAAGTATCGTAACCAGGTTGATCTCCCGGTGCAATCGGGTGGTTGTGTTTCACCGCCATGTGTCTCATCACGGGCGGTTTGTGTTTGGACATGTACGGACAATAAATGCACTTGAACCTCGGCTTTTTTTGGCATTCGTACTTTATGTGCCGCCCCAACGAGCAACTTTGCCTGTACTTTTTCCCGCACGTCGCGCATTCGAAACCTGCAAACAAGTGTACGGTATAGTACAAGTTTACCGATCGATGTACGAGTGGGGAAAATGACCAAAAAAAATCGTTTACACCACAGCTCGTTTATTCGAAAACATCGTCCAATTCAGGTAACACTATTCGAAATCCATCTTCCAATATTGCTCCACCTCGATGGCGGACAAATGGAGCTTGTGCTTGTGGAACAAGTGGCTCTTGAGGTTGCCCTTCGTGTTGCACCGGTGCTCGCACAGCTTGCATCCGAATTTCCTTTTCTGTTTGCACCGGAATTTCAGATGGTACTTCAGCGAGTTCTTCACCGCGTACCGTCTGCCGCACGTGCGGCACTCGTACCGACAATCAGCTGGAACAACCGGAAAATTAATCCGCTAAGCCAACAGGTTTTCCAACAACAACGATTCTTCTATTATCCATTCTACGCTATAGGTACTATTCTAAGGGAATGATGGAGCGAGGAAGAGAGTAAAGTAAGGGATGTACATATAATTTATTGTTTTATCTATAATATAGCTGGATATAAGATGGTTAAATAATAGTACAATATAAAAAATAATTCATCAAACGATACCTATGCGAGTAAATGTAGGTATAGCAGCTAGATCAGTCTTTAAATTAACACAAATTAAGTACTAGTTGAACACGTTTTAAGTGATTTTCAGTTCTCTGAGATGCAAAGTACGCACGTGCGCGTTGAGATTATCCTTCCTCTTCGACTTGTACTTGCAGCCGATCACGAAGCATTCGAACGAGGGCTGTTTGCCGCACTCGTACTTCCTGTGGCGGCTCAACGAGTGCGAGTACTTGTACATTTTGTGGCAAATGTCGCACTGGTACGACTCGGCCTTCGACAGCGCCTTCGCGTCCGGATAGAAACCTGAAACACGCACCGAATTAGGGCAAATTGGAGCCGGGCATGTGGAGTTGCACTACAAAAACGAAACACGCGACTGTCTAACTACTAATCGAGCTCGAGGCTAGTTTCAATGGTAAGAAAATTCGATGGGTACGACTTGAGATTTATTCAAATAATAACTATCTACATTTGGGGATTGTGGATTTTCGGGTGTAAGAGTGGCTTCTTCAAATTCTGGCGGTACTTGTATACCTTCGAGAACTTCGAGCCTTCAAGCACTACTACCCAATTTTGTTTAAGGAACGTTTGATCTGTCTTTGGCACTGTTTCTATTTAGATGAATCGTTTCAGAACTGTTTCGGGCATGCTGGCTTCGGAGCTGAACCGGTAAAGTAAAAAGCACAACGCAACGAAATAAAGTTTATTGACCAAACTAGTGCACGCCCTTGTGGATTTTGAGGGAGGCTTTTTGAGTGTAGGCTTTGCCGCATTGGTCGCACACGAACCTCGCCACCCCGTCGCACTCGTACTTGGCATGCCGGTACAAGTTCGGGCGGTGTTTGTACGCCTTCGAGCACCGCATGCACTTGAACTTCTTCGACAGTCCGGCTATAACAAAATACATTACTGCGCTAATTTAACGGCCGAACGTTAAACGGTACACAGAAAGCACGACGCAGAACGTTAGCACAAAACGAGCAGCGGAGACATTGAAGCGTTTATTTCCCATATAGAAACGAATTTGTACTCGACATAAAAGTAGATTTGGTATATAAAATATGGCACGACGAGTCGTTTAGTGGTTAAATTTCCACGAGTTTTTCACGATGTCCTCGTGGATGCAGAGCAAGTGCGATTTGAGGCTGCTCTTTTGGGTGAACGTGGAGCTGCACAGGGTGCAGCTGAATTGCGGCGGTTTGCCGCACTCGAGCTTCAAGTGCCGCCCCAAGCTGCTCCTGTGCGTGTACTGTTTGCGGCACTTGTGGCAGAGGTACTTCATCGCGCCTCCGTTGAGCAGCGCCCGAGCTAAACCTAAAAACGAGCGAGCGAAAGTGTTAATTGGTTTCACAGAATCACTCGTCGGGTAATTTTGTTGAGGTGAAGGTACAGGGTTACGATTCTAGTGGGTAATAAAAATTTTGTTGATAGGTGAACGTGTAATTAAAGTGAACATAAACGAACAATTAAATACTAACTAACTAAATATCTAATAATATAATTGTATAAAAAATAGCGAGATGACTCGTTTTTTATTAGTCACTCTTAATATCCCCCTTAATTAACCTTACAATACTCAGAAACTATTGCTTCTAGTCAACAATATATGTATATAAAAATAATATCCAATATTAGTAGATTTGAGAGAGCAACAATTTAACCAATTTAGGCACTCCACAAGGCACTCTAGTTACTAATTAATCTACTCGTAATGTAGAATTGTTTTAACAGATTAAAAAAATATTTCCCTAAAATTAAAGTGCACCTAACCAAGCTCTAGTGCGCGTATGGAATCGAATCGTTCGATCAATCGAAATATATCTTTCTGATGACAGGTACTGCGGCGGGTTCCGGCTTGACGGGTTCCTGCTTGACGCTGTTCACCGCGTTATTGGAATGCTTCTTGGAATTCAAATGGAAGCGCAGATAGTCGGCCCGTTTGCACTTGAAATTGCACAAGTGGCAGGAGAACGTGGCCTCCTTGCCGCACTCGTACTTGAGATGACGGCGGATGTTCCCCTTGAACTTGTAGCTTTTGTAACACTTTATGCAGGAGAATATACCGTTATGCTCCACAAAGTCCGGCTCTGGAATGTTAATTACATTTAATTATCACGTAAGAGCGGGGCGGTCGCGGGAGTGGAAGAGGGAGAGAATTGCGGGTACCATCACCTTGTTTTTTACTACCTGAGTACCACTACTTTGTGTTAAATTTTACGCTACGTCGGCATCGAATTGTATAAACGCTCTTTCAAAACAGGTTTATTGACATAGATAAGACAAGTACTACATGGAGCAGTGGCGAAAATCGTAGGCGGGCCTGCGGACGGCGTGCGAGTTCCGCAAGTGGTACTGCAAAACGTCGCTGCGCCGGTACTTCTTCGGACAGAACGGGCACTCGAACGTCGGTTCTTTGCCGCACTCGTACTGCACGTGTCGCGTCACGTGCTGCTTGCGCACGTAGCTTTTGCCGCATCGGGGGCAGTAGAATTTCCCGCCCCACATCGTCACACCACTCACACCTGCAAAACGAAGGCCGGTTTTAATCCAGAAGTGAATCGCGCGGGCGCGGTACTATCTCAATCCCGCGCATCTCCCGATCGAGCGAGTCGGAGACGTACGAATAGAATAGCACTAGGGGAGAGGAAGGGCGCTCGTTACAGTCGCCAATCGAGTTTCGCTTTGGCGTCGGGAGCGGCGGAAAACAGGGAGGAAACGGACCAGTCGCGGTGCAACATGACGTAGTGGCTCTTCAGGTTGCTGCGGTGCTTGAACTTCTTCGAGCACAGGTGGCACTGGAAGCGCGGCTCGACGCCGCACTCGTACTTTATGTGGCGCACCAGGTGGCCCTTTTGCTTGTAGGTGGAAGGACACGTGGGGCACATGTAACGGCCGTTGGGGTTCACCTCGAATCGCATGTACCTAAAATCTGACGTTGGTCGTTAGAATCCACGGAATTTCGTCCGGTGTTTATGGATTAGTAACGCTAGGTACTACCTGGATGTACGTACTGATGGTAGGGAAGGGGTAGTACAAAAACAATATATTAATTAACATTTATTGGGAATTTTACAATTGATCACCAAGCACCAAACGCATGTACTGTTAGAACGAATTATGGAGTATCCCGCGGTTTTTGTCCTTTGCATATTGCCAGGTGCTCGGTGACGTGGTGCTTGTGGTAAAATCTGCGTTGGCATTGCTGGCAAGCGAACATTTTTTCTTTCTGGCATTCCAAACGCCGATGCCTGGCCAGGGAGGTTTTGTACACGTACCGCTTGCCCGGGCACAGCTCGCAGTAATAGTATCGGGAACCTGGAAAATGTCAGGCTGGAGAATTGTACTCGATGGGCGCCCTTTTATTTACCGTTACTGATGGTACCAAGCGATGATTGCTAGTGTAACTAAATGCTTCTGTCAACGTAATGGACAAATATTTTGGACTAATTGTTCATCTCGTAGTCGTACCTTCTATTGAACTGAATTAGTCCAAACGATGATGCAATAGGATATACAAAAAATGCACGCGGTGAGTCTTATAAATTTTATTAAAAAATGGCTCGGTGTTTGTTTGATTATATACATTCAAGAGTCCATCAAAGTGTGGTACTTCTCGTGTCTCTGCAAAGAGTTCTCCCTGAAAAACTTGAGATCGCATATCGTGCAAGCGTACGTCCGGAACATCTTCTCCAACAATCGATCTAAAAACAACGATAGTTCAACAAAAAAATCCTCTTAGGTTGAATTACAAAACGGTTAATTAACAAACAAATTGGGTCTGTTTCGTTTGATTGTAGTACTCCTATAGATGTATAATAAGTAGGCCTGGAGCACCAATAATCTAGGTTTATTACAAATTATTTATCAATCTAAAAGAATCTATGTTGTCCAGTTTGTGCACGTTGTGCAAGTGGTTATTTAGGTTGCATTTCCTGTGCGACCTGTACACGCATAAAGGGCAACTGTATCTCGGAATTTTGCCGCACTCGTACCGAACGTGCGCCATCAGGGTCCGCTTGTGCTTGTAGAATTTGTTGCACTTGGGGCAAGTTCTGGAAATATCTGCAAAAAAAATGAATTGAAAAGTAATCCAACAGCTCATTTGGTTCCCCTGTAACTTTGTTCAAAGTTTAAAAACGAATAAAACCAAGGAGAATATTCAAATTCGATTTATTCGATGTATAAACAAACAAGCTTAGAATACTATTGAAAACAAAATACTAAATAACTAATACTGAAAGAAAATTTGTACCGAACAACTTACGAGCTAAAAGGCACTAAAAGGTACATAAAGGCACAGCTGAATTCGATAAAATTAGGTTTCTTCCAAAAACTTTACTGAATCTATCCTGAATAGAGCAGGAAAGAGTGTAATTTGGTTGCAACGAAATTAATTTGACACCCACGGTAACTATTCGTCGAATCAATGCGAGCAAAACCAGACTAGTTGATCAGTCTTTGTATCATAAAAATTAAGTGTAATAATAAAAATCAAACTACCAACTAACTTATAGTAAAAAATTCAAGAAAGTAAAACACAATTACAAATACAAATAAATGTAAAGAGAACGCCGATTCTAGGAAAACTCCATTTGCACAAACACTTAACACAAAAATAATGATGATCGTTTGCGCTGCTGGAGCTAGAATCAAGTCAAAATGGTACCAGATAGGTACTACTCGATGAAGAATTTCAAATGGTAGTATTAGCTTGAGCCAAGTAGGTCAATTGTGTGGATAGCGAGGGGAAACTCTCCGGAAAATCGTCGTCGCTCTTCATCGGCTGGTGCAGTTTGTGCTTGCCCCGTTCGTGCACCGTCAGGTCGTACTTGTGCTTGAATTTCCTGGGGCACAGGGCGCACGCGTACCTCGGCTCTTTGCCGCATTCGAACTTTATGTGGCGCGTCAACGAGTGCCTGAGGCGGTAGCTCTTCGTGCATTTCGTGCACATGAAGAGCTCGGTGAGAACCGGAAAATCGGAGTTTTCCGGTCGAACGGCGGCCGGTTTGCGTTTCGGTTTTTTCTTCGTTCGGTTTTCCTTCCCCTCTAAAACTAAGAGTTAATTTAATTTTATTGTTTTTACGGTCAACCGGGTCTACCAAAGTGTGCCATGCAAAATCCGATACGAACAAAATTAATCTTCTAACGACGAGAGCAGTTCAACCAGCTCAAATTCGATGTGGATTCAATGTAAAAATAATCTATCTACGTTCAAAAATAATTCCCTAACTAACCTACTTTACGTAATACAACTAATTAGTCTACCTACGTTGTAAAGAAATTGTTTAGTGCTATAATAGCACGAGTAAAGCTGCAGGAATCACTAATTGATTCACTGATTCACTATAACTCACATATTTACGCCTCCTTAATTTTGAGGAGAAAAAAAATATTTCGAAGGAAACGAGGTTGCCGATTTTAAAAATCGCCATCTTCACTCCCGGAAAAAACGTTTTCCCATAACTGTAAAGAATTTTGATGGTATGCAAGGAAATCAGAAATAAAAATTTGTTTGTTAATAGGAACTTTATTTTGTGTTTTTGTGTTTTTTTATATCACTCCAGCTGTGCAATGTTTTCTCGCAACTTTTGCACCGATATTTACGGACGCAAATCTTTCGATTGGCGTCGATTTGGTTCTGTTTGGGCGGATTTTTGGGTCCCTCCAGGATCGTAACGGATAGAATTTGAATTTTACCTAAAAATCAAAGCGAATTAGTACAAATAATGATCGGATTCCATGGCGATTCGATGAATTCGATTGGAAATAAAACAAAAAATAACGGTTTTCATAATATTTTTTTTATTATCTACCACTACCTCGAAGCTTTTATTTTATTTTATATAAAAATACATTGTAAGAAAATAGTTTTTTTAACAATAAAGTGGGAAAGCTATTGTAAAAATTGAGGAACTATAAATGACAAAAAAATGGTAAAAAAAATCACATCTGTTAATTTGAGTATTGTCGACGTTTATGTAAGTAGATTTGAAATTTCTAATAGTTAGAAATTTCAATTGTACTTAAAATTGGTTAACTGATATGGTTTGTTCGAAAATTATACGGCCCTACACCTGGTAAAATAATTACATAATATAATAAATTTTTTTTCAAATTTTAAAATTGTAACATTACCACCATAACATATATTTATATAGGTATAAAAAACATTGGGTAATCCATATTTAAATATCTCAAAAGCTGCCTTAATTCAAAGAAAAAGCAATTATTTTTTCCAAAGCATCAATAACGAAAAAACATTACAAAAAAGCCCTTACTTAACTAAAACTTTTTAAGTATTTTACCAATTCAACACATTTCGACCGGTTCGAACGAAAAAATCCTAAAATACTAATATCAATTAAAAAAATAAACAACACCTACCTAAAATTATCCCTTACGATTATAAATCAAAGCGAAACGCAACCAAAACGTACGGAACCCACAAATTGCTTCAAATAGGAAACGCCCCGTATATCACTATATTTTTACATAAAAAATTAAATTTCTTTTACCTACAGATATGCATTATCGATGTGCAAGAAAGTACCCTTCTCACGCGAGTATCTAGATCTAACTATATTTTATTCACCATCTCAATTTCGGCTGTTAAAAGGCACTTGGTACGTTCAAAAAGGCGTTAAAAATCACAAAATACGCGTCATTAGGAACCAACGAGTTTCTAGGAACAAATATCTCTAAACAAAAAAAAGATACGCGTGCGTTGCAAAAATGTGACATTTGCGTCGGCACTCGACGTGTTAAAAAAATTACCTAACATCTATTGGAAGCGTACGATTTGGAAAAATTTGTTCGGCGTGTGCGTAATCACAATAACTAAAATATGAGCGAGTAAATTAATTAAAATCGTCCGTTTTAAAGTTGAATTGGCCCGACTTTAAAACATAGATTGTATAAAAAATGGAATGAGTCTGTAAAAAAATCTACCGGTAGACTACGCAGTCTTTAATACCATTGATAAATTCACTGGCAGCAATAACGGATCGATAAATCGATATGTAATACTAGTGTCTTTAAATAGAGTATAAAAAAAGGTATTGCGGTTTTGATACATAGATACAAAAAATACATATATCACAATTACGTCGATTTTTCTGTTACTTTACGCACTGGTAGACATTATAGTGTTCGAAATCGTCTAAAATAATGAGTATTCAATCGGTATTTTCCACTAAACAAAAAAAAAACAAACTCAAAAGTCCACCCAACATTTTACGCCTTCAATAAAGACGAATTAAAAGGAAACATTAAAAGATTATCTAAAAAAAATAAAGAATATACCTAAAGAGAGGATGAAAAGATGTAAAAATTATCACCACAACTCCGATCCACTAAATACTTCCACTATTCTCCACTACATCTTTAACGCGAGGTTTCGTTGGGGGACTTTGAGGGTTCGTGAATAATCAACATACAAGTACACACAATCTGTTTGCGCTTTTATGGCAGTGAATGGGTCGCATTAGAATATTGGAATGTATTTGAATCAAGCCGATATGTCCAGCAACTCGTCCAAACTGGTCTAAGTCGATCTAACCTGCAAATCCGACTTATAAAATTGAGCATTTGAGCTAGTAACGGACGAGAGAATTGGACGAGATCGGACGTAACCATGAAAGAAGCATCACCAAATTTCTTCCCAAAAAAACAAACACCCAACAATCGCATCAATTGCTACTCAAATTACTAAAACTATTGCTATTGTCATTGTTGCTTTCGATTCGCTTGTTTTCGATGTTGTCCTGGTCCCGGTCCTCCGACGACTTGGTCTCCGTCTTGAGTTCCGTTTTCACGATCGAGCAATCGATCTCCCGGTGCATGCGCTCCATGTGCCTGGCCATGTGCATCTTCTGCTTCGCCTTGTAGACGCAATAGGGGCACTTGAACTGCGGCTCTTTGCCGCACTCCCACTTCTGGTGGTTCCTGAGCGAGCTCTTCAGCTTGTAGGTGCGCCCGCAGACGGCGCAGACGAAGCCGCCGCCGGCGCCGGGCGTCGGCGACACGTCGCCGAAGCGGCCCTTCGACCGGGGGCTGAGCGACAGGTCGAGCGTGCCGCGGTTGATCGATTGCAGCATCGATTGCTTCATGTTCTCGCGCATGAGCATCATCGGCAGGACCAAGTGCGACGGCCAGTTCTCCCACGAGGACTTTTTCAAGCTCAGGTCTTCGGCTAAAAAATACATAGCTATAATATAATGGGGTAAGCGAGCCGCGCCTGCGATATGGGGATTTGTTATACGTATGCGTTTGTATGTAGTATATTTACAAGCGAATATATAAATGGGGTGATGTTGAGGAGTAGAAGAAGCATGCAAAATAAACGTACGAAAAAAATCATATTTTTTTGGGAAATAATGTATAATTATAAATTATATTGTAGAAAAAAAAATTAAAGTACACTATTCGAAGCATCTTAAATTATAATACAACTACATTAGGTATATTATTAAAAATAACAAAAAAAATTGTGAGTATTACAAAAAAAAAAACGAATAAAATCATAACCAGAAACGTCAAATCGACTGTATATTATATACAAGGTTGCCAGAAACAGTACAATTATATTTTTATATGTATATAGCAAAATTCCCCTTGAATAAGAAATTACTTAGAACTATTTCTGGCAGTCATGTTCGTATCAGCAGATATAAGTATCAGTCAGAAGAAGGTGAATAAAGCGTAACATTACGACCGATTACCGGGCAAAGCTCGTCACTCGACGTCCTCTTTCTTGCCGAAAATGTCCGGATTATTCTCCTCGATCAGGCCGATTTTGTCCTTGTGCTGGCGCCTGACGTGCCTGAGCTGGTGGCCGCGCCGCTTGCACTTTTGCGGGCAAAACGGGCACTGGAACATCGGCTCCTTGCCGCACTCGTAGGTCAAATGGCGCTGCAGCGAGTCCTTTCTGATGTACGTCCGGTCGCATTGCGGACAGCGGAAGTTGCCGCGTATGCGGTTGGTTTTCTTCTTCGGTTTCTCCGCGTCGGAGAACGACAGGGAGCCCAGTTCGCTCGGTTTTTCCGTCAGTTCGATCTTTACGGGATAGCCGGCCATCGCTTGGAGGAGTTTCGACGTTAGAGGAGCTAAAAAATGACGGCGGTTAGATAGGGGCCAATGGCACGGGGGCGGGAGGTGTCGAGGATTCTTCTATTCAAAGTACTTACTTAGTATTCATGCAAGTTATAGTACCTACGAGGCGATTGATTTGTGCTGTCACAAAATTAAACTCGCTTTGTAAGTTATTAGCACTAATTAAGGTGGATTGGACAATAAAAGAGATAAGTTTAGGGGAGGAATTTAAAAAAAAACGCAAGTTTACTACTGTGAAATTTAATACAATATGGCAAATCGAGCACACAATCCACACAAGTACGAATTTTTCTTGGAAACAAAACCATTTATTTACGACCATTTGCGTAAATGTTTGTTTTGAAACAAATTTCCTCAGATGCAAATGATCGTAAGATAATGGCTAAAAATAAATAATCAGTCTTTAAAACATTGTACAAACAAAATATACAGTGTATAGCCGATTTCGTTCGATTTTCAGATCACGAATCGGCTATAAATCTACGAGAGCCAATTCAAACGCAGGCTGACTAGAAAAATGCAATCGACCCCCGTAAATTTTCCAGTACTATTTCACATTGACTAGCAAATGTTGTACCTACATTTCATAGATATTTGTACATATTTACATAATAGATAACTTAGTAATTTACTTGTATGATGATACAAAATTAAATAATTACTACGAATATTTCTTTCCAGCGCTATGTTATAAGCGATTAATCGAGACGAGCTATAAGTAAACTGTTTAACACGTTCACTGCTTCATGTAACCCTAGAGTGTTTATTTGTTCCAGTGGGTTTATTATTTATAGAATTTCTTCATGTTAACTAGACTTGAACCCTTTTTATTCCAGGGAATTTATGGTAGTGAAAGCATTTTTTTGTTCATTTGATCCAGGTTGTTCACAACATTCGTATCAACGGCAGTGAAAGTACTAATTAACATTCGGATTAAATGATGCCCTGCAACCGATTGAAGTGCATCTGGTGGCCGCGAATGTGCGAATGCAGGACGTAGGCCCTTCGCGCCCTGTAGGGGCAATGGGGGCACTGAAATTCCGGCTCGATGCCGCACTCCTGCCGAATGTGCCGGCTCAACGTCTTCTTGTGATGGTAGATTTTCGAGCACTTCGGACAAGTATAAACGATTTGGAGATTTTGCGCCATCGGCGACGTCTTTTTAGCGTGGTAATTCCTACCTGGAAATGGGGTATTCATTGCATTAGACGGCTGTTGAGCAAAAAATTTAACGGTCTACGTACGAGCGGCGAATGATAAAATTCAAAAATAAAACAAACGAACACACAACACAAAACTCAACAAAAAAATAGTAAATAATAAGTTTAATTACTACACTATGTAGGTAAATAATGTTTCTCCAACTGATATTTGTGGTGGTAGAAGTTGAAGAAATAAAACAATTTCACTTGGGTAGGAATTTATTCCAAAAAACATAACAAATAACAAAATTTATAAACTCTTCATAAAGGCATCAATATCCTTATTTCTACTATCCCACTACTAACGTACAATATAAATGGTGATGGGAATCGGACAGAGACGGAAGCTTTTTGGTATGAATCGCGTTATTTCGCTCAAAATTCAACAATTTTTGGTAAAATTCAACTTCACTCGAACGGCAAGGCGTTCTTCGAGTCTTCCGGCAAGTGCCAGGACTTCAGGTGGCTGACCAATCGGTGTTTGTGCTTGAAAAACAGCCCGCAAATCCTGCACTCGTGCGTGGGATTCTTACCGCATTCCAATTTCAAATGGCGACGCAACGTCGACTTGGCCAGATACGCCTTGGGGCAATTGGGACAGGCGAATTTCGCGCGATCTGAAATGTAACAGAGCATCAGTGTCGGGGAGCGCGGCGGTCGATCATTCGGCGAATTTGTGCACGTTTTTGATGTGCTTGTTCATGTCGAACCGATGTTTGTGCATCGATCCGCAAAAGGGGCACCGGAACGCCGGCACCGTCCCGCACTCGTACTTTTTGTGCCTCCTCAGCGTGTGCAATTGCTTGTACGAACGCCCGCAATCGCACTTGTGCTTGTAACCTACAAAAAAATACCAATATTTCATTAATCTGTTCGGCACGACGCTCGTTTGTTGCCTATCCGACTGCGCCACTTTAACCTACTGCCGTGTTAATAGATATTTCTGTGCTGCTTCTTCTTCCTCCACCACGTCTAAAAGTCTATTCCTAGATAACCAGCGACTTTTTGAAATAGTCTAAGAAGATGTACTTACCAATTATATTCAATAACAATCACTTTTAATGTAGGTAAGGAACATAAATTGGGGATTAAAAATAATAAAAGACTCATGTATTTATTTATACTAGTTATATTAGGTGCACAATGTCATTAAATTCCACTACTCATGAAACTGCCTAAGCGAAAATACAAAATACAAACTAGATACGATTATTATCAACTATATTTTTTATAACCTATTGTTTAAAAACTAAGCAGCAAACATTTATAATTTCCGTTAGTTAAAAGTTAAAATGTAAAATTTGTTGACAAAAAAATGAGTGCGCAATAGAAAATCTTCAATATTGCGCAACTATTTCGGGAATAAAGCTGTAATTAAGTATGGCACTGTCAAATTATAACTGGGGAGATCAAAGTAAATCCATACGCTATTTGATTTAATAAATAAAATAAATACTAACAATAAATATTACCTACTAATAAAGCTAGTGAGGGATTATTTCAAACGTACATACAAGCCAATAAATAGTACTAAATTAATATTTACAATGTTGTAATTATACCTAAATCGTGTCGACCATCCCATGTCATAATCCCGAACGTATAAACTCGGGAAAAAAACTAGGACCCCTAAATAATTAACGTTCAATGGTAAAAGTATACTTTGGTTTGATTAAAACAAATCGAGCTGAGCTTACATTTGACTAGATCGGAAACAAAATCAGATCTCTAACATCTTTGGATTGACAAGCGAAACGACTAAAACTAAACTAAAAAGAAAATATGGCAAATCGAATTAATATCAAAATTGGACTAGATCGTAATCGATAAATTTTATGGCACAAAACCGCAGGACCGAACGTGTACGGACTATCAACAAATCGGTGCTGGAACTCACCCACTCAGAGTGAAATTCGATCCTAAAGTACGGCTTCTAATTGTGAATCGAACCAAGATTACAACTGAACTAAGTTCAACTCTAAGTTGAACCTCATTGAGGTCTGTTCAGGTATTGAAACATACCTTCAATGAGGCTCATACCTAGATAAGAGGTTCTCCTGGAGCAACTCTAAAAAATTAGTAAAATCCATCTGAACTTGCAAAACCAAGTATTCTTCCAATGGGGTAACTTCTTTAAACGACTAGATGAGAAAAACAAACAAACAATCAAACAAACAAAAACCACGACCTTTTATAAATCGATGCTGGGCAGTATGGTGATGATTTCGCTCTCCTGCTTGGGATGTCTCTGCCTCAGCTTCTGTATTTGGATGTCGTGCGTGTGACGCATGTGCTTCAGCAGGATGTAGCCGTGCTTGAACTTCTTCTGGCATATCTGGCAGGTGAACGATGGGCTCTGGCCGCAATCGAATCTCAGATGGCGGCCGAGCGTCTTCTTCTGCAGGTAGGTCTTCTGGCACCTGGTGCAGCCGTAGCGGATGTTCTCGTGATTGAACACCTTCAGCTTGGTGTACTCCTCGAAGGTGGCCGCATAGAACGTTATACCTGCAAGCATACGGGAAAACGAATCATTTAAATGGGGTTGTCGGTCGGACACGAGCGTGCTGTCGGCTAGGATATACTCACACTGATGCACAAAAAAAATATTAAATAAAATGCACTATTTAGTTCGAAAGCAAAATGCAAAAAACGGCATTCGTACGTTTAAAACTAATAAAATAAAAACTTGCTACTAACACAACAATCAACAATAACGTATCTGATTAAAGGTTATTTTTTTTATTTTCTCTTGTCGCTTCAAATATGTTGTTTTGTAATTGAATAATCGATTACCTGAAACTTAATAAACGTTAGAATGCTGAGAGGACCATTCAAAATTACTTGCTTACCTTCAAAGTCATCACTATGCAATTCACAGTTCTCCACATTTTTTTAATAAATTTGCTCAAATAATGCTTAATTGGCAATAAAGTGGCGGGAAAATCAACTCGAACACAATTGTTGTGTAAAATGTATTTTATTTTACAATTTTATTGATCTCAATTGCCTAGTCTTTACAAAATTATATGTAGGTATTCAGACAATGAAGCGAAACTACACGTCATTAAGCACCAATTTCCTGCAGCACTCTCTTATCTACCACCAATTTCACTTACCTGTAGAAACTCAGCATCGATATTTTCAGATATAAATTACACCGGTATTTAGTTCAAATTGTCCTTCAAAAATTCGTTCAACCGGTGGGCTTGCCGGAGGGAGGGAAGCCGAACATCCTTTCGGGATAGAAGGGTAACTGTGGCGGTAAATTTTGTCTAATAGAAGAGATTTTATCGTTGACGGTAACGTCGAAGTCGCTGTGGACGACGAGGTGCCGCTGCAGGTGCTGCTTCTTCTTGAAGCCCTTCTCGCACACGGGGCAAAAGTACGAGGGCGGCTTGCCGCACTCCTCCCGCTTGTGATTGCACAAGTTCGTTTTGTGCTTGTAGGAGCGACCGCAGCGGTCGCAAGTGAATCTTTGAAAAGCGTTTTCTAAAATTCAAATGCCATTAATTAATTTCGTTTGGACTTTGCGAGCGGGTCGCTGGCGGTCGAGACGTCCGCCAAGGGAATGGGAGGGTAGGTGATGGTTTTGAAAGAAAATCCGGCGATTTTAATATTATTTATTTTCATCAAAATAAAATGAGATTCGTTAATTACGTACAAACTAATGAATTTTTACAGTTACATTCTCTGCAGTTCTGGGATTTTGATAACGTATGAATTATTTAGCTACATTTTAACGAGATTAATAAAATTTGGAGAATGTAAATGCGTTATAAAAACTAACTCTAAATAAGATCTAATGATTTCGAAAAATATCATAGTAATCAGTCTCATATTTTCTACAATCTTTGCTATTTGTTGAAGCGTAATATTTCCTGAAGCAAAAAGTATAAAGGCACTTTCTTTGGTTCAAAATATTTAAAGGATTGCAGGAGAACTTTTCCATGCAAAAAATTAGCTTAATTAAAAAATGGCTAAATTGCCTACAAAGTTAAGTAGTACTCATTCTTTTACTTCTATTTGTAAAGATAATTTCCAGATATTAAAATATCCTCTTATACATCCAAGTAGTACTTGAATGATACTCAAAACAAAGCTGGTAACTAAACTAATACAAAATAAATCACCCTATTAAACCGGTGACCTGCAAATTAACCTCCGGAGTCAAGGCGTTCTCGATCTTGATCTCCTGCTTGACGCCGTGCCGGTTGACCATGTGCCTGGACAAGTGGTACTTCCTCCTGAACAGGTTGCAGCAAATCTCGCACTTGAACTTGGGCTCGACGCCGATGCACTCGCCCTTCTGGTGCCTGTACAAGTGCCGCTTGTTCTTGTAGCTCTTGTGACAGACGTTGCACTCGTGCCGGTACTCCGTCGAGCTCGTCCGCAGCGGGTCGAAGGAGCGCAGCAGGTCGCAGTAGTTGCGCATCAGCTGGTAGGGCAGCAGGGGGTGGTTGCGGCGGGCGGGGTCTAAAAAAACGATCCACAAAAAAGATACGTTGAAGATGGAAAATCGAACGAAACGCACACACTAAAAGGTCTACTGTCGGTTGCTAAACTAGTTCAAATCGGTTCAAATAGTTCAAACAGCGTGCTGGGTACTGGTTAAACAATCTTGTGGTTGATTGTTTGCATGCAAAGTTATCGTTGGAATTTCAACGTTGTTTCAAATATTTTTTTCTATTACCGGGAACTTATTGATTTCGGTTGTTTGTTAACTGGATATTGATAAGTAAATTATGCTAGATGATTCAAGTTAATGGGTATAATTAAACTCTTCATTCTCCATATTGATTAAGGTAATTAGCTTCATTCGTTTAGTTTTAGTTCAATAGACTAATGGATTAAAAAGCTCAAAAATTAAAAGAAAATCTTCAAAAATAGTACCTACTGTATGACTTTTCTTTAAATTATTTTGCAAACTTTGCTGTTCCAGAATATACAAATATCCTCAGAGGAAATAAATTGTTTTGTACGAGGGTAAAACGAAAAATAAACAAGTTAGGCTGAAACTGGGCTTTAATTAAGTTTTTTTTACGTAAATGTTTGAGAACAAGCTACTAAAACAAAGCTCGAAAATTAACACGTCGACTGCAAACGACAAAAAAAAACGCTCTATTCTCTCTCGTGCCGGTGGGGTTTGTTATTGAACCGAATCTCCTGCCGGGCGTAGTTTATGTAAAACCCGTTCTCGCAACCGGCCTCCACGCACCTCCAATTGTACTCGTCCTCTCCCTTGATCTTCGACAGACGTTTCGAGCCTCTGCGAAACCGAAAACCGTCCACCATCAGTATCGTGCGGTTCCTGCCGTCCACTTGCTCGTCCATGTGCAACAAATTCGATTTCGCACCTGCAAAAACAACGCAACATGATTGAGCTGGTCTGCGGTCCTTTTCGCCGTCCGAGCAACACCCGTAGAAATCTTTCCTACGCCTACACAAGTCAGTTATCGATAGGCAGATGCGCTGTTATTAATCGATTAGGTAATAAGAGAATACAACTGGTTATTTTATTTGTGATAAATTCATATTTGTACAATATATTTGTAGATTGTCAATAGGATTTGTTGTTTTGAAAGTACTTGGATAGAAATTAAGTGATTTCTTCTACTTTCTTGTAAATATTGATAGAGCTTGTATTGCTGTTATTTTCAAAGCAATTTCACCCTGTAGAGCAAAGTTTATTCGGTTTTTTTAATATGTTTTGGTAACTTCCCAACTTCAAATTGGGACTAATCTCAAAACTCAATCTTTTCGATTTCGATGTGTCTAAAACTTGGTAGAACAAAAATTTTTATCCCAAACATTTTCAGTTGCAACGAAAAAAATGGGGGTGCAAATATTCATTTCTTTACTCTGTATATAAAGCCTTATCTTGATAATTTTTAGTCTCAATATGAAGTGGATAATGAATTCAGCCAGCTCTAAACTTTTGATGCAAATCAAACGCAATCGACTTTGGAAATACTATACATGAAAATATTCTCTTCACGAGTTTGAAAGTATTTAAAAATGCAATTGGGGCCAATTTTGGTCATGCATTAAGTTATTTATCCTAAATTTCCAGCAAATAAGAGCAACGTCTTCGACGAACTGGTGGATGTGGTGAAACTGGTGAAGTTTCCATCTTTCGTAGCGCAAATTGTAGGATAAATGTTCGCCGGTTCTTAAAATAAAATAATAATTGTAGAGTTGACAATTTTCTTCGCTGGATCATCTGCTTTGGTACTCAGTGTAGTTGGGTAGGAGTCACCATATTCAAATTGATTTTTTTTGTTTCTTTTCTGAGTAACAGCTACTAGAAATCATGCATTCAATTTTCTAGGATCTACATTGTCCTTCGATTTTGCCGTGAGGATTTCTTAATAACGATACGTTTGTTTCTATATTTGAACAAAAAGAACTACTAACTAAATTGAACAATTGTTGAAGATAATAAAGTTTTAAGAATGTCTAGATTTTCTTTGTATAAAAAGATATTTTAGTTACTATTATAGTAGTTGAAAAAAATTGCATGAGCCACCCTGTATAATTGTCGAATGAAACAATAGTGCAAATCTTGATAGTGACATAACTATTTAGCGAGTGCTCTGTACTATAATAAAACAGTGATAGTGATCACAGAGTGGTGATCTCTAGCGATATCTACAGTCATCTAGTGATATCACCACTCGGTGAGTAAACTCCGTTTTCTGAGTAAACTATGATTAAATTCGAACAATGTGATTCACTACTCAGGAATATCAGTGCCAATAACTATAAAATATGTGAATACCTGTCTAAAAGCAACTCATAGGTACTAATTTTAATATTTTTTTTGTTTCCTTATTAGTTCAAAATAGATAATATGAAAAATTTGAAAGTATCTACGAAAATTTTTCGCTAATTCGTTCTGGGAAATATTTGCTGTTGCAAATTAAGACTAGAAAGCACGACTAAAAATTTTGTTATGTAAACTTGGAATATTTAGCACAAGCATGACAAATTAGTAATTTCCAATAATTTGTTCAATGTCGCATATTCAATTTCAAACGTTAATGTTTTGCCAATCATGTTAATCATTGAAATATCTCACAAAAACGACGGTTCAGTTAACTTTATTAATTTTAAAATAACCCAATTTTAATTGAGAGTCATTCTCCATCAAATTTGCCAATTCATTTCGGATTTAACTAATTCGTTCGTCCCAATTACGCACAAGAAATTCAAATCAAAACAAAAATTAAAACCTAAAATCAAAAGAAAAATATTAGAAAACCGTTCAAAAAAAAAAGCAAAAAGAATCCCCTTTCCAATTTTCCTAGCTCTTCGGAGTTTTCTCAAAAATAAGTTCGCTTTACTTACCTTTACGGGCCTACTCAGCATCTCATCCGCGTCGCGACGCCTACGCCTTCGGGATAACCACAGAAACGACTCAATGGCAAAAAAATCTTTGGTATATTTTCTTTGCTTAAGACATGCTACACTCATGGTCCGATAAATATATTTAAATAGGAACAATTTTAATCTATCGTAACGAAAAATATGGCACACAAATCGACTAGAATATTTTAAGAACGGTCGTTTCTTACTAGTAAAATACAGAAACACAAAGCTAACTCAAACGACCGAATTTTCCCTATTTTATAGTAGATTTTAAATTTGTACTTTTTTATACACTATATACATCTTTGGTAACGTTTTCTTTGTATAAGAGGTGGTTGAAGATAAAAAACCTTCTGTTCTTCGAACAATTCGGTTTGAATGTGGAAATACAACTACTGTTGAAATAAATTCTTGCGTTTGAAGGGGGAGGTTCCCTATTAACGTGTAAAAAACTACGAGTTAATTGCTTCGAAAAGCCAATAAAAATTTTCTAAATGCTGCCAGTACTATGAATTTCAGGCGGAATTGTCCGAAACTAATACGCGGATTGATTTCTACACATTGACAAATATAAATACTGATTACTCCCGAAAAATTTTGAAAAAAAAAGCTCAACTTATCGGACTTTGGTTCGATAAACCGTAATGCTTTTGCTGAATTTCGGCAGCGTGCCGTGTTTGTTTTCGAAATGCCGTTTCAGGTTAGATTGTTGGTGAAATTTTCTGTCGCAGAAAGAGCACTGGAATCGCGCGTCTTTCCCGCATTCGTACACCATGTGCCTACGCATGTTTCCACGGTGTTTGTAGATTTTCCCGCAGTTGGCGCAGGGAAACCCACCGGAGATATAAGGTTCGAATTGTCGCAGAACCATCATTTTTCCGCCTGTAAATAAATACTGCTGTACTAGCGATTTCAATGTTGCTTTTGCTATTATGGCGCTTTATTTTTATTTTTTTTTTTCATGTGCTTAGCTTACATATGCTTTTCGGTCCAACATTTTTTCGAGATCATTCAACATCTTAATTGTTAAATCCAATGAATTACCAATCAACAAATTTTATGATATAAGATGTTGCATATCTCAAAACAGAGGGAACAGGATTCCATTCATTAAAACTCGGGAAATTGGTAACTAATTATTGTATTAATTTTATTATAAATACAACACATTAATTTCTTCGTTGACAATGGTCTATTCAAACGATCGACCGGAATTGGTTCTGTAACAACAGAGAAAACATTCATAAATAAATGTGTTCTTAATGCCTTACGCAGTAATGAGTCACCTTGTATACACAGTGTTCATTAATTTACTTTTAAGTATGAAACTTAGGAAATAAAAGTAATATTTCCTTAACGTTCGAAAACTCTTAGTTTCTATATTTAAAAGCAATTAAAAAATCATCGAAATTCATGTAGTGAACACTTGGTGTAAATCAAAGTAAAAATTAATAATTCTCAGTTCTAGCCTTATTGCAGAAAGATTCATCGTAAAAATCAAAAATCATTATTTTCGAAGAACAATTTTGCAATAGAATTAAGCAAGAGAACTTGACAATTTCAATGTACGTTTTTTGTAGTTTTCAAGAACATTATTATAAAACTTACGTGTAATCGAAACGAAGAACCGCCGACGCCGCAGTTGCGCAGGATCTCTTGAAGTTCGCCTCTCCATATGAAGATGTAGACGAGGTTAGGAAAAGAGGAATAGGAATGGGATAATATCGAAGATCTCGAATGTGAAAATTCGAAAGAAAAGCAAATCCCACCTCCACCCAGTCCCGGCGTGTCCATATAAAAGAAACGCCGGGCCTGCTTACTTTTCTGCCGGTCGTGTACAAATTATCACCGGAAAATATTCATTGGAACTTTTGCTCTATGCAAAATTCACACAAAATCACACACTCGCATGTAGAATCGACAGTTTTTCTTTCGGTTCCATTTAAAATTAATGAAGTATAAGATTAAATGGCGACGAAAAAAAATTAGTAACAAATTCCACCATTCGTACTATTCCATTCATACATTCTCTCATCGAGTTCCAAATTTCAATCCCAAGTTTATATTTTAATTACCCACAAATTTTGTATTTGTTTATAAATCATAAAAAATACAAATATAAACAAAATGATAATTGGTAAAAATATTACTAAATTGATAATTTAAAAGTTGCTCAATTAAACAACTCAAAAATTTAACAACTTACCAATATTTTTACTGAAAAAATAAGTAAGAGCACTTCAAAACGCACTGCTGAAAAAAAATGTATAATGTACCTCACTGTATAATAAGTAATTATACAGCTACAAAATAAAGTAAAATTTATCACTTGTATTTTTTCATTCTTCTCTATTATGTTTGAATAATATTGAAAATGTACCTTCTATACATCTAAGCACATCACTTTAAATTAAAAAAACAGTTAAATAATCTTAGGCTTCAATTTTAAAGTATAACTGAAGTCTAATTAGTGATTAATTAACAACACACGTTAATTGAAAATGAATAAATTGTATTAATTGGCTGAAACAGAAACTGATGTATCATAAATATCAAATATCCTAAAAGGATGCAAATTTTTTAAGTAAAAAATTGCAACTCCTTCAGGATAACAAATAACCAATACCCTGTCGTTTTCATTAAATATTATGCAAAATTACCTATCAATAATAAACGTAGATCATTGAGAGTTAATTTTGCGTAATAATTCAACTTTGTAAAAAAAATAATTTGTTTTTACTACCATTTAGGTTATTCAGACCAAATCGGTTATTCTATCACAAAGCAGAATAGAATAACTGGTCGATAACCTAAATGGTTGTAATAACAAAAAAAAAACGATTTGTAATCAGTTTTAAGGAATTTGTAGAGTATGCGATTTTCACATATCAAAAATTGTTGCAGTTTTTAAAGTAAAACTTGTAACAATTCATGATAAGCAAAAATTACCCAATTACCTCACCGCTTGTAAAAATTTACAAACGGCTACAAGTGTTTTAATGTATGTAGCTTGTAGGTAATGTAACCTGTTTGAAATTTAATTTTTCACATAAAATTACAGAAAAAAAGCATCTGTAATTTACAAATTTCTTCTATCACTTTTATTGGACGAAAATATCGACCAATAAAAAAATCACTGAAATAAAAAAAATGAAATTACGCACAATTGTATGTAATTTCTAATACAAATGCAAAAATTTGCAAAAACGATCGCAAATTTCCGAAAAAAAAAAATTTCAAATCTGCTCAATTAAGCAGATTCACATTGAAATTTGTACGGGTTAAATCTAAATTTAGATTAACCAATGAAACAATTGGAAAAAAATGTACAAATAAAATAATGTACAAAAAAAGCATGCAATAATACAATGTTAGACCAAAAAGTAAAGAAATACATGAGATAGAAGGCCAACATTTTTTAATGTCCCGACCAAATAATACTGTACGTGTATTCCAGATTGAAATAAAATATAAAGAAATGATAATTTATCTATTACAGTAGTATTTGTGCAGGCCTACATATTACAATACCCAACGAAAACAAGCACTCGCAAATCGTATGGCAAAACGCAATAATTATTTGGAGGAAATTAATCAAAAAAATAAAAATAATAAAAATAAACGCAATAAAACAAGGAACAAGTGGGAGAATACAACACCGAGACCGACAGCCTCTTCTTACAAAACCAAAATGTCTTCCAAATTCGCCCAAATCGATACAAAACAAATTGAAAACGACACAACAACAGGCACAAATCATACCATATGAAGTAATAGAATAATTTATACCAATTGTCGTTAATTATAAGTACTATTTAGAAAGTGAACAGATCAAAAATGGAAACAATTTGGTTTTAAAAACTATTCCATTCTCCCCCTTCTTACCTTTCGAAGAAACTCTTGATAAAATAAGCGCTCGAATAGTGAAGATGAATTTTATCACGCGGTTCTAAATTATTTATATGCATACTTAAATTAATTAATTTCATTCAGTTAGCGTAAATCTAAATGCATTTGCAGTATAATGCACGACTTATTGATTAAATAGTTTGTTCCTAACAACGCAAAACGGATACCTCCAAATTTTATATAACCTGTTGTAAGATGCTCTTGACGCAGGGGAGAAGGTTAAATAAATAAAGGGTAAGAAAGAACTAAAGTAAAAATATCTACAACTACAATAATGTAAGCTAAATGTTAAGCAAAGTAAAACAGGATTAACGAAAAAAAACCAAGGACTACCCGTTACGGAAAAAATATAAATAAATGTTAAATAAAAAAACCAAGAGACTGGAAGTCGAGGTGTGGTGTTAAAAATTTTGCCATACCATATGCGAGCGTATCGATAATAAATCAAGCTTGCCTACCGTTGTGGACTAATTCGAAGTTTACAAACGCAAATATCTCATTAATTCATTAAAAAATTCCCTCGCTCATTCCAAACGGTAGACAAGCCTTTACAATAAAACAAAAATCTTACCTTGTGAATCTCTGTGTGCACCGACGGCCTCTTGCGCGGCCAGGAATACTTCGTCTTGACTTTGGTTACCCATGTGCCAACCGCCGAATCCTGAAACAAACCAAACAATTTAAATTTATAGATTATTTTGTATGATAGATAATTTTTAACTGCTCGTGTGAACACAATAGTTGCATTTAGCGATAACAATCGAATTTTGAAACGAATCGAAAAAAGTAGCTTCGATTACATTAAACAAAAATCGATTATTTGTCGCAAATACATGTCCAACTTGGTGAATAGTGTATAAATAAAATAAAAGATAAACAAACCTTGACTGGGACCCTCTCCGCCGGCGTTCCCGTGACTAGGTCCCGCCCCATCGTCCATTTGTTCCATATTACTCAAGTCATCGTCGTCTAGCGTCAAATCCTCCACGCTATCCTCATTCATTTCCTCTACATATTCAGACTTTGGCTCCAAGATCAGTTCCGTATGCGTTTCTATTTTCTCTTTAATAGGAACTTGAGACAATTCGTCGGACTGTTTATGCCTCGTGAGTATCTCGGATTGGCTTTCTAGTTGATCAGGCACGTCGGCGTTCATTTTCGTGACCGTCGGTAACGAGGGAATGTTTTGGGCGGGTAGACTGTGAGATTCGGACGAATTGGACGCGTCGTGATTGTCCAATTCCTCGCTCTTCCGCCTCGGCCGTTTCTTCTTCCGCGGCCCCGGCGAGACGCTGCCGTCGCGCGAATCGTCGCGGCTCCGCTGCTCTATCGACAGCCCTTGTACTCGAGGTATCGACGCCGCCGGCTGGGGGCTCTTCGGCGAAGGCGGCGGCGGCGCCGGTTTTCTGTCTCTGCTCTCCGTCTCGGCGCGTTTGTTGTCCGACAAACCTTTGATTTGTAACGATTCGGCTGCTTTCAGTAACGCGCCCAATTGGTCTTGGGATATGTTCACTTCGCCCCTGTACATGTAATCCATCATGGCTCTCAGTTCTTGGAATTTCACGTCCTTCAGGATCAGGACGGGGTGTTTGTCATAATGTTTGGAAAGCAGCGCCTATCAAAAACAAACAAATTTATTAATACCCTGATAAAAAAAAATGGTTTTGTATGTTAACAAAGGTAAACTCATTATTCGTTACTTCCTAATAGTTAATTGGAATCAATTGATCAAATGCTCGTAATTTATTTTCAACGAATAGAGCCTACTAAGTCCAAATATACGAATTTAAAGAGATAAATGAGAGTTGTTATGCGGAAACCTAACGGTTTTAAACGACCGAGTGTATCCCGTTAATCGACCTAGTTAAGTGGAAATTACACGGCGAATACTTACTTCGAAATATGGACTACAAGCCGATAAAACTACTTTGTGTGCGTCGAGGTATTTTCCTTCCGCTGCCAAGGTACAGTCCACCAAAACGCCTTTTTCTAATAAGGTATCGAAAACGGACACCAACGTTGATTGATGGTTGTTCCATCTTAAGCAAAACTGTTGATCGTCATCCATTTTTTTCTAAACCAAACAAAAAAATACATCAGTTAATTAACCATACGAATATTTCAATTTTCTTAATCTAAAGACAACGTATCTTAACAAATTTTCCCCATTATAAAATCTAAGTACTAACCTAAATAAATATTAAGATATATTCCTTTTATTTTTTTCGCTAACACCCAAAAGTGCGTCGTATTTTGTAATCTAACCACGCGAACATTTAATTAACAAAAATAAAAACAACAAACAAATAAATAAAAGCACAGCCAACCGGGATGAGTTTCGATCGCGTTTAGAAAACAAAAGAGCGTCGTAGCGATGACGCGTATACACAAAATGGCGGCTCAAAGTGAACTCAAAACGGCGAAATCGAAGAGGCCTCGCTTTCCGGGGCCTCACTTTTGCGCGTTTCCCACTCTAAAACGGATTTTCATTGGACAGCGCCGAAAGCACGCAAGCGTCGTAAGCTCCGTGCTTCCACGTCAGCGGGAGTAGGGAAAGCGAAGCGTTGGCTGTGGCTTGGACGAAGCAAATATGGCGACTTTTCCGCGTCGTTAATCTCGGAATTATCCCGAATTTCATAATCGCGAATTACTACATACCGCAATTCGATCGAAATTTAACGTTAAAAAGAATACAACAACAATCAAACTGGTATTATTTACTCGAAAGCTTTAGAGAAAAACCTATGCGAATCGAAAAGGAGAAAGAGAAAGCTCGGGTGTTGTCTACCGGTAATCGACAACCAACAAACAGCCGAAATCCCCAATAAAATCAACCAAACAAATACAAAAAAACATCGTCTAGTTACCTATTTTGGCACACTAAAACTAAATATCACAAAATATTTCACTTATAGTTAAAGTTACGAGGAGATGACGGACATTGATGTTCTTCGTTCGTGCGTCGGCTTTCAACTGAAAGCGTTCGCCCCGTCGAAATCGATTTGGAACATTCGAGAGCGTCCGGGGCATAAAAACGCAGCGCCGGTGACGTCACGTGGCTGCGCCGCGAGCCGTGGCGCAGCGTCGCCGGCCGCCGGGCCAATCGGGAGCGAAGCTTTCGATCCTCGATAGATGGTGGGAACAAGCTTCGCCGGTGCGTTGCGTTAATTATGCCCCGGACGCTCCGAAATGTGCCCGGGCGAAGTGTAGGCAGAGAGAGAGAGGAGACGGTGGAAAACTTGAAACGGATAGAGCGTGGAGATGGAGATGAGGAGAGAAGCACGAATTTGATCCACAACAAAATAGTGAGCGCCAGCCTGTTCTCTCTTCTAATCGCACAGTCCGTTTTCCACTGTGCCCATACGATTTTATTCTTTGCGTGTACGCGATTTCGATCGTGCCCGTTTTTGCATGTTCACCTGTGACAGCTCGAGCAGGTAAGGTCCCCTGATTTAAAAAGCCCACTTGATTCGTTAGTTTTTACCATTCGTAACATAACCTCACAAATGTTTACCAAACGAAATGCTCGTTCCTTCGTAGTAAAATTGATCGATTAAAAGCGCATTAATGCATAAAAAAAAACATTATTTTTTTTTCGCATGTTTCGTCATCGATCAAAACGTTTCACCTCAGTCTTTCTTTTATCTCTCTTTCTCTCTCTATCTCTTGTAACCTATTTTTTCTCTTGTTCCGTACGAATGGCAACTGTCAAATTGAGCGCGTATACGAGGGTCGTCCCGTATGTTGCGCGCTAATATTCCGAATTATTCGTTCGTACAAATCGATGCTTTTAATGAACATACAGTAAAGCTCTATTGAAATCTTTTGAATAATACGCAATCGTTATGAAATAACAGCGCAGCTTTGAGTCGGTATAGTTATATCGAAACTTTCCGCGCGCTCCCGGTAGACACGCGGAGCCCCCGAGCCGGCAGTTTCGTTCTCTTCTATCGATTCCAGTTTCCGGTTCTTTTTTGTGCTGCTTTCCCTTCTCGCTCTCTCGCCCCCGTCTCTCTTCTTCGCCTCGGTTTTCCCCGTTTCGCCGGCGAGGTCGAGCGCGCCGCGGAAAACCGATGGGACTGTGACCGAGCCTTCCGCCCGGCCATCGCTCTCCGTCATCGTCTATCCGTCCCGTCCGTTTTCTCCTTCTTCGCCGTCCGTCTCGCTCGATCCCGTCCTAGGCGAGAGCTAGGCTAGGCGAACTCGAATAGAAAGCCGAGCGTTTTCTAAATGGAAGTTTCCGTGAAAAAATTCGACTTACTTTGTTGTTGGTAGCTCAAATGCTTGGCGAGCTCGAAATTTCTATTGCATTTAAATGCAATTTTTCCATCGTTTATTTTCCCTTCGGTAGGTACTTGAATTGGAGCGTGCTTTTGTACTAAATTCGGTAAAAAATCGATGGATATTATTTTTACCTAGCTAGAAGGGTCTATGAGTCACTCACAGGATTGGGGAAAAACACGTTATGGAAACGTTTATACTTGGAAATTGGTGATTTTTATTTGAGCTACGTTTACACTGATGCTTACCTATTATAGTCTCTAATATACCACGAAATCGCTCTAATATAAAGCTGAAAAGCATTTTTAATGCATCAACACAAACAAACCTACTCAAAAGAAAACGATGTTGCCCAATTCAATTATTTCAACTTTTCTCTACTCCTTTAAATTCCACTTTTAAAAAGTCTCCGGAAACATTTCCGAACCACCCTGTATCTAAAAACCTAACAGATACCAGCATAAAACGTGTAGTATTCCCAAAACGGCCACCCCTATATCAAGAACCCCCCGAAATTCGTTTCGTTTCTTCCATACGACGAAGTGAATAGGTTCCCAAACCCAGACCAACCCCAATTCGCCCGCTCCGATCAATAAATAGTACCGTGCACACCCGGCTGGGTCGCACGAACGTGAGGCCCAGCTGCCCCCATGCATATAGGGGAGCTCCAGACGTACATCGAAGGAAAACAACCCCCCGGGCGTTCGAACGAACCGCGACCACGTTTACACACAAACTCGTTTATGTATTTCCCGGCAATTCTAACGGAAAAATCGGGCGTTTCGAACACCCGATTCCTATCGAAGCGTCCCGGTATATTCGAAATACGAGGGGTGCGTTGAATGTCGGTTTGTTTTTCAGGCAACATGGACGATCAGCATTATTGTTTGCGTTGGAACAATTACCAAAGCAATATGACGTCCGTGTTTCATCAACTTTTGCAGAACGAAGATTTCGTCGACGTCACGTTGGCTTGTAATGATCTTTCGTTGAAAGCTCACAAGGTAAATTTAATTTCGACAATTTTTGTTCGATACAGACTATAAAGCTTCGTACAAGGGTAGGGTGATAAGTTCTCGGACTGACAATGAAAGACCGCGATTTTCAGTTTAAAAATTACATTAGTCTTCTTATTAAGTCATAATCCTTAGTTCTAGACAGTTTTAGATGATTCTAGAGCGTTCTAAATACCTATGAAGCGTTCTAAATAGTTCTGAAGCTTTCTAAATGGTTTTAGAGAGTTGTTAATGATTCTGGAGCGTTCTAAATGGTTTAAGACAGTTCCAAAACGATTCTGGAGCATTCTAAATAGTTAGGAAGCTTTCTAAATGGTTTAAGACAGTTCTAAAATGATTCTGGAGCGTTCTAAATAGTTAGGAACTTTTCTAAATGGTTTAAAACAATTCTAAATAATTTTTGAGCGTTGTAAATGGCTTAAGACAGTTCTTAATGATTCCGGAGCGTTCTGAATGGTTCTAAACAGTTATAGAATTAAATATAAATGTCTCAAAGAGGAAACCTCTTCACCCTCCCCTCGTAGAAAATATTAGTTTCGCGTTTGGGACACTCTGTACATAGGGTTTATCGGAGACCCTGAACCGGTTTTTTTTTCGTCGAATTCCCGGTATACAAAAAGCATTTTCTCATGGAATTTTTCCGCAGGTAGTCTTGTCGGCGTGCTCGGCCTATTTCCAAAAGCTGCTGTTAGAAAACCCCTGCAAACACCCCACCATCATTATGCCCCAGGACGTCGGCTACGAGGACCTCAAATTCATCATAGAGTTCGTTTACAAAGGGGAAATCGACGTGTCCCAGACCGAACTTCAGGTAAAAAAAAGATTCTATACCTAACGCGAAAAACGGTTAAACGAATTAAGAATCGAGCAGATACGATCGAGTGGGAAATGAAATTCGGAATTTTCCACACACGTTCACACGCGAGAAACGGCCCGTTTCCATTGTTTGGTTTCGTCCTTTTCCGTTTTACGCTCGACATGTGGAACAACTTACAAGCAACAAAAAAAAATAGAAAGGAAATTCGAACTTGATTCGACCGGCTGGTTACAGTTACAGTTACAGTAGCTTCAGTGGCGTCTCTAAGAAAGAACATTATCCCTCTATATTAATTTTTCTAGCTTTTTCGAACGGTTTTTTTTACCATTTGTAGCCTTTAAACATTTTATCATACAAAACTCAATTTGTATCGAACTGCCAATCAAGTTACTCCTTTAATTCATTTAACACGTCGACTGCCAGACGATTGCGCCATATATTTTATATCAATTTTAGATTCGCACGATAATGGTCGTTTTCCCAAGTGTAGTGTTAGTAATTCTCTTTATGTATGTATGTATACTTAACATTTACACATATCTGCTGCGCGTTACGTGCTAGATTCGAGGGGACAGCGATGCCAATGCACTTTTGTGGGTTAACAAACCCAGCAGGCAACGTTGTACACAAACTCCCGTGAAGAAAACGAGGAGTTTTATTCGGCGATTTAATTCCGAAATAGCGTTTTTTCCGAGCGAACAATCATTTCATTCGCCTTTCTATTCGGTAGAAAACGAGAAAACGGGTCGATTGATGTCAGATACAGGGCGATGCGGACGTAAAATTCATTCTACTTGAGAAAATTCTATTAGTTGTATTCGGTCAACAATCTTGGAAAAAAATTCAGATACTATACAAAGTTTACATGAGTACTTTTTGGGTAACTGTTTAAAAAAATCGAGCTTGTGCAGCAATTGAGTTATTTTTTGCGTGTAAACATTATTTCAAATATTCAAAGTTTACATTTTTTTTGAGGTACAAATTTTGAATCTCCCTGTATATCGGTCGTTGATCTCTGAAGAAACTTTGTATTCCACATAAGTGCTTTTTTTTGGTGCTTATTAAAATGTAAAAGTGGGAAAATGCATTAAAATCGTAGAGTTTTTTTAAATGAGTATATTATAATAGTTTTTCATTTTTTATCCAGTTCCCGTATATAAAAACATCTTATCGTAACGAAACAATTAAATTTATCTTAGGTTTTAAAGGATATACCTAGTAATTTTTAATATTTGTCTGTGATATCTAATCAATATGTAGTCAATATTTTATCTATTTCTAAGTAAGAGAATAAATAAATTTTAAAGATAAATACAAATTCAATCAATACACAAAAATACTCGAACGTCATTGACTCACCCTGTATAAAACTCTTATCAATTTATGCATTGAAATCGAATACTTCTCGCCATCTAGCGGGAATTTTCACTACTAGAATCTATTACAGTCTCCTTTAAACTACGCCCTCTGTAGTCTTTACATGGCATCATATCCTTTTTCGAACAGCTACATCAAATAGCGTTCTGTAACTAATCGAAATTGTAACTAAAAATCTACCAGTAGATGAACCCTAAAATTAAAATCCTTGATTCACAAGCTAGCATAAACCTGAAATTTTTTGGAATCACCCTGTAGAGAAATTTATTGGCTGCAATTTTCGAAATATAAAAATTTCCACGCACCGTCCTCATTACAAACCCCAATTCTACTAAAAAGGATAATACCAATGCGAAGGATCCTGTGAGGAATCACCCTCGCAGGTACTCCAGGACAAAAAAACCCATCCCTCTTTATTCAATCCGACATTCTGCGAGATGGAGACGATTAGAAATCCTTACCCCCTGCGGAAGAGACCGCCAGTCGGCGAATCAACAGGGGAATTTGCTTTTGCCCCCTTATTTTCCATCCTCCCGATCCGCGCGCCCCCCTTTATAATAAAAATCAATCGCGCGGCGGTCGAAAGCCTACTACATTTCTCTCTCTCTTTCCCTCTCGTCCGTTTCCTGCGAACGGCCACGTTGCCTCCTGCTCGTCCTCGAGTCCTTGCTGCCTTGCCACGTCCTGCTAATTTCGCTCCAGAGTCCTGCACGAGATACACAGGATGTGTATAAACAATAGGTGTGCTAATGCGTTTTTTCGCGCGTGAAATCGCAGGAGTTGACCGCAGGAATCGAGCAGGACACGTTAGAATATCCCGTTCGCAGGATTATAATGCGCGTTACGCAACGATTATAATGGCACGATGTTTTCGGGTCGGGTAATAGGGGAGTTTCGTTCCTGCCGACGCTCAAGGATAATGTGCTGATGCAGGAATTTCGGTTATTTTTTGCTCGAATTGTACGAGAGTCTCTCCGAGTCTCTCTGATTTTTCTGCTATAAGAATTTTGTGTCTTAATTTGGTCGCGATTTAGGCTTTAAAAGGGTTCTAGTAGGTTTCTTTAGAAGGATTTTGAAGGAATATACTCGAGGAAATAGAACAGGGACTTTGGTTGAGTAGTAATTTTTTATGGGACTTAGAATTGCGAATTTTAATTTGATGAAAATTATGTTGTTTATGTAATATTAGGTTTTTATTATAATTTAGAAAATTCAACTAGAAAATAAAAGCATTTTGAGAGATTTCTAAGGAACAAAAGAACCTTCCTAAAAAAGTATACGATACATCCTTAAGAAGCCTTCAAAGAGTAGAAGGACACTACATAGAGTAGATGGACTATTTAAAGAGTAGAGTAGAGAGAATAAAGAATAAAAAAAAATAGAATAGAAAGAACACGTTCAAAGAATAGAAGAACATATTCAAAGAATAGAAGAACACATTTAAAGAATAAAATAACACATTCAAATAGTAGAAGAAAACTTTTGAAGGAAGGAAGTATAAGAAACGAAATCGAACGGATATTTGCAATGTTGGAGAGCAAAAGAAAAAACGGCTAATTTTTAGGTATCTCATGGTTCGAATTTTCTTCGACCTTGGCCGAATCGACCGGACGCCGGGCGAAAACGAAGGAAAAGCGGAAAAACCCAAAAGTGCGGCGAATAACACACGCGACTCCATCCCGACGCTGGTGAATGAAAACTTTTTTCCCTAATTTTTCTTCCGAGACGTCTTCGTCGCTTTTCTTGACCCACATTCGTCGGTCACCTCGTCCGCTCCGCCAAACACGCGCTCCCTTTTCCTTCCCCGTCCGTCCGGAAAACCCGGTTTCCAGCGGCGATCCGGCAACGCGGCGCTTCCGTGCGTTCGCCATTGTAGTTTCGCGCTCTGGAAAGGCTCTTCATTTTCTGGCGCGGCGCGGAAACCCTTATGGCAGCGGACGGGAAAAAAAGCGCCGGGGCGAAAAAGGGACGAAAGCGAGAGCGGCTCGGGCGCGACAGAGACGGCGAGCATCGGCCCGGAGAAAAAAATTGAAAGCGGCAATCCTTGCCGGGCGGACGGAGTTTGGTTCATGACCGTTGAAAAGGATTTTCCGAAGGGCGGTATTGATTTTCCTTGGGGTTTATGGAATTGGAGGAATTTTATTAAATTTCGAGTGGTTTTATATACCTGCTTCTTGTTTTTTGTGATTGCTAAATTGGGTTAAAAATCTGTTAAAGATGGTGACATATACATGTAGATATTTTTATTGTCTCGGATTTGTTTGGGGTTGGTGTATTGGACAGTTCACAAGTTTATTAATTACAAGAAGTTTTTTATAGTTTTATTTCGTTTGACAATGGATCACAGGACTATAATTGATTCCTTTCGTACATTCTGATTAATTTGAGATACCTTGAGGAACGATTTTTACTCGTAATTTCCTCCTATTTTAGGATTTAAACAGGAGCTTTTTGATGAAGATTTTTTTATTACAATCCACCCGCAGCATCGAATACCCCAATTAATCCCCTACAAAAAATTCCCGCATTTCCTCTCGCCCCTTTCACGTCGAAGAACAACCGATTGGAACATCGGAGATCCATTTTCCAGCAATCGATACGCAGCAACGAGCATTACATTTTCCATTACACGCGGTATAGAAATCCGCCAAACCGGCACACGGCCAAAAGGCAACCTCCTCGGCAGTCGTCGGTCCGCAAAAACCCCCCAATTAAAAGCGAAGTCGCGGCGTGCAGTGCGTGCGCCGAGCGTTTCTCGATCTATCACGGGGCCCCGCCGTGTGCGAAGGCGCCCGGGGGAGCGCGGGGCCCGCGAGCGAGACGCCCCGATGCGGCGGACAGCGAGAGCGAGCGGGCAGACGCGCTCCGTCGAGGGGGGGAAGCCGGGGGGGCGCAGGACGTCGGACCGGCCCGCAGCATCCACATCTCGCGTTCCCAACCCCCCAGTACCCAGTAGGCAGTAGGCCTGACAACCGACAACCGCCGGACGAGCCGCCCCGGGAACGGAGATTGAATTCGAGTTCGCGTCTTTTGGTGGATGCCCGTCTGCACGCAGAATCCGCCTCTTCGCCCGCTCAATTCCTCCTTTTTTTTCCTTCTTGTTTTCGTTCGTTCGTTCTTCTTGTCGTCGCGAAATTCGCCGGCCGTTCGGCGACCGAAGGTCATCCTAAGGTCGGGGGAAGATATGTAAGTAACTTACCTGTGTGTATACCTGGTTTTGGTTCGAGTAGTTGGCTTGGGTTTTGTGTGAGTGTGTGTGTGTGTGCATTCGATTGTCTTGCGTCGAAGCGAAATCGCTCTCTGAGCATTAACCCTTAAAGGGAAAAGGACGCTCTCGAGAGTCGAGTTGATTGGGTGGTGGATTCCGTTGTAATTGACGTAAGTTGGGTGCGCGACAATACGCCCTTACTATTAATGCATATTTATTAAAATGAAGCTTTTACTTTGATGTAAAAGATAAGAGAATTAAAAGGTTTTGCTTTAAAACAACAGCAGGGTTCTCGAAGCAAAACCTCTTCTTTTTATGCATATACCTTGAAGCAATTCCTTCATTTTTTGAAGCAAAATGGTTAAGCTTCTTTTTATAAATACGGCCTATTGTCTGCGTGTTGAATATTAAAATACAAGTGGAAGTAAATTAAACATTAATTCGTACTTGATGCATTTTTAAAATTCAAGGGACATACACGATTGGTTAAAAAAGCCTATTCAACGCATAATTTATTAATCTTCTATGATTTAAAAGTAACGAAGATGTAAATGAGCAATTAGTAGCCTTTACTTGCTATAAGAAGATCAAAAAAATGTATGAAACAAACTATTTTACGACAAATCCAACGCATTTTTCATACAATCACGCACAAAAAAAAACCCACCAACACGAACACTTTGCACCTAAATTACCGAGAAACTCAATCAGATAAAAGTTTAACGAACTCGCCATTCGGCTAATCGATACATTCGAACCGACTTAAGTACCGACCACGCCGCTAATATTATTCCATTTCTACCCCGATTACCTCGTTCCGGCCGGGCGGGAAGTCCACGTGCTTTTCCTCTTCCCCATATCCCCATATCGGACACTTTTCCTTCCGAGGCGTCCGTGACGTCGACGACACACTCTCGCACTCTCCGTCTCTCCGCCGTTCCGGAACTTTTACTATCTTTTAACGTCTTCGCTGACCTTATTCCGGAGAAACGCGGGCGAAGCGAACCCTTCGATAGAGTCAGGTGTTTCGAATCGGCGTCGCTCGATCGAGATTGTTTTGGGATTCCAATTCTCCTCTTTACGGCGGTTTCATATTTTTATTCGACCAACTCTCTTGGAGATAAGCTGAAGCTTTCCTAATCGACTTTCCTTGTAGCGGGTAGATTAGCTATCGTATAATCGATTTTCTTCTCTAAAATTGTCTAAATACGCGTACAGAGTGTTTCATTAATTTCTTGAAATGGTCTGGATTCGTCGCATTGGGTCGGAAGTATTCCGAGGAGGGTAAAAAGCAAAATGCGACGTCCTTGAACCCTCTCAACCCTCTATTGATTGGTCCAGACGCTCTAACTCTAACTCTAACGCACTCACACGCACACATACGCGTTCTTATTCGCATCTTGCACAGGGTAAAAACGCGAGAGCGGTGTTGCCGTTTCTATCTCGCTAAATTTCGATGCTAGGAGTTTCGATCTAATTAACTTTTCGCAGGCCGGAGCCGCCGGAGGGCTGGTTTTTTTTCTTGTTGCACTTCCTCCGGTCCTTTGTGTAGCTGGAAGTGACAGTCAATTTGCGAGTCAAAAGCCGTCAGGGGCGACTGCAGCGCGAAAAATCACCCTAATTGCCTTTATGGTTTTTTTTTTGTTCCAGTCCATATTACGTACGGCGGACCAATTAAAGATCAAAGGATTGTGCGAGTCGCCCGACGACAGGGAGAATAGGGACAATCCGGCGGAATTCGCTGTGCAGCTCGATTTCAACAAATCGCCGCCGCCGCTGCCGCCGCCCAAACACAAGGTGAATATCGCAACTTTCCCGTCCCTTCCAAGCCTCCCTGCTCCTTGGACTTCACCTTCTAGCAACTATTGTTGTTAATTGCAGAATCAAGATACGGGTCCGCCGAAATCGAAGCACCAGAAAACCAGCCACCATCCGCCGAACGAGCCTCGAGCCTCGAATGAAATTGCCAAAGGCGAAGAGCGACCGGCGGGCGACAGGAGCGAAAAGGACCGCACGAATGAAGAAACAGAAGAAAATGACATGCCAGTAGCTTCGGAGGACCAGGAGCCGATCAAGAAGAGGCCGCCCCAACACCCGGAGCAAACCAAACCGCTAAACATGAGCAGCCATGGCCTTATATCGGGACAGGTAAGTCTTACCGTCGAGATTTTAGGCGTGCGATATGATGATTGGTATCGTTCGGAAAAACAGACGATATTCTCCCATTTCGGCGTCGACACCGACGACTTCCCGCCCGAGCCGCCGGCCCCGTCGGCCATACCCGTCGGCCACGTGGACATGTCGTCGTCGGCGGCCGATCACTCGCCCACGAGGACGATCCTCACGGGGCCGGTGCACCGCACCGACATCTCCGACTCGACCAAGTTCACCATCGACATCAAGAAGGAGGCCGACATCAAGTTCGAGACGTTGCGCTCCTACGACCAGGACAGTCTGCTCGACATGGAGAGCCACCTATCGGGGCCCGACCATTCGATGGACAGCCAGGAGGACGGCGAGAAGGGCTTCAGACAGCTGATGGGGCACGGCGATTTCAGCGGCATGCCCGGCGTTTCTAGATTAGGTGAATTTCGTTGAGTAGAACTGTCGAGGTTTTTGACTGATTTTTAACGTTTGTGGGTAGATGTAAATAGCGATAACCACGTACCTGGATTAAAAAATAACGGCCATACCGAAAATTTAACGCCGCTGCGAGGCCATGGCGGCGGCGGACCAAAAACATGGACTCAGGAAGACATGGATATGGCGTTAGATGCCTTAAGAAACCACAATATGAGCCTAACTAAGGTACAAACCACAACCATTTACATTGCATTGATAATAATACAATTTCCCTCGTTACAGGCATCAGCTACTTATGGTATTCCCTCCACTACATTATGGCAAAGAGCCCATAGACTAGGAATAGATACACCGAAGAAAGAAGGGCCTACCAAATCGTGGACCGAAGAGAATTTAAACAACGCTCTCGAGGCTCTACGAACGGGCACGATATCCGCCAACAAAGCCAGCAAAGCTTTCGGTAAACCAAAACAACCAATCTCACATTCCACATTACCTCACCGACTCTTTTCGCAGGCATACCGAGCAGCACTCTGTACAAAATAGCGAGAAGAGAAGGAATAAGACTGGCGGCTCCGTTCAACGCGGCGCCCACCACGTGGACGCCCGAGGACCTCGAAAAGGCCTTGGAATCGATCCGGACGGGCCAGACGTCCGTGCAGAAGGCCTCCACCGAATTCGGCATACCCACCGGCACGTTGTACGGGCGCTGCAAGCGCGAAGGCATCGAACTGTCCCGGTCGAATCCCACCCCTTGGTCCGAGGACGCCATGGGCGAGGCCCTCGAAGCCGTTAGGTAATCTAAAACGTTCCATTTAAGTACAATGTAGGGAAGCTGGTTCGCTTCGTAGAGTGGACAATAGCTCTTCTAATAGGGTAGACAATACCTCTTCTGGTTGGGTAGACAATTGTTCTTCTGGTGATATAGGATGGACTCTTGACTCTGGAATAGCTCTTCTGGTAGAGGGAGAATTTGTAATGGTTGATTAATGATTGGCGGTGTTTCAGGTTAGGACACATGTCGATAAATCAAGCGGCTATACACTACAATTTGCCTTACTCGTCGTTGTACGGGCGCTTCAAGCGAGGAATCAAATTCGATCCGGATCAAGTGGACTTGAACCAGGACAGCCAATTGCAGATGGAGCACACGTTCGGCATGGAATACACGACCTCTCCGTCTCAGTTACAATACCAGAATCAAAACAGCTGAGATACGGCCTTCAACTTTGATTGCTTTTGAGAAATAGATAGACAGTGAATTGTTTGATTTACGTGTTTCGATTTCGTTGGTAGGTGTTTGTTTTCGGTATAGGAATAGCTGGATATATTTGCGAATCAAAATAATAAAGCCGAAGGTGAATCGAGAAACCATATTGATATGTACTTGCCGTGCAGTGCCAAATAATTAATAATTTTTGAATTCAAATCGATGAAACAAACGTTGTCTATTTCTATGCAGATGGTACTAACAAAAAGCGTCAAAGTGTGAAGGTGGTTTTTTCTACAAAATGATAGTTTTAAAACTGACAAATTTACCGTAACTAGGCTGTTGTGCTAAAATAAATTAATATTATAAAGTTTTACCATTATTTTTAAACGAAGTTAGAACAAATTTCTGCCTTGACTTACAGTTTATTACAAAAAAAGTGCAATATTATACTCTATTTAATATTGAATTTAGACGGTAGTTGTACAGGTTAGTTGCATATTTGTAGTTAATTTATTAAGTGATTTATGGGCCAATCAAAAATTAGTTTAGGGGATTCCGGAAAACATTGCACTTTTTTTGCTAAAGCAAACGACACTAATTTTTGATTGACACAATTCTCTCCCGTTGCAAATATACATATTATATGTATAAATAGCGTATTAATCGGTTGTACATACTATTTCATTTTATGTTATTTTGTATTGAAAATATTTGTTGCTCATTTATAATTTCGTTAATTGTAAAAAAAACATGTACTGAAAACGGTGTTTTTTATTGCTTATTGTTTTAAAAACAAAAAAAATGTATCGTTTCATTCAATAATTTTTTATTATTTACCCCTTGAATTATTTCCTAATTACCAAATTGTTTATTACTTAAATTAAACCAAATTTGAAATGTTTGTTTCCGGATTTACACAATAAATAACTTACGTACATATACCAATTATCCTGACTATAGCTATCCATAAGCTCTTGAAATCTATTGCTAAATTCTGGAAGAATTTCTTTTAATTCGTTTTCTAAATCTCCCGCACACCAAACGATGCTCATGTGAAATGAAGGATCCTAAAACATGTATACTCGAATCGATTCAATTATTCCTTCGCTAATTACTCACCTCATAAAAGGCAGGTAACGAGAATTCCCCTAAGCAAACGTCCAAAATATCCACTAGACTCTTCAGAGAATCGTAACCGGTTTGAATTCGTAGGCCTATGAAAGTTCTAGTTCGCTCTTCGTTGCAATATATTTTTAGATCGTTAAATAATATCATAAACCTGAAAAATATATTAATTATTAAGTGTTGTTAGTTTGAACAGAAGTTTTACTTGCTTGTTTAAATATTTCGTTCTTAATTTAACACTATCTACAAACGGGTTGATCCAATGATGCCTTAGTATCACGGTTTTCGTCAGGCTTATGTGAAAATCGTCTACTGGTTTCAAATTAATGCTCTCGGGAGCACATCTAATTATTTCGTTTACTAAATCTTTAACTCCATCTTGTTGCTCCACTAAAATTAACCACAATGTCATAATAAAAAGTATATAAAGTTTCGTACACTTACGTGGAATATAGACAAAAGTTGCCCAATTGCCCCTTTCGTGTGCGAAAGATCTAATTCGACCATTATGCAACGAAGGCTCATCGATATGTTCTTCATTAACTACATTATCTCTTAGAAAACTATCCGGTAAAGGCAATCTAGAAAAAACATCCTTTACTTTCGAACATTCATCGTAAAATCAACAAAGTTACCTCTTTTTAAACGACAAATTCACATCGTCATCTTTGTGAGTTCTCTTCGTAGACACTCTGGGACCCGGAACGTCGTCATCGGAACTATTATCACCGTAATCACTTAATAGAGACAAGGATCCTTTATTTGTTAACATTTTTTGAATTTGAAATAAAAAAAGTTTGGTTATATTGTCAATGTCACTGTCATGTCAAATGTCAATAATCGACTTCTTTTTTATTGAGAAGTTTTAATCAACGTAGAACAAACAATATTTAAGATTATTTAGTATGATTAGTTGAATAAATAAATTAATAAATACAATTGTTCTAATATTTTTGAGTGATTTTTCTAACTACTTATGTAATTAAGTTGAAAAAAAAATCAAAGTATGCAACACATGTTACATGAGTGTTATGTGTATTGCATAACTAGTAAAAAATCGGCCGCCTATATGTAAAAATGTAAACTTCATCTCTGGATGTAATTAATAATTCCTATTGCATTTTGGCGGCCTTTTGTAGTGAAAATTAAAAGTTGAATACAAAGCGCTAATGTAATAATAAATAAACGTTAAAATTTATACAGCAGATACTCTAAAAGTATGTACTCTGTAGGGGGAATACCCGAAAACGTACAAAGCTAATATCATCCCCACGAATAAGTAAATCAATATCGATAACGCAGAGATAAAACTAATCAATCGAGCATTATAAATCACCCGAAAGCAATGAGCCGCTTTAAAGGTACAAACCGACGCCCATAAAAGCCAACAAACGGAATCCTCATTCGATTATTAACCGACGCCGCGACGTAAAAATGCGCGTCACGGAGCGCCGACGGCGCGTCGCGCTCCCCCGTTCGCCGGGCATAAATCACCGGGGCGCTCTAAGCGAACCTCGGGGACGCATTCGCGCCCCGCCGACGGACCCGCTCGCCTTTCGTTCGCGCCCGAATATGATTCATGGGGCCCGCTAATCGGCCGGGCGGCTCCTCTAAAAAACGCGATCGTTCGCGTACCTACCGGCGCTCTCGAATCGTCGATTCGAATAATTACGAGCCGGGTGGTAAAACGATTTGTACTTGTTCGTTGCGGAATTGCGGGGTATTTGTTTGTTCGCTTGGATGTCTTTTTACCATTGGGGAACTCGGTATGAGTCGATTAAGATTGGAGTTCTAACCGAGGGTTAATTATCGATGCACTGTGTGTTTCGGTTAAGGATATGGAAGGAGGATGAACTCGAAAATCTGCAAAGAAATCAGCGCTGTATATATAAAAATTAAGTTGATGACAAAAGGGCTTTTAAAAATTATAAAAATTGACTCAATAACAAAATCAATCTCCAAAATGTCTTTGCAGTAGCTTGATATACAGTTGGTGCAAAACAAATCCCACATCCTTATCAATACACACATTGTCTTAAAAGTACTTCCCCTAAGTTATAAGTATAAGTACGCGGGGGAAATTTCGAATTTTTTTGTACACCACAAAATTCCCGGAATATTTCCTTGTTGTCCTTTTTGATAATGGAGTTAGAGCGACACACACACTCACACACACACATACACACATCCTTATCGGTGTGTTTGTTTTTGATTTACGACAACCTGTCTCATCTGGAACATAAAATCTGCCGAGATAAAATATACGTGTGTCGGCTTATTTCAAACTTTCGTTTATCTGAGTCGACTTATCCTTTTATTCGCCAGATATCATTTTTGACAAACTTAAAAAAACACACTCGTAATTATATTGTCTGGCTTTCCCTCTATACAGAACTTATTCCTTATAGTCCCTCGAACTTATTCCACTAAATTGGATTACTAAATGGGCGGTAATTTCTGATTCGCAATTCGGTCTCAAATTATGCAAACTACCACCCCTAGAATTTATTGCCATAAGTTCGAGAACACCCTGTATATTCTTGCGTTCTTGTACAAATGTGCATTCATTATTTAACGAAATGAGTAATGAGTACTAAACAAACGCTTGCTTTTTATTCTTCAAACGTTTATATTGACCGGAATGTTCCGGTTAATCCATATAACATATCAATTTAAATATAATAGAGTATCGATAGGTTTATTATTACACCCGGTATAACATCAAAATTTTTCAAAAATTCCCTTTACCAAAATCTATGTTTAAAAATAAAGGATATTGCAAGGGTAAAGTAGTAAAGCAAACAAGCGGGTAATTGCCAGGCAAATCTCATGAAACCTACACCGGGTTTGTGTTGAAAACAGAATTTTCTTTCATTCGAAAAGAAACGGGAATTATCCGGGTCTTTAGGCCGATATTATGAAAGTTTTACTACGTTTCGAGTAAGCACTTTCATCCTTTTACCTGCGGAATTATGAATATTTATGAGGTTTTATTTTATTGGCAAATTTGCTGGGTGAATGGGCGAGAGGGATGTTTCTACTTAGGGCTTGTAATCCCTCCGTAATCTTGTTTCGACTAAATGCAGGGAGCTTGTATGTTTTGATACGGGATTATTGGTTTAACAGGAAAATTAAAATTTTGCTACTGCAATAGCGGGCAATAAAAATTTTACCTAAATCCAATTCATCCAATTATACTAATTAAATTGTGTTATAGGTATTATACCTAGAATTTTATTATTGTGCCTAAGAAATTCAATTTTCATCTATTATTTTTTTGTTACATTCTCTAACAATATTCGATATTTTATTAGTTTTTATTCGATATAAACAAACAATTATATACTCATCAATAGATATAATTATCTAAAATTTTAAGGTGTAAAAATTTTAAATCTTCTCATTAGCAAAGAAAAAAATATCGATTAACAATGGCAATTGACGTAGAAAAATCACTTAAGTGTTTATTTTTTTCGACTTTTACGACGACGACTCGGTATAGGAATAAATTAGGATTTAATATTTTCTAAAACTGTTGATTTACACAGTTAAATCTAATCCCGCAAATATACGCGAACATCGTTTATCGCATATTTAATTAAATCACGGGATTGTAAATTACATTTCCAATTATGCGGATAAATAAAGAGATAATAACGACGACATTTTATATATTTCAGTCGAATTTATGTATAAAATTTAGCTAAAATAGTGGCATTTTTATTTTCTTGAATAATTTTACTTTAATATAAAAATTAACCAATAATTTTGCTATAAACATTTCAGTTGTAAAATGCCATTTTCCGACTCATTTTTTCTGCAGAACGTTTATATTTTCTAAATTAATTTGCATAGTAGATAGATTTTTTATGCGAATTCGTGGAAAAATGAGGAATTTTCCGTTCAAAGAATGGGATTTCAACGTGGCAAACACGCCTCTGGTTTTCGAGGAACATTTCTGAAACCGCCCGAACGGGATTAACCTACCCGGCAAATTGTATTTAAACGTTTCAGGGAAACTTGCGCTTTGTCCAAAGGATCATAAACGCAGAGGTTTTTCTGATTTGCCTGCGCCCTCATGCTGTTTGTTTAAACCCGATTACAAACATTACTTAAAACTGTATATAAGTTTAGTTGCAACAATACGCTTATTCGATTTAGATTTAATAACACAGAATGTATAATTGTATTAGTTTATAATATCGAATTAGTAGGTCGATATGGATAATTTAAAACCGTATTTATTTGTACCTATTTATCACACATCTGCAAAACGTTCCAAATTTGCTTGATATACTTTGAATAATTTAATTATTTTTATTTTTTATAGGAGTTATAAATTTTATAAAGTTGGTGCATGGTTAAAATGAAATTTTGTAAGGTATTTAATTTCCTCAAATTTAATAAAAACAGAACTTTGGTTTGTTTTGTTTTTACTTCTATATACACAAATTAAGGGCAAATTATGTTTATAAATTAAAAACATTTTTCAAACTCTTCGGACTTTGGTTATTTATTTGGTAAATTATTGCATGTGCATAAGATTATTTAAATCTTAGGTGTTAAAATCATTTTGTTAGGTATCTACAAGTTTCTGCTTATAATAGAAGGAATAGTTTTGGATTTCGGAATAAAAAAGAAGCTTTGCTTTCGGAAGCAAAGAATGAAATGAGAAGATATATTACTTAAATGCCTACACTTTTACAATAATTAAATTGCAAATTTTACTAGTCTCTTACTAGATTAATTATACTTTTTATATAATTTCAAGATTAGACCGATACAGAGTTGAGCTTTGTATTTTATATTCTTCCCAGCTATTTTACGTGTTAAACTCTATTTTATATCGGTGAGTTGTCTTCTGAATATTTTTGCATCACTTCTGAAACACCCTGTACATGTGCAAAACGATTTTTTATGCTTTGCTTTTTTATAGTGCCTACTTACAGGTAAAATTCCTTAATGGACATTTGTCGGTATAATAAATATACAAATCTTCTTCATAAAAATTCTTGTGGTCTCTCAGTTTTATCATTCTTTATTTTTTATCATTTAGCATACTTCTACCAACCAATATATTCAGGACATGCTGATGAATTTGTTTACTCTGGATATTCCAAATGTAATTAGCAAGTCTCAGGGGTTTAAAATAAAACGTTTTAAGGGTATAATTAATACATATATTTCAGTGTAATTTAAATAGAATCCAGATAATTTTTTGATTTAATAAATGTCATTTATTCAACAGTATAATAAATTACGCGCACCCTAACAAAGGTAGATATTTTTCCGAATTTCCACAAACAATTCGAGCGAATAAATTACCGCGACAGGGTGAAAATAAAAATAAAAAAAAAACATTCGAAAAGTCCATCCGAGGCGTCGAAATTAAGACATTAACTTCGTAGGAGTTAATTAAATATTGCCTAATAATCAGGTCGTCGTGTTCGCTCGACTTTCCCATTGGTCGCCGGGCGATATTTTCAGCCATGATCGCGAAGACGCCGCTCCATTGGCCCGCTCCGACCCCACGGCTCCGCCTTCCAGGACCCGCTTTAATCCTTATCTCCTTTATCTACTAGCAATACGCACCTCCGCACGTTTCGGTTCCACTTCCAAACAAATTTATTCGCAGTTGGACGGACAGAGCGCGATGTTTCGGTGCATGGTATTCTAGAAAAAAAAATAATAAACTGTATAGAAGGATACCTAAAGTGTTGGTAGTAATAAGGAAATCGTATTCAATCACTCGAGTGTCGCGAATTAAAATAAGCAAAACATTTATTTGGTATAAGTTGTTGTGTATAATATTATGGTGTCTTATTATCCGCAAACATCGGGAATGTACCATCCGCAGCACCAGTTAACAGGCAACGGGCACGGCCATTTCCAGCCCAACGCGCACGTGTCCCCGTGGTACGCCGGCTTCAGGCAGTCGCCGCACCAGCTGGGCGCCGCGCCGCCCGGCGCCTACTGCGCCGTCGAGCAGGACCAGCAGATGTGGCACCACCATCCGGCCCACGCGGGCCTCTTCCAGCAGGAGTTCCAGGAGTGGTCGGGCCACGGGCCGCACCACCAGCTCGCCCAGCACCAGCAGCACCAGCTCGACATGGGCGACAACCAGCTGCCGTCGCCGCCGATCACCGGCAGCGACATGTCCAGTCCGGGCGTGCAGAACGGGAACGTGTCGCCGGCGCTGGGCCACAACCAGAGCCGGCCGCCGCCCGCCAGGAGTCCCTACGAGTGGATCAAGAAGACCTCTTATCAATCGCAACCCAATCCCGGTAAGCTATACACTTCATTTATCCCTTCTGATATGCCTAGTAGGTAGACTTTAATGGAGAATTTTTTTGAGGAAAAAACCCGTCGGATGCATAAACATTCCCGTCACATATAAAATATGATAAGCTAATACAAACGTCTGCTAATAAACAGATGATTAACCAATTTTTGCAACTGTTATTCTCTCCAGTTCTCTATAATATGCAATCTATAACTCTGCTACACAAAAGTTAAGGAAGTTCGCAAATTTTGCGATTATTTTATAAGTTGCAGACTTTTTGATCACCAAATTATAAAATATGCGAAATTAAATGTTTTCTCTCATATCTGAATGGATTTTTTGCCCCTACCTCTAAAACTCATACAAAATTTGGCGCTCAAAAAACCTGCAACTTTTAAATTAATCTCAATATTTGTGAACTTACTTTTTTTGGAGCTGTATATTTGAATTGATTATGATGGTAATATTGTAGTACCTATACATCATAGTATTAAAAAACAAATTAATTTATAGTTGTATTTTATCATTTGTTGCATCAGTTTAGTACATTTCAAATATTAAAATATGTACCAACATTTTAATTGCTTGTGAATTAAACTTGTGAAAGATTAAAATGTAATAGTTTAAGATAAACTTTTGGTACAAAAGCAGGTGGTTCTGGAACGACAGTTAAATTCAATCATAAAAAAGCCCCATCTAGAATTTATTCCAAAAGGTTGATTTATATCATAAACGCGATAATAGAGGCTCCTGGTCGGTTCTAAAAGCTAAATAGACATCAGATAGATCTTTAGGATGGCCATAAAGCGTACCGTCGCCTCTTTATGGCAATCTCAATCTATCCCTTTCGAGCTGTATTCACCAACAAGGCGGGTTTTTCCGATTTTTCCGGCGCTTTTTAGGTGAGACGGATAATTTCTAATTTCTGTATTATCTGCGAATTTCTCGGTGTCATCCGTTATGTAGATGTCGAGGAGAATGGGACTTCCTCTCAAGCGTCGTCGCTTGAAATATCGCATGGTAGTGTGAAAAACGCGTAAAATTTTTACTTGGAATTTTTCGCTTTTTTGTTTTACGATTTAGACAACCTTGAAGATCACCAAGGGGCGTAAATGGGAGCGATAAACCGCCCAGTGGCGCTAAAATCCATTCTTCCAAACCCCAACTCTCCGATATGAATCAGCTTTGCGTTTCCCCAAACCAACTCGTAGCAATTTATTATTTATTAATAATTTACCTACACACTACAACCTTAATCTCTATTAATTCGAAATAAATAATAAGCAAGTATTATTTTTGGAATTTGAAAGGCAAATATCCTAGACGGCCGACGCTGTTTGATAAAACTAGGAAATAAATGAGAGCAATAAACTTTGGTGCACCTAAAAGTTTTTTTTATACTATTGTTAAAGTCATTTGACGCATAAAGAAAATTTATGAGCGTCGTCACATTATAACAAACGTATAAACCCGGAGTTCTCAACATTTAATTGTTTATGGATTTCGTTTTTTATATACACACACAATTCGCTCGATACCTCTCAACATATGACTCATTTGATTCGGCTTACGAGCATAAAAAATATTAATTTATTTTAATTATACGCTGGATAAGAAAGGCGAATCTGTCGCTTGCCATTTTCCCGTCGCTCTGTAAACATTTTTACCCCCATTTTTTAAAAATAATTCGTAACGTCATACTTGTGTCTACAATTTTGTAACACAGGTACAAAGTAATTACATGCATCCCGAGTACACATATTCATTCCGTGTAAATAAAATCCGACGATAAGAAAAACAAACTAATATTTGATACTATGCGTACCATGCGAAGCATTCCGTTTAATAACATTCCTCTTCGTTATACAAGTATCGAAAATTCGTGAAATAAAAATTCCCCTAACGTGTATTTATAGCACCTGTTTGGAAATGTTTGTCGCGCATCCTTCGAGATCTACATCTCTGTTATCCGTCAGCACACATACCTTTTAAACGTGCTAATTGACCGGACAAACACTCAAAACGGACCGGTAATTTTTTTTAATTATATTCGTAAAGCTCCGAAAGCAACTCCCGTAGTGCCGGGAAGTTTCTTTCGATCGTAACCCGAACCATTCCGCATCCAAAATATGCGATTTGGTTCTTGACCAACCTTTATTAAACAATTTTTCCATCAGACATTAGAAGAGTGTTTATCCAGTATTAATTGTATTTGTGACTTGAATTTAGAAGAGGCACAAAGCACATTTATGGGACAATCTATATATCTAGTTTGTTATATGCTCTATATATTGTTTCATTCAATCATTTTGTTATTGAACGATTTTTCCATCAGACATTAGAAGAGTGTTTATCCAGAATTACTTGTATTTGTGACTTGAAATTAGGAGAGGCACAAAGCACATTTATGGGACAATCTATATATCTAGTTTGTTATATGCTCTATATATATTTTCATTCAATCATTTTGTTATTAAACGATTTTTATATTGTTGAGTACCCCAATTATAGTGTGGGAATATTAAGAGATTACATTAAGTGATTCATCACAATTAAATCAAAATTTGGTAAATATAGCATCAATATTTTTTTATATTATGAAATATTTGTGCAATCGATTGAAGTACCCTTTATTGGTTATTAATTATTATTACTAGATATATAATTGTGCTGATAATAAGTGTTTATTACCAATCATTTTTTTTAAATTAGTTTATTAATAAAGAAAAAATTGAAAAGTACTTCAATGCGTGATATTATTTAAAATTATTTAATCAGCGACAAATAGTGATCATAACGTCTATATGTGATTTAAATTAAATTAATTAGGTATGCGTTAAAAACATAATAAACTCGTAATATTTGCAATAATAATCATTGTTAAATTAACAATGTCAAGAAAATTTTTAACTTTCTGATTAAACTGTATAAGCAAATACACATAATTTTTTCGTATATATGTCGAGGGTTTTGTTGTACAAATAGTTTATAAATTATGAAACGGGACAACATTATTTAGTATTTAAACACAGGGCGCGGGTACGCAATAATAAATCCGGCATTCCAACTAAAAATTTTCGAGGGTTTCCTACATAACAAGCAGTCGAAATAGCGCGGATTCCAGCGACATCGCAGTCGCATAAATCGCATGTATAAAATTAGCGAAGACTAAATGGCGAAAGCCGAGTACACCAGACAGTTGAGGGAAATAACCACGACAATGTAATAGCGCGAATGGAGCCCCAGGGAAACATAACCACCGAGTGTCGGGGGGCCGAGATTCAACCCCGGCAATTATCGGGCGATACAAGCGGAGCCGCGCATTTCACTGGGGCCCTAATGTTACCCGAACATCCATGCCCGAAACTGCGACATTTGTTCGGGCACTTTATTATCTATACGCGCGTTATTTAACCGTCATCGCCCGCGAATTATCGCCCACCCAATTAAACGCGGACGGGCGTTTCGAATTTCGAAGTTCACGTCTCAATCAGGTACGCGTTTCGAAGGCCGGGGAAGGTCGGAAATTTCGAAAATTTTCTGGGGATTATCTACTTAAACGTCCGCTGTGAAGTTCGCCGACGTTTAATGGCCCCCCCAATAAAATCCATCGGGGGACAGTGGACAGAAACGGCCGCTCTCTCCGAGTCTAATAAATTTCGGACGCCGATATTCTCATTGAAAACGCCTTCCGAGACTCGATAGGTAATAAACAAACAAACGGGTCGGGTGTGTACGCTTATTTTACATGAATTTTTCGTTATTGAACCATCCCGAACGTTCACCCAGCAAACCCACTTCACTCGTTTTGGTGCGAAAAAGAATTTTCGAACGATGAAAAAAAATATTAATCTAGTTTTTGTATACACATACGAAGCGTTTATTTACATACAGGGTGTTTCGTTTGCGTTTGCGATGCGTCTCTATAACTTACAGCCGCGGGTAATTTATGTACTGAAGACAATAAAATAATTAAAATAATGCAATAAAAGTAGTTCATAAAATTAATAAGTTTATAATAGCCATATATAACGCGGGGAGCGCTAAAGAGGTAACCCACTGATTGTAGAGCATTATTACATTTTTACTATTGATCTTTATTTCTCTAAGTTTACAACGATAACACAAACAATGCCAAATAAAATAAATACGTCGGATATTTTTAGCCAATTTAGAGCAAATATTGTTGTAAATTGTGTAATAATTTTATGCAATTCATCAACCCGAATCCCCCATCGACAAAACCCCATCAATCCTCGACCCGTCGACCGGCCCCATTCGAAAATTAATACGCACACAAATCCCGGCTCATTGTTGTGACAACATCGGGTCGTGTTTGCCTACTCACGGCCCGTTTGGCCAAAAAAAAAAAGATGTCACGGGCCCGCGTCGACAGGCGCGTCCAAATAGTAGCGAATCGATGTCGAAGATCAAAAGCAACCAGGAACCACCCGCCGAGAAGGCCGCCATTCATCCTTTCTCCGGCTCCGAAGATAAACAGCTCGAGCAACAAACACATGTCGTACGGCTAATTGCTCGAATTTGTCACGGAAGGCCACTTCATGTGTCAGAATCGCGATTATTCCGCTTAGAATCCGAGAAAACTGCTGCAGGATTGCATATGGACGATTGTGGTAGTGCAAAGATTAGGGTAGAGTAAATAGATGTGGAAACGATTCGATGAAACGATTCCAGTGTATTATCTGGCGAATGACTAACGATAAGAGCCGATATTTGGGCGATTAGAGGCGGATTAGTTGGGCGGTGAGATGACAGAGGGCGGCTCGTTTATTATTGATAACAGACGGTTTCACGCACCTGATGATTAAAGTACAAAAAAATCCGTACTTATACTGGGTGCTCTCACAAAGTATTATGTATATTCGTATAAACACTCTAACTTATCTCTATACTATTTTGTATTTATTTATATTTATATTAGGTCACAAAATCATATTTTCATTATAGTCCCATTACCCTGAAACGCCCTGTATATATTCCCATGCACAATGCTCTTTTATACACACATTATATTTTTTTACTTTCGTCGGAATCGTCGTGTTTGCTCGAGGATTATATATCTTCACATCCGACAGCGAGAAATACACTTTTGAGGAATAAAAGGCCGTTTTTATCTCGCCCGAGGTTTGTCTTGAATGCAAAGGAGGACTTTGCTAACGTCGAGAAACAACGATAATGCTCGGTTATGTAAATTTCGGTGGAAAAAGGAAAGACGTTACGGTTTTTATCTACATCTACGGGTTAATTAGAACGTGTACGAACGGTTAGATAAGCGCGATTTGGGCTGATTTCTCGCGCTAATTTCCGAATTTCCGGCGTTAAAAAGTTTTAGAGCCCGAATTTCGTGAAATAACCAAATTAATTCCCATTACTAAGGACATCAAAAATTGGTACAGCTCGCTCGAACTGATAAAAAGCCACAACAAATATTTACAGTTCGTCAGCCATTTGTAAATAACGTACACCTAGTGTATAAAAATATCCGCCAATGTTTAGTTATTAATTATTCACGCGTTTTGTGCTCAAACTTACACAAGGTGGCCCAGAACTCACGCCCCACCGGGAAATGGCATATGGAAATGATAATGGAGATGCCAAAACTGCAGCCAAAAACATGAAAATGTTATTCCTCTGCTAAATAAAGAAGTTTAAAATCGACCAATCCCAGAAGCAGTTTAAATTCTTGAAAATGACGTAGAATATTTCAATAATGTTAAATTGGTGTATAGCTCATTCACATGATTTTCGTGGATTTGAATTCCTACTGGGATTGGTCGATTTTAAACCTCTTTATTTACCAAAGGAATAACTTTTTCAAGTTTTCGACTGCAGTTTTGGCATCTCCATTGTCGTTTCCATAAGGGATTTCCCGGTGGGGCGTGAGTTCTGGGCCACCCTGTATACAGAGTGTAACAAAGGCTCAGAAAATAATTTTCCGCTCGTCGCCATTCCGCAAGTATTGAGGTTCGAATTTTTGTTGCAGGCAAAACGCGCACGAAAGACAAGTACCGCGTGGTGTACACGGACCACCAGCGCATCGAGCTGGAGAAGGAGTTCACGTTCAACAACAAGTACATCACCATCCGCAGGAAGTCGGAGCTGGCCTCGAACCTGGGCCTGTCCGAGCGCCAGATCAAGATCTGGTTCCAGAACCGCCGGGCCAAGGAGCGCAAGCAGAACAAGAAGCGCGCCGAGGAGAAGGGCCAGATCGAGATGCCGCCCAACGGGCAGTACCACCAGCAGACCATCATCAACCAGCATCCCCAGATACACAACATGGACATGCACAATCAGCAGACGGTGCTGCCCAACATCGTGCCCTCCACGGTCGTCATGCAGCGCTTCATGGAGACGAATCACCCGATGAAATTAGAGAGTAGTGAGAACGATCAATTAGGTTAGAAAGTGATGAGAGGTGTTTTTTTTTTTTGTATATATGTACGTATAGATTATAAAATGGACTAAATTTGTACAGAACTGTTGTATTTTCAAAGTGTTTACTATCCGGTTCGGTCGATTTTTTGATTCTCGTTCTCGTACCTACAGGGATTTTTTTTCCAACAATTCTTATACCTGTTGTTACATTTTTTTATTTAAATGTGTTAGGCATGAACAATTCAATTATGAGACTCGATAACAAGAAATCGCCAATTTTTTTCCCTAATTTTAATAAATTATTTAAAATCAAAAATTATTTTAGAACAATACTATTATTATAAGTTGTAACGCGTTTTGTGATGATAATAAGAGCACGTGTTTTGTGTATAAATTTTTAGCCTGTGCTCGTTTTCCCATTTCTTATATACAATTATACAGGGTGTTTCGTTTTAATTCGAATCACTCTGTATAGTTATGTCATAAATTATGAGTGGAGATTTTTTTGAACCGCCGAAAAATGTTTCTCATTTCGATCGCAAGAGTGTCGTGATTTTACGAAAACGATTTGAAATATATTTTATACAAATATAGCGCGGGAAATTCCGGTTTTGATGGGAACACTCGCCTTAAAAGAAAACCTATTTGAATTTAAACGATCGAAATCGGAGTTTCCCCGTACCGTCCCGATGTTTATGTGCAATATACGAAATTGCACGATTTCAGTGCAATTTTTTAGACTCTAAAAGAGAATTATTAGATGAGTTTACTAATTTAAGCTTTTGATGAGTTCGTAAGTAAATCGTGTAAAAATATTCTTAATAATAAATTTTTGTTTTTAAAACTCGTACAGTTATTATTTCATGTCCAATACACTGGATTACCATAAAAAATGGCGGACTGAATGATCCTCGAAACATATACACAACAATCAATTTGTGCCTCGAAATCAACCGAATCAATCAGCCAGTAATGCACCTCTGCGGGGTTATAGAAGCTTTATTTAGGCAACAGAAATCGAAGACAAAATGCTGAGACCTTTATCTGGAAAAACCGGCGTTAAAAACCGGAAAACAACAAGAAGACAAAAGGGGAAAATAACCGCTACATAACGACGAAATAAGCTGTTAAGTTGTTCTAAACGTAAAAGAAACGCCGGTCGGGGGGCGGTTTCGGGGGAGCGGGACGTCCCGCGGGCGTCGTTCCCGACCGCTTCGTATTCCGGGATAAACTCCTCGAAATCCCGGAGTTATTCGTATCCATCTTCGCAACTTAACGTCTTATACTATACGTATAATACTCGAGGTTTTTTTTTGCTGTACTGGGGAGATTTTTTTACACTGTATAAGAAATTGAGTTTGTGCTGAGTTACCAAAAAAAAAGTAATAATTCGTTAATTAAATAAACACGTTTTATATTCTTATTATCGGCGAGTTGAAATTGTTTCTCCAAGCGGGATAATCCGTTTTTATGCAAAATATTTACAGATTTACCGAGTTTCTAAAAGATAAGCCGGATTTTTACAGTCTTCTAATTGTAGATACAGAAACGAATATTTTCGAAACAATTCCCTTATTTGTACATATAAAGAACAAATTAAAAACCCGAACAAACAACAATATTTTTACAAAAAAATCGAATCAATTGCAGCCAGTACTTAAATTGTTGCACAATACACCTTAATCGATTTATCTAATTATTTGCAATCGATTTATATATTTTTGCACTCGTATGTGTAGAAATTGGCGATAAAATTAGTCTCTAATGCCGAAAGAAAGGCGATAAAGAGATCAAGTTAATCCGTCTGCGGCTTTACAATTCTTTTGTCGGCTGGTTTGTGCAACGAGAATTGATAAGTTGATGAAATTACAGGCGAAAAGGCGACGTTTTAACGCGTATTTCATATACGAAGGAGTAATTAATGCAGCGTTAAAATCTCTTAGCGAGTCGTGAAATTAACGGAAGGTCGAGTTCTATCGAAGATTCCGCTGGTTAATCGATGATTTTATTGTTTACTTTACGCAATATATACGCATCAATGTGTGTGTAATGCGACATTAAATTTTCTCGACGAGAAAATATCAGGAAAATCACCGAATAATTCTCACGAAATCCCAACTAAAAAACGCGGCAATTTTATACTTTATACGGCGCGCTTTTTTCTCTCCTGTCGACTAATTAAATCGGAAAAATTTACGATACACTCGTTAATTTCGACTCTCCTATGCGCTCCAACATTAAAACTCGAAATGGAGATAAATGAAACGGAATAAAAAAATATAAAATACCATTTTACAGCGGCTGACGAATAAAAACGGTCCTTAAACGGTCACATAATTCGAAGAACGGCAAGGAAATTGGAGGTTACCGCGCGGCCAGTCGAACTTTTTGGGGTTATAAAACTTACCTTGAAGGGTTGATGCCAATAAAACGGTACGACAACGGCCCCGGTACCGCCGCAAACGCAGGCCCGGAGTAACTCTTGCATCTAATCAATCTCGGGAATTCACAGGAAAATCTTGCACTCTTATCGACTATTTTTAATTCATTTTTTAGTAAGTACCTATCTTAGTTAGTACTCATTCAGTACACACTTATGTAAAGTACTAATAACATTGGTTGGAGCAACAATCAACCTCAAAGTTTCTACTTAATTTACAGGAAGATTGCTGTAATGTTAACTCTCAATATCTCAATATCTCAATGACCCAATATTTTTATTAATTTTTAAGTTAGTACCTATCTTAGTTGGTACTCATTTAATGCACTTGTATCTAAAGCAGGTACTTTATTTAATTAGTAGGAGCAATAATCAAACTCAAAGTGCACAATTTATACAATCTTGCTGTAATATCAACTCTCATTATCTCAATAATCCTATATTTTTATTAATTCCTTAGTTAGTACTCATTCAATACACTTGTATGTAAAGTACTATATTAAATTAATTGGAACAACAATCAACCTCAAAACAATTTATAGGAATCTTGCTGTAATATCAACTCTAAATATCTTGAATAACCCAATATCTTTATTAATTTTTCAGTTAGTATTCGTCCAATACAACCGTCTGCAAAATATCTGTTAATACCCACCTAAATTAATCCATTTAACTAGTGAAACAAATCTACCTTTATCAATTAGCATCTTAGGTACTCTACCAGTACTTCCATAAATTACCTGTTACTAAATCATTAGTATCAGTCGTTTCGAATGGTCGATTAAATGGGAAATAAGGCGGGGATTTTCATCAAAGGATACGGTTCCTTTCGCCGATCCTGCGTCAATTAGACGATGGAAAAGGACGGTTGGAAATAAAGTCGTTGGTGTCGTAAAACGTTTTATGTCTCGGTACCATCGAGAAGAAGGTATAAACTGGAAGCTGAAACGCTCATTGTAGGAGCTGAATAAACACCGTCTGAGTGTTTGTTTATTTGCTGGAATTTCATTTCCTATTTTTTTTTGTGGCGACTGTTACGAGGGTGGTTCGATGACAACCGATTTCCAGGAGGTAATTATTACATTGTGGAAAGTAGGCTGGGAGATTTTTTTGAGTAATAAACACTAATAGCAGTGAAATAATTTTGAATATCTATTGGAAAAAATTATGCTTTTTCACGAAAATACGTAAATTTTACGACGCTTAATTCTATTTGGATTAAGTAACTCATAGTTTATTTTATTGCCCCCCAATTAACCTTATTAGATCTGATGTAAATCAAACAATCACCAAAAAACAGTTGTCGAAAATGTACCTAAATGTAGAAGGAATTCTTCTTGGGCAAAAAATTAATTACTTAAACTAAGTTTCATGTAATTATGAAGCTTAAATTAATAAGTTGTGTTACAAAATACCCGAAAAAAAGTCCGGTGGATATTTAAATATGTTACTTAATAGTATTTTAAACAAAAAAATTTCGGTTTGCTCCGGTTTTCTCTACGTTCCCCAACGAAACGCCATTGTAATGTAGCGTTATCAATTTTAATGCCTGTTTGACTTTTAATTTCATCTTTAATGACAATATGTAATTTATGATAATGAATATTTGTTTTCTAATATTAGCTTAAATAATACACAGATTAATAAGCTTTGTTTATTTAAGGTATATTGGCCTTCAAATGAATCGCATGATCTTTGGGTGTTATGTAAAACGGTTTTTTCATACTCAAAATAATAATAACAATAATAATATTAATAAGGCAACGGTGTAATGAGAAGTGTGAACTGAACTTAACAATTCGAATTATAATTTTTATGAAATTCCTTAAAAAATGCTGATAATAGACTAGCAAAATGTGTTGCATATCTAACAGGCGTAAAAATACTATAGGAAGCTGTAAGATATTGCAGAAAACTGTAATAGGAAAAACTGTTAGTTATAAATTGTGTTCATAGTCGGCGATTGAGGCAAGTATTTTATGACACTTCAATCTGAACCGAATAACCCGAAAATTTTAGGCCAGCGTTGCAGAAGGATTAAAATGTGTATAAATTGTAAGTATTCATTGTTGCCTATAAGTCTATTTTCGAATAAGTAGAACCTTCGTGTAAATTTCGCTAAAAAGATAAGGTTTTGTTTAAATAACTACTTATGCATATATTTATAGATAAACAGGTGACATGGTTTTTAATGGTGCTAAAAAATCGAATCAACACATGGACGAGTGCACAAAATGTTGAGTATTTAAGTATGCTTTCAATACTTTTATTCATTCATTTATAAAAATTATCATATAAAACTTTGTGGATTTTAAATTTATCTACCAATCAAACAAATCCAAGACTTAGGTATAAAGCTATGAAGTCTGTATATAATTTAATGAGCAGTATATATTATTAAAATATTATAAATAATTATTAATAACGTCGATAAAATATCAAACAAGAGAGACAAACTGACCTCAATTACTAATAACGTACGTAAGATTAGTAATATATTACTAATTACGTATGACAATTGTTTAAATGCCCTAAACACAAAATACAACTACATATAAAGCTATAAATAAAAACGTGGAATCACACTATAAGCGCAATTTTGTCAGAAGAAGAACATAATGGATGGAACGAAGATACAAAAATTAACACTAATTAAACTAGTAAAGAAACCCAGTAAGTGTGTTAAATACAAAAAAATCTTTGGTCTTGGAGCAATCGAAAATCACCTAAGCGAATTAACCGGTCCGTTTCTCGTCCTTCTTCCCATCGACGTTCTCCCGCAACGTCTCCAAGAACGACCTGGGATCGTAACTGGGCTCTTCGCCGCCCAGCTCGGCGGGCAGCACGTCCTTGTGCACGTGCTCGTGCAACGTGCTCAAGTTGTTCCCGTGCACGAATATCCTCTCCTTCACCTTCTCGTGCAAAAACGGCTTGATGCACGCCAGCGCCGCCTCCACGTACCACGGCTGGTTCACGAAGTGTATGCCCTTAAACCTGGCCGGTATACAGTACTGCAGACCTTCGATCATTAGTTTTAGCACGCCCGGTTTGAGATAAGTGCTCTGCCTGAAGGTGAATTCAGTCCAATCGACGATCACCACGAACCCGTTGGACTGGTTGTGCACGTGGTCGGTGAGGTGCTCGAGCACGAACAGGAACGCCCTGTAGATGCTGTCGATGGTGTAGCTGCAGTCCCAGTTGGAGCCGGTGAAGACGAACACGCACCGGCCCTTTCTGTCCTTCTGCCGCAGCACGCCCGGCAGGCTGTTCTCCAGGCTCTTCCTGATATCGGGCGCGCGGAGGTCCATCTCGTCGAAGAGTTCCGGATGGCGCTTCTTGTACGATATATAGTTCTTCGTCAGCTGGAAGCTGTCGTCGACGTCGAATTTGCGCGCGTAGAGGAACTTCTGGAGTTTCGCGTCGTCCAGCGAGCGCAGCTCGTGCTTGAGCTCGTCGTCGTCGCATTGGTGGATGAGGTTGCGCAGCTGGGCCGTCGTGACGCGCAGCTGCTCCTTGTGGTCCTTGTATTTCGGCAGGATGACGCCCGATATGTTCACCGGCGGCGTTTTCCAGCTGAATTCTATGTATTCCGACATCTTACAACTGGAAGACAAAAACGAATTAGATGTAGTTTGAAATAAGGTGGCTAAAGTAGGGTTTATTTGGTGAGTAATTTGAGGAGAATCGTTGAGTAAATTGTGTATGAAATTAATGAATAATTTCTCTTAGAATTTGTGTTGTGAATAACTAACTTACCTATCTTTGGGAAAATACATTTTTGGGTCGAATACACGAATTACAAGTGGTTGTAATATTCATTAGAAACACGCCTGTGGAACAACTGAGCAGACATGCAGGTATATATGACATTAATTATCTGTTTGTTTTAGTGTATTATAAGTTTTAAAAATAAATTATATTGTGTTTGTAAACATGATTTACAGACCAAGTGACAAATAACGTACATCCATAAATATTGTTCACAAATATACACCTATGTAGAGTTAATTCCCCTCGTATTAAAAAAAAATACAGGATGTTAAAACGACTATCTGTTTAGCATTGCAATTGCGTCGACATATTTAGGTAACACACACGACTGAGTCGAATTAAAAAATCATCGAAGGTCAAACCAATTAAATCGATAGAAAACTGACAATTTACCTGATTGAATGGTACTCTCAATCGCATGACAAGTACATATTTTTCCTTATACTCGCTGAAAACCGTCCGCCGTTCCGTCAGCCCACCATATTTTCGATTTTCACGAAGCACCTCGTCGTCCCAGCTCAGCGACCATCTGTCGGTACCATTCGACTGGTTCGCTGGGTACTAGTGTGGGTACTCGACAGGTAAGAACGACCTTCCGTTCGAGTGACTCACGGCGGCTACACTGACAAAAATAATCGCTGAAAAATGCAGCGGATTTTCGCTGTGGCACACACGCGTTCCAATCGATAAAATTCTTTATCTAAAATTCAACGATTTTTCGTAATTATTTTCGGTAGATAAGCTATGGAGTACCTGCTTGTTTGTGTAAACTAAAACGTAAAGTAGGTTTGTGATAGATTTGTTTCAGCAGGATGTTCCAAATACATTTACTAGGAAATTTTTTTGCTGTAACGATGAATAAAAATCGTTTAATTTATTTATAAGCAATTTATTCTTACACGTTACATTCAAAAACTTATAAATTACATTCCAATAACCCCTGTGCCTCTAGGAAGCACACGTCTGATAAGTATACAATTAACATTAAGAAACCTACAGATTTCGTAATCTTTATAATATTCCATCGAACAAGCGCGATTGCAAACATATATAAATCGCTTACGATTTTTTTTAAACAAATTATGTTTTTTTTTTATTGATGATGAAATGTGTACGTTTCGTTTTCGGCGTTTCACTAATAAATTAAACTGTTTCAAAGAGAGTAGTAGAGTAGTAAACGTTATTAGGTATATGTATAATTATTTAATTATGTGCACGAAGAAACAAAAAAAAATAAATAAAAGAAATGAAAATTTATCGGATAAATGACGATGCAGTTCCCCGACCGCCCGGAAAACCGGCTCCAATCGACGCCGCCACATAATCTATTTCCACCAACATTTCCCTAAAATTCAAGCAAAACGTAACGATGTGGCAACGCCGATTTCGGCCCATTCCCCTCGGCCCACTATGGTTGTTAATTTCGCTTAATTCTTTTAATTTATCTCGGTCGTTCGGGATTCCTGCACCAAGTAGACTTGGGACCCAGGTACTGTGCTAGTGGTGACGAAAGTGCGATGCTTGGCTCGGATGAGGTTCAAATTGCTTTCGGCAGTATCGGCACGATCTTCGGCGGCTTCTAACTCTCGCTGGAAACGGCGCACGCGCGATATACTCTGGCTAGATACACCCTCCTGTTGGAAGAACAAAACGGTACTCGTTAGATACTCTACTGGTTTCAAGCTACAGGATATAGGTAGTTAGATAGCATCAACAGAAACGATGGTCGTTAAGTTCGTTGAAGGTTAAACGAAACCAAAAGATTCAATGGTTAAAAGAAACTTACAACTTCTTGGAGCTGCCTCTTGAACAAGGTGATCTTAACGTTAGCCTTATCTAAGGATTCCTGTAAGAGAGCAATGTTCTTCTGGTCCTCCTCGCACTGGATCATCACCTCCTTGACGGTGCGCTCCTTCTTGCGCAGGATCTTGATGGTCTCGGCGTGGCGTCTCTTCTCCTCGTCGAGCTCGGCCTCGATGTCGCGGATGCGCGCCTCCAGCTTGCCGATGATGCGCTTGCCGCCGACGATGGCGTTGGCCTCGACCTCTTCCAGACGGACGGACAGGTTCTTCACTTCGATCTCCAAGCTCTTCTTGATCGCCTCGATTTTGACGACGCGCTCCTGCTCCTCGTGGAGGATTTCGACGGTGTGCTTCAGCTCGGCCTGAAACCAGCGAACGTGTTAGTTGTGTTTCGATTGTAACTGGGAAGCGGTGCTTACTTGTACGCGCTGGTAGCGTTCGTCGGATATGCGGAGCTCTTTGGTGATTTCATCGTAATCGGCAACGACGGTGGTTAGTTCTTGCTCGATTTTAGATTTGGAGGAGGCCAGGTTGACGTTGATGACGGTGAGTTCGTTGACGCGAGTGTGAGCTTCTTCGGCGACTTGCTCCGCTTGTCTCTTGCCACGCAGAGCCTACCAACCCACGAGATTGCATAATTATAAAAGCACAAGTTGTCGTGGTAAATACACTTACGCCTTCGTAGTTGCTCCTGATTTCCTCGGCTTCGGCGGTGAGGGCCTGCACTCGTCTCTGGGAGACGCTGAGCTGGTCGAGGGTGACCTGCAGCTGGCGCTGCACCTCGTCGTAGTGGGCCTGGATTTCGGTCAGCTGGAAGGATTGCTTCTTGATGGTCTTCTGGAGGTCGATGTTCAGCTTGTTGGCCGAGTCCAAGGACATTTCCAATTCGGTGATTTGGATTTGGAGCTTCTTCTTGATGCGCGTCACCTCGGTCTTGAGCCTGGTCTCGGCTTCCACGACGCGAGCGTTGAGCTGTTCGATTTCGATGCTCGTAGCTTTGCTGTTGGTTTCGAACAATTAGTTATGTAAAAAAGTTTCGATATTACATCGTTATAATAATGAAACTGAGCTAGGTAATAAGAGAAGATGGTTGAAGGAAAAGATTGCAAGAACATAAATGTCGAGGAAACTTTTGATGGAGTTTCTTGGTATACTTGATTTGCATCCTGGTATAATCTCAAAAAGAAATATATCGAGCGTTCGTCGGTGCATTCGATTCGAAATAAATCTTTTGCAGTGCTATTTTGGGAACTTTTTAAAATAAATCCGAACAGATGATGAAGGTTCGCATTGAAGTAGGTACGCAAATAAATTTGGCATAGGCATTGTGCACGGGTATGAACTTAAACGCCATTCTATATATAGAAATTCTGCTTACTTGCGTAACGTTTGAGACCCTTATCTTAACACAAACAAACGTTTACCACTCGATTTCATCACCTTTTATCTTGGTAAAAGTGCGAGGACCTTCTGTCGAAGTCTCTGAGCTCGGTGCTGAGATGGTCGAGGGGTTCCTTGAAGCTCTCCTCCAGTTGCGATTGGATGCGTTCGTTCATCATTTCCGCGTGGGATCTGATGGTGACTTTTTTACGTACTTGACGGCTGATCGAGCTGCTCGAGACGTTACTTTGCATCTTCCTGCTGAAGTCCTCCTCGACTCCTTCGGCTATGGTTTTGTTGCTGGCGCTCAACAGTTGGTGTTTGATCTGATTGGCGGATCGGCCGCGGAGGAATTTCTGAGAAGCGCGCAGTTCCCGTTCGATTTCCCTGTCCTTGTCGGGATTGAACACTTCCAGATCGTCGTACATCCTTCCTTTGATTCTGCCGATGTCTCTGAGCAAGGTGTTCTTCTTTCTGGCGTCTCGCTTGAGGACTTTCTCGGTTATGTTCGAAGCGGATACTGACTTCTGCAGCACGAAACTCGAACTGGCACTCGATTTGAAATCTCTTAGTCTCGCCTTGGCACTGGCCTCCGTTTTGCGGGCCACTCTCGAGAGGTCCTCTTGCGAGTAGGCTTTGATTTTAAGAGGATCGAACTGGTCCAGGCCGAGCTCGTCCGTCCAGGGCAGGTGGGGGAAATTCGCCTTTCTACCGGCGCTTTTCTCCTCCACAAAATCCACCATCGGCTGGTAGAAGTTCATGCCTACGCCGTAATTGTATTCGTACGCCGCCGTTTGCGGTTGCCATTTTTTCGCATTAGTCCGACCCATTTTCTATATTCGATTCGCGTTTTATTGTTCGTTAACTGGCATTTTAATTAGCCCGTTCCGGCTTTTATACGAGGGGGAATTTTTCGCGTAGCACGCCAACCAATCGACTCCACCGAACGGTTCAAGGATGGAAATTTTCATCGACGTTTGCCAATGAAAACAAACGCTATCAGGAATTTCTTTTTGTAGTAATTGGATAATGAAATATTTTTAGATGCAGCCAGTTAGAACAACAAGAGTTGTTTTGGGTACAGGTTCCTATGCTTAATGGTTACTTCTTTTTATAAGATGTAAATAGTATAATAAGAAAAATTTTAACTTACCGAATAGCTTCGATTTCTTCGTCTTTTTCATGAAGGCGCTTCTCGGCTTCGTGGCGGAATTGAGCCAGTTCAGCGGAAAGGCGTTGAGCGCGTTGCTCTTCGGCTTTTCTACCCTAAATCAACAGATTAATATACACAAAACTAGTATCGAGTTTCGGTAAACTTACGGCTTCTGCCTCCTTGTAGGCGGCGGTGAGTTCATCGCGTTCGTTCTCCAACCGCCTGACCTCCAAGTCGAGCTCGTGCAGCCTCCTGGTGAGCTCGCTGATGGTGTTCTTGGCGTCGGAGAGATCGTCCGCCAGTTTCTTGTTCTCCCTGGCCAATTGGTCCTTGTGCTCGCGGGTCTTGTCCAATTCGTGCACGACGCGCTGCAGCTCGGTGACCTTGTTGCGCAGGTCGCGCTGGCTCTGCTCGTACAACTGAATGGTCTCGTCCAAGCGCGTCTTCAGATCGATGTTGATCTTCTCCAATTGCTCGACGCGCTTCTGCAACTCCCTGGCGGTGTTGTTGGCCTTCTCCAAGTCGATGATGAGCACCTCGACTTCGCTCTGCAACCGGGATTTCTGCTTCTCCAGATTGTTGCATTTCACCAGGAGCGATTCGATGTGCTCCTCCTGTTCCTGGATTCGGGCGCTGAACTTGCGGCGGAGCTCTTCCACTTCTTCGGCGCGAGCGGCGGCTTCGGTTTCGAATTTCGACCGCCAGATTTGCACCTCGCCTTGGGACTTGACCAGCTGGCGCTCGAGGTCCAGACGGGCTTCGCTTTCTTCTTCGAGTTGGATGCGGATGGATTCCAATTCCACTTCCACCTGCGAAATTCAACCGAGCGTTAATACATTTAAATTTGTATTAGGAGTGATTCGAAGGCTTACTTGGTGGAGATTGGCCTCCAAGATCGAGCGTCTTCTTTCGTCATCTTCGGCGCGTCGACGGGCGTCCTCTAGCTGGCCGGCGAGTTGGGATTTGAGGTAGATGGCGTTTTCGATGTTGACCTTGAGGTCCTGCACCTCCTTGGTGAGTTCGAGGTTCTCCTGGGAGAGGCGGGTCTTGTGCGACGTGATGTCGACGATGGTGCGATTGAGCTCTTCGATTCTGATGTTGAGCTCGTTGACGGTGACTTCTAGTCTCTCTACGTGCTTGACGGCGATCAAACGCTCCTTGGTGACGCTTTCCACTTGGGCGAGCAGCTCGTAGATTTCGCTTTGGAATTTGCCCTTCTCCTTTTCGGCCCTGCGGGAATTCGCGGTGGATATTACATGAGATTTTTCGAACGCCCACCGGTTATTCTCGAGATTAAAAATAAATGTTCGTCGAATAGCACAGGTTCCTGGATAATCTCGTAAACATTCGACTCGGTATTTTTAGATACTGAAAATATGCATGGATATTTGTGCGCTCCAAATTCCTTGGGTAGGTATATACGTAGATTTTCGAAAATATTTATTTTTAGTACGTTTCGGTGGACCGTTAAGCGATTGAAATTCGCCGCTTAAAAACTTTAAAAGATTTTTACGCAAATACTATTAAAAATGAATTGTTCTATTCTTATAAGAATACTCACTTTCATCTAATAATGAGGCAAATATTGCTAGCTCAAGCTGCATAAATTCAGACACTATAAATTGATATTTTTGTGGAAAATTTGCCCGATTTAAAGTGGATACAAAGCCACAATTAATTCAAACTAAAATTGTGCAAGTAAATTAAAACGATTTTGTGCTGAATTATTGCAGGATCAATAACAATGTGCACTTGAAATTTTTTATATTAATCTAGAAATTATATAGATTTTTCTAATTTTTTTCGTGAAGCTGGATTTTTAAAATTTTTTATCTTTGCCGATCGTATCGAGAACGATTTATTCTCCGGGACAAATATGGCGAGGAGTTGGGAAAGAGTTATTTATATCAAGGCGAAGCTTGTCGGCGGAGAACGATCTCTCGACTATTACCTAATCCCAATATTTTTTACCAAGTACTTTGCGATGGTCCGAACAATACTTCGCCGATTTTATTTTTTCGTTAAAATTTTTAACGATTTCGGCTATGCAATAAAGGGTAAAAATTGTGCGAAAATCGATAGAATCTCACCTTGTTTTAGCCTTGGCCAAAGAGTCGATTTGCTCCTGGAAATCGACCACGATTTCCTGGTGCTTCCTTTTCAAAATTGCCGCTGTTTCTTCGGATTCCAAATGGACATCTTCCAACAGTTTACGCAACTTCAATAACTCGGTGTCGCGTTTTTTGTTTACTTCGAACTGAAAGTGCAAAGTAATTTCATATCAAATTTCACTTTTTACTACATTTCAACGCTAGAAAAGACCAAAGAAACAGAATATGATGACAGAAAACGATTGATTATAAGACATAAATTGGAAAAACAAAACCTTAGGTACAAAAACCCATCAATACAGAATTAAAATTAATCCAAACATCGAAGAAAATGAACACGTGTTCACCTAATTTCAGATAACTCAAGTACAACACTGTACAAGTCTTCCTGACCTTGTTCAATTTTTTTCATTCTGGACGCGCCGGGAACTGTTTGAACGAAAGACGAAGACATAAACAGAGTTAAAAATACGCGTAAAAACAACGAGAAAATTCGTGAAATGAATTTAAACTTAAGAAAATTCGTAGAAACAGCGTAAATTAAGAGTAGTAAAAGACTCACCTGGGATTCAGCTCCACCTTCAGCTTCTTCTAAACGTTCGGACAATTGGATCACTTGGACGCTGAGATCAGCTTTTTCTCGTTCGATCTGCAAGGCAACATTATTAAGTTCACTTACTAATTAATATACGAACCCGCAGAGAAGTTCCGAATAACTAACAGTAACGTTACAATACCAACATTTTAGTTCCATTAATGATTAATTTAATAGTTTATAAATGTCTTCTACAGTTGTATAGTTATAGTGGTGTTCATTTTTTGGTATTTTAACGAGTATTATAATGCTATTTGTAGTGTATAGGTAAATAGGTTACATTACTGGTAAGTTATTCTGACTTTAACAGTTTTAATTTCAACGTAGATCTCTTCTCAATCTAGTTCATTTAAGCAAATGGCTGAAGCAATTATAAGCAGATTTTCGATCATATTTTTGTTTGAATCAACTTAGGTGTGATTAATTTCCTGATTGGCAGGATGATTAGTCGGTTAAACAAATCAGAAGAGTACGAATAAGTAGGTACAGGAATAACGGTTGGATTAAATTAGTTTTGCAACTTGCCAAATTAAAAATAGACTGCAATAACCCAATTGAGTCACATTTTCTATAAACATCTGATGAATAATGTGCATTGAATGAGCAGTTGGAGTATTTTTACGCCGATTTTTTTCTCTTCCGTTCCAGATCAATCGAAATTTCTTTCCGTATAACGAGAATTCGATAGCCAAACCTGATAGTTGGAATACGAAAATCTAAATTAGTCCCGGACTGGAATAAACGGTGAATCACGCATTGTGTACGAGTATTTTTGGTTATATTCCTGCGGGGCAGGATTATATTTATTTTTTTGTTAATCGTTGGAATGAAAATGAGCGAAGCAACGGCGATATAAAGCGAATTACGTCCGATAAGCAAAATCTTGTACTCACTCTGGATCTGAGTTCTCTTTCGATTTCGAGATCATCCTGCAGGAGGCGGATTTTGTCCTGTAAAAATAGGCAGATTCAGAACACAGTCTACGCGGGTTGGAAACCCATCTAAAATTTTTCTGTTGCATTTTTATTGTTGTTTGTGTTGTAAAGTATTTGAGTTAAAGTTAGGTACTTTTTGAGTGAAAAAAAACTTTTTAATGTAGTACTATAGCAACTGTTTAAGGCATAGTAATTTTGTCTAATTTATTTGACGGTTGTAATAATTTCGTGAGGTATTTTCGGGATAAAATGCAAGACACAATAAACACTTCAGGTTGGATATTAAGAGCTATTTTTGAAACTGTGCCAGTCCGATTCGTTTTGTGAAAATTTACATAACTGAGGACACTTCGACTAAAGTTTTATATTTAGCCGTATCTGACGTATCAGCTTACAGAAGAACAATAAAATCTCGCGTTAACTAATACAACTCAATTGAATAGACTATATTATAGCAAGTACCACAATTAGAATTTACCGACTTTCTAAATGGAGTAATCCAGTATAATCACTAAGAGGAGCCACTTCACACGGATCACAAGTAAAGATACAATTATAAAAAAAAATATCGCGAATAATCACAATTTCGATGCTGTTATTCGTTTTTACCTCGAGCCTGGATAGCGCCGTCAAATCGGCGCTGTACTCGATGCTGACGTCAGCCGCTCCGGCCGTACCGGAGGACCTGTAGGAGTATTTGGAAGCCCTCGCCACAGAGGAAGAAGCCATCTTTATAGCGTTCGGTCTGTTCCTTCCTGTACCGTGTCCTGTTCGGTCAATTCGCGGATGCACTGGGCCGTCGAAAAATGATATTTCACCGTCGAAATCCGCGTGCCGTCGCCGCCTGACAGTGCTGGCAGAGTCGTTCGTATTTCGAATGTGCGTCGGGACGTCGAGCGTCGGCGAGAGTTGAGGCGAGGCGGCGGCGCGTGCGCCGCTCTGACTCACGCCGTCCAGAAATTTTCGGTTATTTTCGATCGGTTTTTTTCGATGCATTTTGTGCATTTACCTAGCTGGATAATTCCACCTTATTCGAGGTGCTCCAGGAATTTTTATGTTCCAAATCCTCTCCAATTTACTCTAGCTAGGTGCACTAAGAGGCTGGCGTAATTTACCCAAAACATTTACCCAAAAGATTTGTATTTTTGAGAGGTTGAGGATGTTCAAATCGTGCAAATTTTGAGCGTTTAATTGCAGATTTGTTACACATGTTAGGTACATTTTCATGAAGTGTTTGATGAGTGTATAATTACAGCAATGTTGTAATGTTTTCAACTTAACGCATCAAAACGTTTTCAGGATTTGACACAATGCTATTTATAGAGGATTAATCGGACACTTCCAAAATAACATAACCCAATTTATTTTTACAAGCGCTCACTTCGAGACGCGATTATTCAACCAAATACTGCCTAAATGAAGCCTACTAAAGTCTAATAATGCCCAAATAACGCCTAAATAAAACCCTTCATTCGTAAAAAGTGCATACTAAAAAGTAGCAGGCATGCCTGACTGGCTGATTGACCCGCGTTCCACCCGATAGCGATCGCCAATATTTCCCTGTAGCCGCTTGTAGGTGAAAAAAAAAGGTTTAGAATTTCGCTCAATCCGAATTTTTTGAGCGCCGGCGGCGCGAGTACGAATCGACGCTAATTTTGCGCGACGACGTCGACGCCGAGCCCGCTTAGCTCAAGTTACCTGTAGTGGGGGGCGTCCTTTTATAGGCACGCGCGTTCGCTTAGCGAAAGACAACGGCGGCGGAGGTGCGTTTACCTGGCAGCGTTGCCGGTTGCGCGGATTTGGATGATTTCCGGGGAAAACTCGATTGTTAATTTCTCGCTAATTAACCGCATATAGAGCGCAATGGTTCTTGTATTGAAATGTAGAAGAGCGTGAATGTTTTGTTGCTTAGGTAGTAATAGTGCGAGTATAAATGATTGGTTGTGTTTTGAGTAATTTTCGGCAACAACGGATTCGGTGGGATAAAAAAGCGATTTTTCGTAACTAATATACCGTAGAAACTGGATTCCATTCCGATCCCGTTTTTCTGGAAATAACTTCCAGAGTACGTTCACCTGGCGTGTAATTTTGGAATTGTTATTGCACTTGGGCGGTTTGCGCTCTTTTGCGGGGTATTTTATGTGCCTCTTCATTTGCGTTTTGCTTAATAAATTCATCGAAACGCATCGGTAATTGCGTCGTGCTAAATTTAGCTCTCGCTTTGTGTGTATTTAGTTCAGAAATTTATAGAATATATAGAGTATATAGAAGAGAATTCGAGAGCGCGATTTTTAAACGTTTTATTAAACTATACGATTTTCTCGCAAACATTTCGTCTGCCAAAAATCATTTGTCAGTTATTCGAGAAAAATTCGCGTTAGTCACCTAAAATTTTCTAGACATTCGGCGTTCCTAAATTTAAACGCGCGGACTTGTTTCACAAATCATTTTAATAATTGCCTAGCGTAAGATTTTGGTAATTGATTGTTACCATTATATGCAATTACTACTGCTTGTTATATTGTAATATACCTAGTAATTAATTATAATTGCGTTTTGTTTTAATTAGACCTGTAATTTTCTGTATAGAAAAAGTCTATTATTTATGATTTTAATTGCAATAATTATACAAAACAATAAGATTTTTATAGAGTAAATGAAGGTCTATATGACCCTTTAAGTATACACTAATAAATCTGAAGATTACTACATTTTCCGAAACCTGTAATTTTTTATTAAATAAGTATGTCTATTGTTTTTTTTATTTATTGTTGAATCTCTGCCTGTACGGGACAAAATGTATTTGAGTCACAACCTAAATATTTCGATTGAAGTAGGTGTTGGCTTCGATCCAAATTTTAAATTCAAAATTCACTATATTTAAAAAAATCTTTAATTAAGCAAATTATTTTATTGTTTTGAGAATGTTTTAATCGTTAAATGTATTAAATCTTCCTTTTTCTTCTCTGAAACTTTGCTACTTTACTTCTTTACTCTTTAATTTGCTTTGTTTCTCCCTATATTTCACGTTTCTCCTACTTATGAAAATTAGTGTATTTTGGGTTGCCTAAGTAATAGTATGTTCTGTAATTTCATATTATAAGCAAATAAATTTATCAAGCAGTTTTGGGAGAAGCAAATTCAACGGCCCATTAGCTCAGTTGGTTAGAGCGTCGTGCTAATAACGCGAAGGTCACGGGTTCGATCCCCCTATGGGCCAATCATTTTTTTTTTTTTTTTTATTAAAACATCTTATTTATTATCAAACTCTTTATTACAATATACAATAATATCCACAACCTCTATTTGTCCAACTACAAAACCTCCTTAAAACTAGAACGGTTCGTGGAGCGGCTGTAGAATAATCTCTTCCACCTAAAACAAAAAAATCATCACAAACGATTTTCGAATTAAATTTTATTAACTCACCAGCACGTTCGGGCCGGTTGAAAGGGCATATATCACAGCATCAACCACGTCCTCGACAGTCAAACTCGGCGATACTGACACTTGCTTCTCGAAATTGTAGCAACTTTTACCAATTTCCGTCTTCACTATACCCGGACTGATGCTCTAAAAACCGACTTATACTTTCAGAATCGTCTTCCAAAAACTCTCCACCGGCTACCAAACTCACAGTAATCTTAATATCGAGCTTGTTCGCCGACAATTCCTTCTTGAGCGTCGTCGCCAAGGCGGTCACGGCGTGCTTGGTGCCCGGATAGACGTTGCTGAAGGTGAAATAGGGCACCCGGTGCCCTCCCACGCTGTTCATGTGCACGATGTGCCCGTCCACCCGGTGCCTCACCATCTCCCTCACCGCCTCCCTGGTGCCCACGCACAGCCCGAACACGTTCGTGTCGATCACGTTGCGCCACTTCCTGGTGTCGCCGTCGATCAGATTGGTGTTCTCCACGATGCCGGCGTTGTTGATCAGTATGTGGACGGGGCCGAGGTGCTCCCTGCACCATTCGAACACCTTCAGGATGTTGTCTTCGATCGTCACGTCGCACCGCAACGCGTGCAACTTGCCCTTCTCGTTCGCCAGGCGCCTGGATAGGTCCTGGATGAGGTGGACCCGTCTAGCTATTCCCACTACCTTTATGACGAGTAGTAATGATTGGTAAAAAATTAATTGTTGTTGTTTACAATTAGTGGTTCGATTGTATGTGGCTGATAATAATAATTAGGTACTTATCTAATTTGTTTAGAAATTTTATAATTTTGTAATTAATTCGTGAGAATTCTCAGGGAATTTTATCAGTTAAATGTACCTTATTAGTTTGAGAAAGGCGTAACAGTTCGTTACCAATCCTTTAATTATGGTAATTTTATTGCTGGTAATTGCTGTTAAGATAAAATAAACATGTTTAGGATATCAGAAAATTAGTTGCACCTAGAATAATCCACTTGATTGGAAACCCTAGCGATTAAAAATTGGTATAACATTAATTAAACAAAGCAGGTCTTCTTAAACTCAATAGATAAATAATTAAGTACCTATATTATAAAAAAAAATGGATGAATAATCTATATGGGGCTCACCTGTAGGCCCTCAATGACCAATCTTTCGGCAATTGCAGCTCCAATTCCGACGCTAGCTCCGGTTACAATGGCGGTTTTGCCTACCCAGCGTTTCATGGACAGCGGCATTTTTGAATGGAATGATGGGTTTCTTGTCTGGCGTTTGCGATCGCAATGGATTTTTCGTAAAGTTGGAGTTTATATATCCTCTGTACCCATTTTTTTGTCGGCAGGTATATTTGATGCGTCATTTATTACTTTGCGGTTTTATAATTGATTTTAATGTAGTTTTTAAGTAGTAAATTTCATTAATGATTTGAGAAATTAGGTAACTCGATTAATTAGGGTACTATCTGTATGAATGGAATAAATGGTTTTGATGGTATTAATTTTACAAAAAAAAGGAGTAGTAATTTTTATCGTATTGGGAAAGATGAGAAACGGATTTTGTTTCTAAAAAAAAACTAATTACATTTTGGGTACAAGGTTTGTTGTTTCGAAATTTAGTTCACTTATAGCTGAAGAACTCAGGGAAATTATGAAAACTTAATATTTAAAGTCCTGTTTAAAGCACTCAATATATGTAAACTTTGTAAAATTGGTTGCCTAAATGCATGCAAATATATACAAAGTAAATTTCACCAATTTGCTATACATAACAAATTTCATGAAAAAAATATTCAAGTACACTACATTTTTTTAACTTTTTGTAAACCACATATTCCTCTCTACAACAGTAATAACTACCCATATTAAAAATAATCTTTATGAATATAATTTAATCGATAAAAAAATATTCGATGCATCTTTTCATCCATCTTTAGTGCTTTAAATAGCCGATGCCGTCGGGATACATCGCGGGCGCTCGGCGTCGCGACGCCCGCTCTCGAAGTTACTCAGCCACTATCACAGTGGTTCGAAATGCGAGCGGGGCCGACGTCGGGCATTGATAATCACGATCACATCGAATTCCACACGGAAATCCGCTCGTGCTTCTCCAAATGATCTAGACATTGCCCCATTGAGGTTGAAAACCGGAGGTTTCCCGTTGTGTTGCCAGTGCTTGCCCTTCAGATAGCAGAATATGAGCGGCTACAGATCGTATGTAAGTGTTATGATAATGTTTTACATCGGAAATAACTTAACGACTTGTCGTAAAATTTAATTTCTTCGCCTGCTCGTTTGCTACCATACAGTGAAAAATGGTTTAATTTCGCCAAACACGAGGCATAATCTTGACCTATTAGTCAAACGGCGATAAATCTGGTTATTATGTTGGTCACTAAATTCAATTCACACTCGGTTAGTAGCTGAGAATTTATTTGTTTTGGAGTTGCAAATTGCCTATGCATTCCCCATCGAGAAGAGGAAGTTGTTTGTGTTTATCTCTTTGGCATAGACGGGAAAGTATGTGAAAATAACCAGCGTGCTTAAAGCATTTGGATTAAAACTTCCGAAAATACTTCTTGCTATTATCGTATACCTTCAACTTAACATAGACAATTTTGTACTACAGTAGGATTAATTGTGCTGCCATTATTTGTTAAACTACATAATTTTTATTTCTTCTGCTAGATAAGTTTTATGTCTACATCATTATTTCTCTTTCAAAAATTATTTTCCAACGTTATTATCCTAATTTCGAAACTACTGTTTTAATTGCTTGCCAAGAAATTTAATTTGTTCCTGGTTCTGTAACGCCGGCAAATTCTTCCTGCTCCGCGCGAATAATGAAGTAACGTTAAATTTAGAAAAAAAAGCTTCCTCGTATGCGGGTCAATATCTCGCGAATTGGAACCGAAAGCGGACCATTTCGATATCCGCTGACGAATTTTCGGGCATTGCAGCGAAATTACCCGGGATATTTTCGTTGACCAGAACACCACGTTATGGAACCGGGGCGATTGCGATGGGTCAATGTATGATTGCGAGAGGTTGTGCCAGAATATCATCTCGAATTAGAAACGCTGTATGAATTAACAGTCGCAATAATTACAAAATTGAAAATTTATTACAAGAAGTTTCTTATACGAATGAAATGTTTGATTAATAATGGGGATTTATACGAGCCATTTGTTGTGGTATTACAACGTTTTGAAGTTGTGTAACTTTTTTCATTCACAGCCAAATTGAAAAATGTACAAATTGTATTTTTAGATTATTGTGTACTAGTTTAACTGTTTTTATGTAATTGCCAATTTTTTACAACCCAAGAATCGTTCGGATATCCCCCGCAAACGTAACAAATCTCGTTAGGAGTTCACCGAAGGGCTGCTGTGCTACCTTTAACCGGATGCAGCGGTAAAATAAAGAAAACTAAACAACAGGAAGTCAGTCGGTTAACTAATAGAAATAAAACCGGAATGCGCCCAGACATTAAAAGAAGGTGTTTCTTATTTAAATCCGTTGACGGAGCCGATTCACACGAACCAGAACCATTCATAAATGAATAAATATAGCGGTAATTCGATATGTTGTAATTGCAACTCGCGCAATTACACCTACTTATCATTTAACTGATTATCTATACCATTTTGTATGTGTATAAAGAAGTATCACAACTGCAATCTTGCAGGGGAGTCTTATTGAATTGTCTACAAAAATTGTCTGCAATTTAAATTTGTTTCTTCAAGCTGAAGCTTTCAAGCTTCTTACTGATTCAAACTTAATTTCTCACTGCTTCAAATATATATTTTTTTGTTCATCAAACGAACGCGCGTTTTATTCGAAGCAACTAAAAGCGTCGGATTAGTGGAAATTGTCGACTGCTGTTGACTGTTTTATGCACTGATGCTCGGCCCAGAAATAGATTTTTCGTGTGTTCCTTATGTCGAGTCAATTAGTTTACCCGCTAATAGCGGCAGGCATTCGTAATTATTTTCTTTTCACGACTACTCGCGAGGAATTCTCCTATATGTACATACATAATCGATGGTAATTATTTATCTCTCGCAATCGATGCAAGGTGGTCGAATATCGGCAATTTTTAGAGGGTTCCTTGTAATGTAGATTATAATTGCGAATTTGAAAGAAGCAAAACAAGGTGATTCTCCAGGTATTTTTAGCGCGACTGGCGGTTGCCTAATAGGAGTAAAAGGAAAAGCGGAATGCTCTCGCTTCGATTCCAGTCTGGAAATAGAAGGTGCATCCAGGAATGAAAAAACGAACGAGGCGAAGACGATTTATTTTATAATAAACGGAAGTTACCAGAAATGAAAGAAAATTCTTTCGTTGAAAAGTTTCTGTAATAATAATGCTTCGTTAATCCCATCGATACTCGTAGGTGTGCGTAAAGTAGTTCTTACCATACAAAAACGTTGGCAATAATAAAATTCAAAGACTTCTTTTCTTCTCTTTCAGGTCCAATGGCCTAATAAAACGAGTTCTTCAATTAACAGCTATGCAGTGAAGAAGGAACCGACTTTGGGAGTATCAAAGGTATCGTTAGATTTTTTAGAGACGTGACAACACCTAATTCTCAATGAACATTTCGAAAATCGACAGCGAAACTCAGCTGTTTGGGACGCCGTAAATTTTTATATTACCCATCGACGGTTTATAATTTCGACAAAAATATTGGACGCTCTCCAACATTAACACTATCGAATTTAAAAATAAAATCCATACACTTTCGAATGCCGATCGAAAAATGATTGTCCTTGTTTCAGTTCGATTCGGGTCTAACGAGAACTCGATCGGACGTCAGCAAGAAGACAGAGGACGAGAAGAATCGCCTTTCGACCAAATACAACGCGGGCCTCTCCACTTATCAACCAGGTAATTACCAATTCTAAAATTTCTACTCCCAAATGCTTATTTTGTTTCTCTTTTAGGTTACACAGCGAGGAGCGAATCGTCGAGAATTAAACCTCTGCTGGACAAGAAAGACACCAGCCATCCTCCTGTAACCTACAGATCTCTTTCGAGAACAGGCTCTCGATCTCGCGATCCCAGCCCAGTGGACAAATCCGAAAAGTCCTCCTCATCATCATCGAACTACAATTACAACAAACTATACCCTCGGCCTTACCAAAGATCAGCAAGCAGAGAACGCACGGAATCGTTAAGTTCCACAACAATACCCAAATATGTGGGTAGAACATCCAGCAAAGACGAACCCTCTAGGTACGGTGGTCGTTCATCCATATCGAAAGATGATACACCTAAATTCAAGTCGACCAGTCGAGCTTCTTCCAAAGAAGACTTATCCGGCGGGTCGCAGAAATACATCAACAGCAGATTCCTGCCGAAAAATACGGTGGAAAAGAGCTACACAGCTTCCTATTCGAGACCATCGACTATAGCTAGATCAAATGAGACTTGTAGGAAAAATAGGGAGTTACTGAACGTCTTGCACGCCCAACAAGAGCAAGAAAGATTAAGCAGATCGTCCAGTAGATGCTCTTCGGATGATATTTCACCAAAATCTAATGCGATTGTTGATATAACGCCTAGTAAGGAAGTGGAAATGGTGACTATTACTGTAGTTAACAGAGGAACTTCGCCTACGCAAATGACACAACCGACGAATTTCCTGCGAAGCAGGAGATTGGAAATAGCGAAGACTGTCGAGAAACAAATCACCAGACCAAAAATACGCGTTCACTCCACGGCGGATAAGGAAATACAATCGGATAGAATGGACGATTCGACGAAATCATCGCGTTTCGTCGGCGCTTCCAGAATATCCTCCACTCCTTGGTCGTCGTTTCTAGACATGAAATTCTCCAGTCCTTCGAAGAAATCGTCGAAATCGGACGAATCGAGCGACAGCCCGAAGAGCCTATCGCGCGCCAGCTCCACCAAAAGCGTCCACCATTCGTGCACCAAAACCGACAAGCCCAAAGAGCCGAAGAAATCCAAGCTGGCCGCGCCCAAGAAGCAACTGCCGCCGCAGATTCCGAAAACCGACAAGCAACTACATTCCATCAACTCGGCCAACAAGGATTTCCGGAAGTCCGTGTTGAACATGAACCCCGAAGGGAAATCGGGCAAATTGGGCAGAAGGAGCCACTCGGCGAGCTCCGCCGATTCGGACGCCAACGACCCCGACGTCACGGACGTCTCGGAGAATCTGGCGACCTGCAAGTCCTACCATTCGAAATCGCAGGGCGAGAATTCCAGCAGGCGATCGCCCAGCTCGGAACCGAGCGTCACCACGACCAGCGGAAGCGAGGACGATTCTAAAACTAAAAAAGGCAAGAAGAAACTACGCAGCATCGGCTCGTCTAGGACTTCAATAAACCTATCATCAGCCGACGAGCTACCTAACGATAAATGCCCTAAACCACCCCAAAGCCCCAGATTAAAGACTGAAGTAGAAGCTAAATCGTTACTAATGCGAGCTTTAGCGCCAGTAACCAATTTATTCAAACCCAAACAAACAGGTTCACCCGAAAGGGTGAATTGGATGGACCCGAGTTCAGACAGCAATCCGGATAGTAACCAACCAAATCTTGCCAAAATAGTGGAACCAATACCGGCGAAAATTATCATCCATCGAGTGGAATCCGGCGAACAACCCTGGTGGTTGCAAGAAAACAACGAAACTAATGAAGACAACGATGAGACGAATGAAGAACTCAAACCGGACACCAATTACAAAATAACCACCCAAAAATCCGGCGAGCTACCGTGGTGGCTGGACGAGAGCGCGGATATACCCGAAGGGGTCGATACCTACCCGAATTGGGTGCGAGAGGACGGCACCACCCAAGACGGCAAGGTGATCTACAAAATGAGAAAATACGATTCCGACGAGAGCTCCTGGTGGTTGTCCAGCAGCGACAAAACCCACACCAACACCGACTCCAAACGGGACCAGACCAACCAGGAGTTTCCCGAGCAGCACAAACTCAGGCACATCGATTCCGGCGAGCGGGCCTGGTGGCTGAACAGCTCGGAGAACCTCAACGAGCTGGACAACAAAGGTTCGCAGGACCTGCCGCCGCTGGGCGACAGGGCCAGCCCGGAGGGACTGGAGATGCCCAAGGACGAAGAAGGACGAAGGAGCCCGTACGACAACGTGCCGAGCACTTACAGGAAGAACAAACCGCCTCCGTTGTTCATCTCCAAGCACACCAACATCGACGAGGTGCTGGGCGGGACCGGGCAAATATGGAGTCCGTTTTTGGAGAAGAGCTACTCCTACGGGAATCAAGGAACGGCGCGTTATGGACAAACCAACAAAATGTAAGTGTGTGTTTGAATGACTGTAGATAGATTGATTTAGGTATTCTATTTATTTTCAGATCAAATTTTGGACCTCCAGAATCCACAGACAATAAGGTAAGTTGATTATCAACCAATTGTATAACAATAAAAACGTATAATACAAGCTCATAGCTATCATCACATCACTCAATAAGCTAACAGTTCAATTGGTATAGTTAATTTTTAACTGGTGGTTCATGTCCTGTTAAATAAATATCCACATGGATACTTTCTAAATACAGTCCAGTTTCGCTATTTACCAATCGGAAAAAATTACCCTAATTAATAATTAACAAATTTACATCTAATCGAAGTCGTTTTCCGAAACGACTGCTATTCGAACGAATTACCGAAAAGGAACTACTGTAATTAGAGATAACCAGTCCCGCTTGGAGAACCGCCGAACCGTGATTAGGAGACCATTAACTAAACGCCGAGGCGAATTGAATCGAGAACATTTCTATAATCGCCCGTGTGCGTTCTTAAATCTCTTTGTATATGTAAATTTATAAAGAAATTTGAGTTTCTCAAGCCGCGCAATTAACTACTCGTAACGCTAGGAAAGTTTCTGTTATTGTAAGTTGTATTTTTTTAGTAAACGTGGTTATTTCTGTTAGAGAAAACTCGTTAATTTCTTAACAGGATTATTTAGGTAATTCTTTTACGCCAGATAATCCGGCGACAATGCCATTAGGATTCGTCGCAATTATTTTTCAGCCTTGACATTGTGTGTTACGCGGCCTTATTAGGATATAGGATTTCCTAATTCGCGGATCGAGTAGAGGGATAATTGCGGATAATTCTCCATTAAAACAACTGGATCGCATTGCCAAGGATTTTTTCAAAAGGCGCCAAACCATTACGCAATACAAATTACCGGCAATTATGACATCCACAATGGCAACTGAATATTTATGTATGCAAAATTCAAATTACCGCTCTGGTATTGTTGAAAAAAAATCCGTGTCCTGCCCATACGCTTTTACGATCCCCTGCCGATCCTACAAAGCAGTTCATCTAATCGGAGTTTTTGCAAAAATTACCAGAAAAGTGTATACTTATACTCGAGCGCTGTGCATAGTACTCCCTTAACGAGGTCAAGGGCTCGCATTTAACGAGCAAGGAACATCTAAAATAAAACATTACCGGGGGTACTGTTTGCACAGCTCGGCGACACCCACCTCTCCCCTTTTGCCTACCTGTTCGGGGACGAGGAACACCTTGTGTGCGTGTGCACCGAGCACGCCGGTTTTTGTACCATCTCGACCGTCGAGATTCTCGTTCTCGAGTCGAGTTCTCGGGCAGAAACCGGCCGGTTCGAGTGCGGTTTGAACGGGCGCGCGCGCGATTCGCCCGCTGTAGCGAAAAGGAGCCGGAGTCGCGGCGGAAAATACGCGGTGGAAACGTTTGGAAACCGGCTGGAACGGCGAGAATTGAGAATAGAGACGCACGGTGAACGGAAACGGTAACAGTCTGGTCGCGGTCGCCTTGTAAATAGGACGTTGGTCCCGGGTGATGTTGTGACGCTCATTCCGCAGGTAGTCTTGCAGGTAGAAACTTGTACGGAGCTGGTTGGTTTGGTTCTTTATTTTTATGGTTTTTTTTTTCGGCCGGTAATTTCGTTGTTACTTTGTGTTTTGAACGGTTAAATGTAAAGGTACTTGCTGTTTTGTTTGTATAGTCAAAAAACAGGTGTATGTACTTTATGTGGTTTGAATCGAATTTGAACAGTAAACTTCAATTTTTTTGTATGCTAGGTAGGTAATTTTTTGGTTACGTTGCGAATTTTATTAAACTTTGAAAGTAAATTACCGAGAGTTCGATTTTTCTCAACAAATCTAAAGAATCGCTGGTTTAATGATTATTTTTTCTTTCATCTAAAAATAAGTAGAACCATTTAAATATTTCGAACAATTTACATTACACATGCTATAAATGTGGATATTACAATAACATTCGTTATTGTAATCAAGTGTGGGATTTTTGCTTCTCGAATCTAAATTAAATTACGCGTTTCGAACAATTAATATTCTTTACCATTTCTCGGCACAAATGCGTTATCAATATGCAAACAATAGCAGCACATTACAAAATTTTAATAGCTGAACACTAGAGTTCACAAAATTTGGATAAAAAATATATTTACATAAATCATATGAGCAAAAGTATAAATGGATTTGTAAAATAATTACATTTTTGTCACGGATACAATCCGTGGATATTTTCTTTTTTATTTCACCGTTACAAGAATTTTTCGATCTTAAAACAAATTCCTAAAATGCAACCTCAACAACTGAAACAATTCCATGCATGGTTCATTCACAAATGCTGCATTGTGGAATTGCATAAGGTTTTTTTAATCGCTAAGTGCACATTTTGCATTATACTTTACAAACAATATGTCGCATTATTTATACGTTCGAAAAAAATTTTTTATTCAACAATTTGATAAAACCTGTTCTTTAGCAAACTGCTTGATGCTTGATTTTGGTTCGAATCCAGTTAATAATTTTGTAGACAGAGGTATAGCAATAAAAATGGTCATTAAACTCAAACCAAACATTTCCTTAATTAAGTATTGTGTTAGAGTCGTGAATGATCAAAAAAATTCATATCATATAAAGTTTTTAATAGCATCTACAGTGCTACATTAATAGCTAAAACTACCAAGGTCATTTAGGCAATTATTGTAAAAAATGTTATAAGTAGGAGGGAAACCACCCTGTATATGTGAACAAAGTGTGCATTACATTCCTTTGTATCCTTTTAATATCAATTCAGGTATTAAGTAGTCAATTCAGTCGATTTTTAAGCTGCGGTCATGATTTGCATACTAAAAGGACATTATAATGGATACGGCAAATAAATTATTACTTTCTCTTTCTAATCTATATGAAATTGTTAACTTTGAAATCTAAATAATGCGGCATCCGACAAACATACAAGTCTCAAATTTATCGCGTTTTTATTACTCATGCGCTTACTTTAGTTAAATGTATGCGAATTTATAAAAATAGCGATTCTTTTATCGCAATTACAATTGCAAACGTTCGCGAATAATTGCACTTTTTTTCTAATTTCTAAACGACCGAAATGATTTCTCCGGTTGCGCAACGGAATTTAATGAGAATTTTACGGGAACAAAACGCACCGGGAGTTTAGTTTATCGCTCGTTTTGTACGGAAAATTGGAGTTTATTGTCGAATCAACCTTCGAATTTACATGTTCAATCTCTTTGCTTCGAAATAATTGCACGAATTATTACAAAACATAGTCCGGGCGCTCGTCGACCGCGGCCCGAGCCACCGGACTATAAAACCGAGTAAACAACGAAATTTCCAGCGATTCAAACAATGCCATCGGACTTACGATCGTAGCCCATATAAACTCTATAACCGTGTGATGTGTTTGTATCGGCATGATGTCGTTGACGTGTCGAGTTCAGTACTTGAACGACATCGACCCGTTCTCCTACACGACGAACTTCCCGGATCCGGCCCGGCCGCCCCTTCACACCTTCAGCCTCACGTTGCCGCTCATCAACCAACTGGCCGCCATCCACAGGCTGCTCCAGTCCCCCCATAGGGTGAGTACCATTCCCATTACCAATCCAAAGGTCCATACAGCGACCCGGGGTACATATTTGCTCCAGATCTGGACCATCAATCGTTCCATTACCAATCCAAAGGTCCACACAGCGACCCGGGGTACATATTTGCTCCAGTTCTGGACCACCAATCGTTCCATTACCAATCCGAAGGTCCTATAGTGACCCGGGATATTTGCTCTAGTTTTGCACCACCAATAATCATTACATTATCAACCCAAAGGTCCTATAGTGACCCGGGATATTTGCTTTAGTTTTGGACCACCAATAATCATTCTATTATCAACCCAAAGGTCCTATAGTGACCCGGGATATTTGCTCTAGTTTTGCACCACCAATAATCATTCCATTATCAACCTAAAGGTCCTATAGTGACCCGGGATATTAGCTCCAGTTCTGGACCACCAGTTGAAGATTCTAAAGTTGGGTTTAAATGTGAGACAAGGTTTTTGTTAGCCATTACATCAGGTTGTATTATCTGATCGAAATCAGTTGTTGACCATTGCACGTGCTCGATTTTCGCCGTGTGTTCATCGGAGGTTTTCGAAAGCCCGAATGGGATTTGTTCGGTATAATGTGTACACGAAATGCAGACGCATTGATCACGATGACTAACGGCCGTAGATATTTCCTTTGTGGCCGGACGGGCGCGTTGTGCAAGACCGCTCGGTGCGAAGAATGGATCCTTATTTACTTTAATATTTCTTTCGATCGCACCGGCGCGCCGGTTTCGTAACGCAACTGGAGTAAATCGTGACAAAAATGTTTCTTTGATTATTTAGTAATTTCGCCTCGACCGCTTCCTACATCTTCGCCGGATTATTTAGAAGATGGAAAAATATTTTTGTGTTGCGCCGTTATTTTATTTAGATAACTATTAGTATTTATGTAATGGATCGTGAGTGCTAGGTGCGGTTTTATTCGAATTTTTAATATATCAATTTGTTGGTTTTGTCTCTGTAATCTCTTTCACCAGTTAATGGAGTTATTGTTAAGAATTTAATACTATGCTCCCTTATTATTAATCAAGTATTGCTAAAAACATTGCATAAAAAACGACAAATGTATATACACATTTAAATTATTATTACATATCACTTGTAGCAACATCATCACAGTAATTTACAGTAAAGATTATTACATATCGATCTCGGTTTGCGGAGGAACGTAACCGCTCGGAGTGCAAAGTAAATTCCATTATGCTCGTTCCTACATGTGTCAATCTTGCGGACGGGATTAAAAATCCGGCGGGAGGAGAGCCTCTTTTCCGGACAAAAGCGGCCGTTCCCACGACCTCATCTCCGCCGGTTCGTTAGAATAAAAACAATGAACCCGGACCCGGTGGAGGATCCACTATTTTCCGACTAAAAATATCACGTTTTATAAATAAATCCCCGTTTCGAAAACGTGATGATTGGCAGCCGATCTTGATGATAAAGCCGGCGTTTGCTCGCTGAATATTAACGTA